GCGATCAACTGAGATTGCAACAATACGTCACTGACCACAACGTCACACAATGCCCAAAGCCGTCAAACCACCCTCAACAAGCAGCCGAGTCCTACGATCCCATACCAGACAAGCAGCTACGAAGGCCAACTCAACCAAGGTCACCAAGAAACGTCGCCCGCGTGCAGATCCTTGGGCGAAAAAGCGCAAGCCAACCCCCGGTCCCAAGCCACGCAAACCACCCCCAACCGACTTCACATGCCGCATTTGCATCGAGGAGAAGCCCACAGACCAATTCGTAGGATGGGTTCCTCCAAAGCGCGGTCGCTGGCGACCAACAGACGTCCCATTCGCCTGTGTCGCCCATCTAGCCCGTAACCCCAGCAAACGGAAAGTCGATCCTGTCTGTAAAGCATGCATTGGGCACTTTCTCTCTGCCAAGATGGATACACTAGGCGTACGAACAATCGGCACCGGCTGTCTAGAACCTGGTTGCTCAGTACCCTGGTCCCACGAGTTCATCTTACGTTATATGCCGCCCGGCGCTCCACTGGAGAAATTCAACATGGAAATGTTGGAGGTGTGGAAAGAAACTGCAAGTCCAGCACCACTCACTTGTCCATCGCCGACGTGCAATGCAATTGGTCTACCAGACACGGCAGCGGCGGGGTACCCGCAAGTTACTTGTCACGAGTGTGCGTTCCGATCTTGCGCCCAGTGCCTTGTTGCTTGGCATAAAGACGTTACATGTGCGGAGTATGCGGCCAAGCATGTCGACGAGAAGATAAGTGAAGAGGAAAAAGATACACTCAAGTATATGCAAAAGCTGGATGGAAAGAGGTGTCCGAATTGTCAGTTGGTCATTGAAAAGGATGGAGGATGTGATAGTATGGTGAGTGAGGTCCACTTCTCATCTTTCTCGTGTCAGATCATCTTTGGCTAACGGAGCGGACTAGTTCTGTGTGGGTTGCCACAAGTACTTCAACTGGGCCAGTGCCGCTTCAGCCTTGACCGGCGCTAAGAGAGCCGAAGTGCCTTACATTCGTGACATGCCTTACTGGCAGAATGTCGGTACTGTTACTTGCGAAATGGACGGTATCCTTGGACTGGGTGGTACTGCCGGTACTGTTGCTGCCACGTCATGAGTGGTCATCACTCAGTGTTGGGGAAACATGGTTACGACCGATATGATCACGATGCGACATCTATTGCTACATGATTTATAATTGCGACATGCGTACAGAGCGCCCCGGTGTGGGTTGTTCCAGGCTTGAGTATGTGTGGTGGTATCTTTATCGAACCATATTGTGCAGAACATTTACTACATTACATCTCCGATTACACAAAGACATCATTCTTGAATCTATAGAAGCCGCTAGGCTTCAAATGTTTTAGATTTCTGGTGTACAGAATTTGCGTATTAGTTACAGAATCCCGATTCGCGGCCACAAATACCCTACTTTCCTCGTGTGGTGTAAAGCAAATTGATCGCCCCCCTTGGTGATTGTGACTCCATTGCGTGGACGAATACCACCTGTCCCGCTATTCACAAACGCCGTGTGATGCATTTTGAACGCCAACCAACGTCAACTCGAGAACGGGGGTGATGCATTAAGTAAAGTGTGCGTGATCAAACCTTCTTGTAGTGTTTTTGTGACTCGCTTGGGTGCAATCTTTTCCTACTTTTTTTTTCTGGTTTTGTTTGTTAGAGGCCCTCGGAAGTACTGATACGCACCTGATGCGGCGTCGAGTCGCAACTCCGGAGGCGTCTTGAGTCGATGAGGACCTGCGTGATCAGGCAGGCAGGTTGCTAACGAGCCGCACCTTCGGTAGTGCAGGCAGAACTGAAATGAAGAATGTCAGAAAACCCATGGAATATCAAGTGAATGATAGAGAAGAGAAATAGCGAACATGTGCTAGCTTAGCTGAGAGGGAGCTTATGCTGCCGTTGGAGTAGGCACTCCATTGGTAGCAAGCTCGGACTGTCGACGCTTTGCTGCTGAATGCTCGCTGTCCTATATTAGCACAATGGTTAGCATGGTAACGTAAGATTGCTCTCCGGCGCGGGGAAGCGTCGAGAGGATTTGAGGAGGCACGAGTCACGCACGTCAAGGCCCGTATCGGCGAAGTGGCGCTTAGCACTTTTCGCGTCCTTCTTCTTCTTGTCTTTGCTGGGCTTCTTCGGCCGAGTCTCTCCCTTCTCGAAAACGTCATCGGGAAGCGCAGTGCTAGCAAGTCAGCAGAGGTCTGGACATGAGTGAAGGTGAGGGTCTTACTTGCGGGTATGAACCACCTTGACCGACATGGTTTTGTCGTCGTAGAGGTCGGAGTCGGTGATGTAACTCCTGAACTGACTCACTGGATAGGAGATATCGAGCGACTTTGTAGCATCTACACAAACAGTCAGACATAGGCAAGAGACTTAGCAGACTAAGAATGCTTACCTGGAGGTAAAGTGAGACCAATGTAGAAAGTAGTCGTGTAGATAATGTGGGTGTCGCCATTGGCTGGCTCCGTCCCCTCAGCAGGTACTTCAGATGCTGGTATCATATAGTCAAGCGAACCCTGCGTGACCTCATGAAACTGATCGTCTTTGCAGCGATGGTACCGTTCGAAGTATTTGATGTAAGGGCGCGCTGTATCGATGCCTGTCTGTCCATCATCGATGCCCTTGACGATGTGACGAATCTTCGATTGCACGAGTCCGGAGAAGGTGGAGTTAGCTTCCTTGCTGCGACTCGCGGCCACAACACTGAGGTAGTATTTGTGGTCTTTGGTAAAGAAGGAATGGCGCTCGAAGAGGGAATCCCAGTCCTTGGCACCTGAGAAGATGTGTTGTAAGATCTTGTCCGCTCGTCCGAACTCTTCCTTCATGATGCGCAGTGTCGATGGCATCACCGTGTGGGTAGCGCACATGGAAGGGAATGCGGGTGTAATTATAGGCATGAGGTGAGCTCGGTCACCACCGTAGACCTGGGGGTTCCATACACGAAGACCCAAGTCGCCCTCTTCGATGTGTTTCAGCATGACGGGTCGCGGCCAGGTCCACTTGTACATCAAGCTGAAGAACTTGGAAACGATAGTGGCGCCGTTGGCCATGGGATATAGCTGACAGATGCGCGCAACCATGATAGCCCACGCGACACCACCAGGGTATCCGAAGACTGCTCCGTAGATGCCGCGGCGGTTCGACCAGAGTTTGATAGCCCTCAGCGCATGTCGAAAGCTGACCTTTTGTGGCACCGCGTCCAGGAGCTCGTTGGTTACTCGTGTGCCGTTGACGCTTCGTGTCGCTGACTCGCTGAGACCCTCGAGGTCCTTCTTTTCAATCGTCTCCATAGTCCTGGGTATCGACGACCTCTTGGGCAGAGACGTGAAGAGTAGATCTATGCTCACACCGCGATATTCCATCTTGATAATCGGCACAAAGGCATCTTCGACGGGCACGAATTCGGTGATGTCTTCCGTGTTTGACATTTCTTTGAAGGTCGGAGGGAAGTTTTTGAAGAATTCGTCGATGGTGACAAACTTGGGCGCGACAACGAGAGTATCGATGTCCGACGTGGGACCGTGGACGCCGAGAGCGTAACTACCAAAGGTGAAGATCTTGCCGCCGGCAGCATCGAGGACAGACTGCTGAACACCCTTTTGTTTACCGACGCGACGGACAAACTCTTCGACGACTTTCTGGATGTGCTCAATCACCTCCTCCCTGACAAGATTAGCTTGGCGCAATCGTGTGCCCAACGGCCCTCTTACCTCCTGCGGTTGCCTTCGGGAGTCTCGAAGACATTCTCAGCTTTGAGTGTTTCGATAAGCTTGTCGTTCAGCTTGATGTCGTGTTCGGTGGGCGCAGCCTCGGAGATGGCGCTGGTGACACCAAACTGCCGGGTGGGCTTCTTCTGACCGTCCATGGTGAAAGTCGAGAATCGGGGCTGCAGAGTCGCGCAACTTCGGGGGTGCTGCGGCGAGCGGCGCAAAGGAAGTTGCAATCAATGCGCGTGTCGACGAGGGTTGTCGTGAAAGGCGGCTGGGAAATGAGTGTGATGAAAGATTCAGCGCTCCCACATGGCGACGCGATCTTTCCCGAGTTGCAGTCTGGAAAGTGAATGCGACATCAGAAGTCGAGCATGCATCTGTCTTGGGAGCAGCCCGTTGCCAAGCCCCCAACGCGCCACTGTGGCTCAACACCAGCATTGACGCGTCCCCAGCCTATCTTCAACACGCCTCACTGATTCACCATCAGGCATGGCCAAATCATTACCCGCACATCTCACTTACAAGACTGCGCTGGTCTTGCTACCTCCATCTAGCATCGCTGCGCCAATTGATCGAGTTCGAGGTACACACGACAAGCATTTCAAGCGATGGCCTGCACACATCAATCTGTTATACCCATTTTTATCTGAGCCTTCTGAGCCTTCTGAGCCTAGCAGGCATGGCAACGGCTCGCAGTCAACTCTCAAGCCCGACATACGTGCACGTATTGTAAACGCTATCAAAGACATACGGCCATTCCAGATATCACTCGAGGCGGATCCTCCAGGAGTTTTTCGCCACGGACCCAATAGCACAACTGTTTGGTTGGGTCCTACCACCCAGAGTGTCCAACAGCTTCACGCGGCCCTGCAGAAAGAATTCCCCGAAGTAAAAGCAGACCGACGGCCTTTTACGCCTCACCTTTCTGTGGGGCAAGCGAAGAGCCAGGTTCGCGTGGATAAGCTCAAGATGTTGACCACAAAAACAGTGATGGTTCACACATTGCTCACAAGTGGGTTACTAGAAAAACCAGGGGTTCCTCCCCTCAAAGAAGCCATACCTATAGCTTTAAATTGGACCGTTGAGTATGTATATGTCATTGAACGCCATGGCAGCAAAGATCGTTTCAAGGTAGTTGAGGCTATCAGATTGGCCGAAAAAGAGTACCGCGTCGTTGTAGGGAACAATCGAGCACCTCCCACTAGGCAGCCGTTCAAGGGCGTTCGATTTTGCCCTTCAATCAAGTGGCGTAGTTTGCGGAACTAGTTCTTGGCAAAGAAGTCTTTGATCTCCGCGTCAAGCCATTTTACGTCTTCCGTCGATTGACCTGGCCCACCAGCCCTGTTTCGATGGTCAGCTCCAAGCACGCGTTCGTTTTGGGGAAAGGGACATACCAGTGGCCCCATATAGAGGGGAATATCTTCAGTGTTCCAACGCCCGGCTTCATATTCTGGACTTCAATTTCGGAATCTTCTGGTGGGAAGTAAAGATCCGTCTTCGCTGGCAGGACTAGTGTCTTCGCCTTGATACCCTTCATCGCTTTCTCAAAGTCACCATCGTACGGCTCTTGTTGCGAGCAATCAGCAGCCTGCCATGTATGTGCCATGACTAGCATATTCTCTGGGTCCTTGGAAAGCGCCCAAGCTTCCCAGAAGTTGACAAGAAAGTCGTCCAGGTTCTTGAACCCGAGCGTAGGTGCGGTCTCGTATAGCTTCTCACGATAGAATGCTTGAGAGAAGCCCCAGCCGGCGTACACGCGTCCAAGAGCCTTCAATCCAGCTTCTCGGGTCTCGGATGAGAAAGTCACGTTCTTTCCCTGAGCAGTTTGTAGATCTGGCTTTGCGACACCTGCAGAGCTTGTCCCTAGAGCAGCATACAAGGCGCTCTTGACACCTTCTAGGAAAACCTGGTTATGCAGGCTCGTCTTTGCGCTCCCACAGAATGGTACTGCGAGATCCATAAAGTCGGGAAACTGCGTCGCCCATTGATACGTCTGTCCCGCGCCCATAGACCAACCAAGAACAGCACGAGCATGCTTCACGCCCAGATGTTTAGTAACAAGCTCATGCTGCGCTCGTATGTTGTCGTAAAACAGCACTTCTGGGAATGGGCGGAGATCTGGCATATTTGATGGTGACGACGACTGGCCATTGCCGAACAATGCAGGCATGATGATGTAGTACTGGGAAGGGTTAAGTGTCTTGTCCGAGCCTGTAAGCCAGATATTGTCGGATATCGCTATATAGCGGGATCAGCAGCGCTCCAACTAAGCTCCAATTGAACTGCACATACTCCCAGAATACCATGTTGGGTATATGACAGCCGGAAGCGATGGGTCTCCTAGCGTCTTGTAGGCGATAAACGCATCTGGTATCTCTCCACCAGACTTGAGCTTGAAGTTCCCAAGCTTATAGATCTGGTAATCATCACCCGAGGACATTTTGTTTGGAATATGTTCAGAGGATGGAATTGTAGACAGCTATGGACAGCAGAAGTCAAATGTCAGACAGGTTATCGTGCACGGTCGCGCAGCATATCTATAAGCTTCCTTCTCACCTCTTCCAGCTTCCGTGACAGGACTGCCACTTAGCACTAGTGTCGTTATCGTTGATGGCGGGGTAGCTGGAAGGTATGGTGGGGTACATGACGTTACCAATCACGCTCACTGTTGGAGAGCGCCGAGTGTAACCGTGGAGATGACAACAGCTAAACGTTCCATACGGGCCAAGAATATACGTCTGCCAACAGCTTCAGTTTACACAGAAGTTTCTGAATCCCTGCAGTCATCGCAAGAAGTTTACGATGGGGGCCTGAAAAGTCTCGGTACGCTTCCGCGGCTATCCTCATGTCTCTATGCAGGCTCGGAATTATATCCGCCAATTGCCGTAGAGCACCTTTCTTGCGCGATTGATCATCCTTGACTAAACAGCAGCTACAATGTCGACGTATAAGAACATCATTCCCGTGATCACTAGTAGAGCCAAGCTCAGCCACCAAGTCCGCAGCACCATCGCAACGTCCCGTTACAAGTTTTTGCTACGCCCCTCTTCCACAATGGCATCCGGACGAGCAGACGCCGAAAAGGAGATCAAACGCAATCCTCACGGCGACTTCAAAGCTGTCGAAGCCTCCCGCCCACCCTTTGACGCAACATCATCGTTTCACTACACGCAAACCCCAAAGCCCGACTGGAAGACCGGATCTGGTTCCAATGAGCCCTCCAGTTTGGAAAAGTCACACCGTTCTATCAACCCCTATGAGGAAGGCAGACCTGTAGTACACAACTACAAGCTACTCATTTCCGCGATTGTACCCCGCCCCATTGGTTTCGTCTCAACAATCAGTGCAGATGGAAAATCCACAAACCTTGCTCCATTCAGCTACTTTAACCTCGTAAACCATGATCCACCAATGTTCGTTTTGGGATTTGCCGGTGGGATGGATAAAGCCAAGGATACACTAAAGAATCTCATTGAGACCAAGGAGGCTGTCATCAACATCATCACTGAGGAGTACATCGAAGCAGCCAACTATACGAGTATAAACGCGCCAGTCGGTGTGAGTGAGTGGGCGTTCAGTGGGTTGCATGCGGAGAAGAGCAAGTATGTTAAGCCTGATCGCGTGAAAGAGGCCGTGTTCAGTATTGAAGGAAAGCTTGTTGATACGGTGGAATGGACAAGCAAGAATCCTGCTACGCCTGACAAAAAGACGGGTGTTACAGCGTTTGTGGAAGGGGTGAACTTTTGGGTCAGGGAGGATGCTATTGATAAGCAGGGCGTGCTTGTTGATCCTGCTGTGCTTAAGCCGGTCTCTAGGCTGGGTGGAATCACGTATGCGAGAGTGACCCAGGCGTTCGAGCTGCCGAGACCGGATTATGAGGAAGTCACCAAGGATCCCGAGGTTGCGAAGCTGGCGCAGCCGAAGGGCGAGAGTCAACTGTAGTAGGGCTAAGGTCTGCTTGGTATTTGTTGACTTCATCTACGGTCTCTGAGCAAAAGAGATATTGGTTAAATAGATGCAGAAGATAGACGGCGAACAATAGATGCGGATTTGTGAAGAACATGCCTTTCATTTCGGATCCAGGCGTCTGAAGAAAAGAATTCGAGGTATCATACTAAAACTCAAGTACAAACATGGGCATCATGCTTCCTCTTAACCAAACCACATCCCCGGCAAAAGGCAGCCAATAGAAGGTATAACGGCATACTCTGTAAGTCCCAACCTTACCCATCACCCTTGCACAATTCACCCCGACGTTCACAGAGCCATGACACCCGCAAAGGCCGCGGCAACACCGGCACCCATCATGCCGACCATGTTACCCATGGCCGCACCAGTCTCACTCGGGCCCGCGCTCGCACTGGCACCCGTTGCACCACCGGATCCCGACCTGGTTGTAGACGCAGTAGTGCCGTTCTCGCCTAGAATAGCCTGGTTGACCAGCCTCTGAACTTCGGCGTTGTAGCTGTCGTAGTAGCTCTTGATGTCGCTCGGGAGCGCACTGTACCACGCTGGTGTCTCGGAGAAAGTCTCAAGCGCACCAACTTTGGTGACTTCGCTGGGAATGGAGTATGATGCTGTAGCGACAAAGGATGCGAGGCCTTTGTGGGCAGATGCTGCAGCAGAGAGAGCGGAGCCTTGGGTGAGGGATGCGAGGCCCATTGAGACTTCGTTGAGAACTGAGGAGGCGTATCCATCGGCCTGAATAAATAGGTTAGCTTTAGGGGTTTGAGAAAGAGGACGCGTAGATCAAGGAACGTACGTTTGTGAGAACCTCGCCCAGATTGGTGGGGATAGGTGTGGTGATAATAGCGAACTCAGCGACGGCAGTGCCAGCGGCAGCCAGGATTGCGAGATTCTTGAACTGCATCTTTACGGTATTGTGAATTGGTTTAACGCGTAGCGGGAGATTTCTAGACAAATGACGTCCGAAGTCAAAGTGGACTGAAGGATACAGAAAAAGCGATGATTGACACGAGGCAAAAGCGAGAAGGTAGAAGTGAGCAAGCGCGTGGGAGAGCAGCTGGCCTCCACTTATGTATACTTCAATATTGTGCATCAACACAGAACACGAATGCTCCGCCACGAAACTCGGTTCCCGAGCATGGGTAATCATGTCAGCCCGTCATCTTGCCGTTGCGCTGTCTTGGATCGTATTTCTTTTCAAAGTAGCGCGACCGTTGAGAAGGGCTTACTAGACAGTAATCTAGAAATCTATTCAACGTCTCCATGATTAGCAGTTCCACACAAACCATCAATCGGGACCCACATCCAAGATCAACGACACGCGTTCGATGCGCAAACTGCGAAGAGGCAATCTGAGGGGTTTCGGATGATATTCAGGGGCGGTGTCTTGGGGGCCATGGGGGTGTGCGGCCTTAGCTTCGTTTAGAGTGGATTGCATTAGCGGCTGTTTTGTCCAGAACAAGCTTCCTTGCTGACGGCCAGGCCTCCCACCATGTCCATAAATACTCAGCACGCAATTGTACAGCCTCAGGATCCGAATTGGGGATCCCTAAAACCGCCTACTCCACTTCTCTCACAGCAGTGGTAGTCATGATGCCTTCACCGCTGTTCTTCTTTCCCGCGGTTTCACGTTCCTCGCTGGAAGCGATACTCTCGACTTGCGCATGCTGAGAGGGCGCCATCTTTCCCTCTTTCCAGCCTAGAAAAGCGAAGCCAATAATAACCACTAGCCAGTAGAGATTGTATGAAATGACGGACCCGTACGTTGCGCTGTTCTGCCAGCCAAAGAGCGAGTTGAAGATACCCCAACTGAGACGAAATCGTTAGCGATAAGACTCAACCAAAATGAGAAATTTACTCACCCGCCGTCACCATTCTCTAGTGGCGAACAACACTGTCGTAGCAGTCAGCACACAAACCCAGAAGACCAGTAATGACAAAAACTTACGTTGACGTGCCAAACACTCTTCCTGATGTCGTAGCTACCCGGCCCTGCACCTGCTTCTGCTGCACCTTCTCCAGCAAGCTTGACCCAAGCATTCTGTTCAAGATTCCAGACACCTTTGGAAAATAGGCCAGCCGCTACGAGGTAAAGGAAGCATGTGGAGACGACGAGGAAGATCTGCAGAGAGGTTTTGTTGCCACCCTTGTAGATGAGATATCCGACCAAGGCACCTGCACCCAGACCACAAATGACGGCGAGAGGAAAGCTGGTCGCCGGTGCGCCCAGTCCGACACCTGCAATAAACCTGTTTGTCTGCTTAGCATCTACTATTCAAGGTGAAACAGAAGTACTTACAATACTGCCTCAATACCCTCGCGGAGCACAGTAACGAAGGGCAGAATGAACATGGCGTACTTTTCAGTCCATCGCTTTAGTCTGCCCTTGATAGGTAGTTTCGAGTCCTTTTGTTCGAGGACCTTGGAAATCTTCACACGCCACTTGTCCTGCAACTTGCTAACACGGAGTAGGGCAGCTCCCATTAGAGTGATGATGACGCTTGCAAGAATCGCGAAAGCGCCCTCCCAAATGTTTTCTGCCTTGTCGAAGGTATTGCGTCCAGCCGTGTAGAAAGTACCAATGACTCCAGCACAGATGACTAGACAGATCAGAATACCCGCGCCGACACCGTACCAGACCTGTCGAACAAGTCGTTTGTGAACAACAGCATCATGTTCAGGACCAAGAGTTTGCTTGAGGAACGCCAGAAGCACGGAGACGATAATGCTCGTTTCTAGACACTCACGGAAGCAGATGAAGAAAACTTGGTTGAGGTTAGACAAAGACGGCGTTACTCATGTTACGAAGTCAAGGATGACGGTTCTTGCAGACGCACCTGGCACAGCAAAGACGTTTGGCATCTTGAACAGACTACCAGATTTGCTGAATCTGTTATTTCCGCTGGAGTGTAGATAAAGGACAAAGGAGGGGATCTAATCAGATGAAGGGACATGCAGAGATTCCCGAAGAAGAGGGTGTGCTAACATGTGCCTGCCGTTCGTATAGATGGCGCTAGACAACAGCCGAAAGTCGGGCATGCACGACGACCCTGCTTTTGGATTTGAGTTTACCTCCCGGTATCACGACGGACCGATCATGCTTCAGGATAGCTGTGTTGCTGAGGCCGCATCAATAAGATATGTAGTCAGGTTCTTCTGGCGTTGATGTCATTGGGCGAATGCAACAATTTCACGTTCCACCATAACTCAACCGATGAACAAAAGGACTCAGTACACATTCTGTAGAGCCCAACTCCTCTGCATGAGCGATTATCCTCTCCGCACGCCCAGCGCGCCTAATCAGATTAAGACTCTGTAGCGCAGGCTAGTGCGGGCTTGTTGGTCCTTCGGCGCCATCGCTTACCCTGATACCTGGGTCGATCATGGTCCAGATTATCAGATGGACCGATAATCGCCGGTGAATGTCTCTCCACACAGCAAATCAAGGTAGAGGAACTCGCTTGCCGCTGCCTTGAGACAGGAAAATTCTACATGATGCAGGGACGATTGCACACGTCAAACCTTCCTGAGCCTAGTTCATGAGGAGAAAACACATATGCCCCACTTTGCGACACTTTGTGGCCGCCTCCAGCCCCCGTCGAGAACATGAGCTGATGATCTGATAAGTCGGCTCCGAACATGATGGCTCGAAGAGGTGGGGGTCGGAATACTTAGGTCGTCTTATCTGATCTCCGCACGTCGCATCTTACCTCATGTGTTTGACGAGTGCATTCTTGCATCGGCATTAACTTGAATGGTAGCACAAGAGCTTCCTAGGTTGAGTCGTACTCCAAGCAGCTTGATCGCCCGTAACAGGATCCGAAAAATTCCAGTCTCCAGTACTCTCCTCGCACGCCATCATGGCAATCTCACTATCGAACTTTCTCCTCCCACTTTCACTAATAATATCAATCACATCTTGTGCGACTGTCACGCATGACTTCGACATAGGGTGGGTCCACGCGAATCCCGACAGCCAGCAAACACGACCAGTCATTGGCATCAACGGACAATGGCCTCTGCCAGCTATAGTCGTTACGAAAGGCGACCAAGTCATTGTCAATGTCAAGAACTCCTTGGGGAATGAGTCTACGAGTCTGCATTTCCACGGCTTGTACATGAATGGTACTACGCACATGGATGGTCCAGTAGCTGTTTCACAGTGTGGGATCCCTCCAGGTAGCTCTTTTACCTACAACTTTACTGTGAGTTTAGTAATGTTCGAGGGAAAGTGGTTCCAATTTCTCACTAGTACAGGTCAACCAACCGGGCACATATTGGTATCACAGCCATGAGCGCGGCCAATATCCAGATGGTATTCGAGGTCCTCTTATTGTACATGATCCTGAAGATCCATACAAAGATCTCTACGACGAAGAGGTTGTTATAACGCTTTCTGATTGGTATCATGATCTCATGCACAACCTTCTCGCAGAATTCATCAATATCGCCAATCCTTCGGGCGCAGAACCCGTACCTCAAGCGGCACTGTTGAACGATACCCAGAATTTGACTGTCAGCATAGAGCCTGGAAAAACATATCTCTTCCGGATGGTCAATATGGGCGCTTTCGCTGCGCAGTACGTTTGGTTCGAAGACCATACCATGCGCATTGTTGAAGTCGACGGCGTGTACACCGAACCGATGGACGCAGAGATGATTTATCTCACCGCGGCGCAACGATATAGCGTCCTTGTCACCGCTAAGAATGATACCAAGTCCAACTTTGCTTTTGTCGGAAGCATGGATCAGGACCTATTCGACGCTGTACCAGAAGGTCTAAATCCAAATGTCACGGGCTGGCTTGTGTACGACGATAGCAAGGAGCTACCAACACCAAAGGAGGTCGAGGCATTGGAACCCTTTGATGATTTTGCTCTGGTGCCGTACGATAAGGAGGAACTGTTTGATCATGTTGATCGGTCAATTACTCTGGACTTGAAGATGGACAACTTGGATGATGGGGCGAATTAGTAAGTTTCTCAAACCTGCCTTGCACACTACATTCTGTGATGCCAGGACAGGGCTAATCCAATCCAGCGCTTTCTTCAACGATGTTACCTATGTCAGCCCCAAAGTACCCACGTTATACACCGTCCTTTCCACTGGTCCCAACGCTACAGACCCGACCATTTACGGTAGTAACACAAACGCCTTTGTACTTGCTCAGAACGAAGTCGTGGAGATTGTGCTGAACAACGATGATCCTGGGAAACACCCTTTCCATCTCCATGGCCACGTCTTCCAAGTGGTAACCCGCAGTGCCGATGACGCAGGTTTCTACGACCCAGGCAGTGCTCCAGACCCACATCCAACACCAATGCGACGTGATACTATTCTCGTTCGACCAAACGGACATATTGTTCTGCGGTTTCGATCTGATAATCCTGGTAAGTCAACCTTCGAGTATGGAGACATGCATTCCCGTGCCAGTATAGGTGGGGTGGTTGGTTTGCAGATGACTGGAGACTGACGTGAGTTATAGGTGTATGGCTGTTTCACTGTCACATAGAATGGCATGTAGCTTCTGGATTGACCGCCACAATGATTGAAGCACCGCTTGCCATTCAGGACCAGCTCTCTTCTTCCTCGTCAAACAACTCCATCCCACAATCACACTGGGACGTTTGCGAAGCTGGCCGCATACCCACACACGGCAACGCAGCAGGAAATACAGTTGACTACTCAGATCTTACGGGTGAGAACAAGAGTCCAGGAAGATTACCAGAAGGTTTTACAGCGAGAGGCATCGTGGCGTTGGTGTTTAGTTGTTTGAGTGCTTTTGCAGGGATGGGTGTCATTGGCTGGTATGGAATGAGACCTATCAGCGGATAATGAGTGATAGAGAAAGGGTGGGTGGAGCTCGATGTGTATGGGAGTAATGATACCAATGTAAAGTATGAACGAAGCCAATGATATTTTCTGCCAGATCTACGATACATCTTTACTTTGTACTGTCGAGTCTAACGGCTTCCATACAGCCAAACATGTCGCAACTTACAGCCAGCCCAGCGAATGCCCTTCCTCCCAGTAGTAACTCCACATATCCGTTCCCGTAAAATCATCGGCATAACTCCTGCCCTTTGTCTTCCCAGCCGCACCCGCGCAAACTACCAATGGCAAGAAATGTTCTGCGCCACCTCTAGGATGCATGGTGTAAGCCCCCGGCCACTTCCTCCAATGCTCAAACTTGGTTTCCCTCTCCTGGTCGCTCCCTGTCATGGCAGCATCGGTAACAGCCTTACTCCACTCCTTGTTCAGAGCCTTGAACTCAGGGTTTTGCGATGTGCCATCAAACATGAGACGTAGGTTGTGAAAGGTAGCGAAGCCGCTCCCGATGATGGCGATGTTCTGGGCGCGGAGGGTGGAGAGAGCGCGACCGATGGCATAGGACTGTGTGGGGGATTCGGAAGAGAGGACTGAGAGTTGGATTATGGGAGTGGTGGCCGAAGGGTCAATGAGTTTCATGGGAACGAAGACGCCGTGGTCCCATGCTTTGACAGTATATTAGTATGTGCTAAGCCGAAGGGACCTGAGAGGACATACGTCTTTTGGCATCTTTCTCACATTCAATACCGGCTTCCTTCAGGGCTCGCGCCACCTGTTCAGCGACCTCAGGACTTCCTGGCGCATCATGCTTTATCTTGTACGACTCTGGTGGGAAGCCGTAGTAGTCGTACAACAGCTCATGCTTGGAGCCGCTGGAGACAGTGACCTTGCTTGTACTCCAATGCGCAGTCACCAGAACGATAGCTTTTGGGGCTTCAGATGTTCCCAGCTTGAGTATCTTGGGCACCTTTGTCTTGAGCGACTTGGTGATGGCGGCGTGCGATGGGTCTCCGAGCAAAGGCATAGGACCTCCGCCGTGCGAGAGCGAGATGACAGGTGCGAGGCGTGTCATGTTGCCGCTGTAAGACGATATTGGAAACTGTTGGATGCCTTGGAGGGGATTGAAGGTCGTGTTGCTAGACGAGAGCTCCGCGGAAGTTGTTTGTTGGAGGCCGAAGAATGTTGCGAGGAACGATGAGGTACGAACGATTTTCATATTCTTGGCTGCGGTAGAGACCGGACGCAGTATATATGCATGTTGTGAAGGAGAGAGCGCCTTGTGGCGCTCGGCATTTGTATTGTTAGGGCATGACTCTGGTGTGTAAGTGGCATGTTGGACGGTTTGTAAGATGTGGTTTGAGAGCGCGGAATTGTGCCGACGAGGCCTGGCGGCGTGTCGGCTTGCGGCTTCCCGATCACGTGGGAACGCGCCGACGTGTTCCAGCATCCGAGGTCCTACGCATTTTGGAATGTTCAAGCTTGCATTTTGTCGAGAAGCACACTTGGTAGGCTGTACAGTCGCGAATCCATTCACAGAGTGTATGATGCAGCAATCATGGCATATTAAGAGTATACGTGAGTTGAGTGTATTATCGTTGATTCGACCACACGAAGTGCATGTCATGATCAATGTAAGTTCTGAGAGCCATCATAGCCCCAACCAGGGGTATCATATCATTCCATGTCATACCATCCAGGAACTCCTTGCGCCGAGCGACAGAACATCATATACCTAGAGGACATTTGATGCTTTCATGCGCGCAACGAAGAAGCATCCCCCCTTGAGGTATGAATACAGTCAGCGATCAGGAACGTCTCAGATGTCGTCTTCAGCCTCGCCGCCTAAGTCACAGTCAGCCTTGCTCAGCAATGTCTCAATCTTTTGTTGAAATAAAACTTACAAGGACCACCACCGCCATCAGCGGAGTTCTCGACAGAACCATCTTTGACTTCTTCCTCGGATGCCGATTCCTCTTTCTTGACAGCTTTTCTGGGACGTCCTTTGCCCTTGGCTGGCTCCTTCTTCTGATCTGGGGTTTTCTTTCCTTTCTTGGCAGCAGTGACCTTCTTCTTCTTGGAGTCTGACTTGTCACCCTCAGATTTTTCGGTGGCAGAGGGAGGATCAAGGTCTTTGGCGCTGTCTTCAGCATCCTCGGGGACCTCATCGGTTGCTTTGCGCTTCTTGACGACCTTGACAGGAGCTTGGGGCTTGGGCCTAGGCTCTCCACCAGCAGGAGCTGCGGAAGCAGCGACACCAGCCTGTCCAAGGAAGGCGGCGAAGGAAGCATGGCCCTCAACAGCCTTCTTCTTTACCGGCGGCCCTAAGCGATGGAAAGTGATGTTAGCATAGATCTGGAGTGCAGGTTGATAAGAAAGAGCCCGTGTTGTCTGGGTCGTACTACTAGACACGTAGACATTCCCTGAAGGTATACGCCGATGTCTACGTTGCACCTCCAGCTACAACGTGGCCGGGTGTACCTCGAGGGTAACTCTGACTGGAGAACACTTTGACTGGTGCCAGTAATGGAAGGTTACGTACACATCTTCTTGAGAGAGCCAGAAGTGTTGCCGGTCAACGTAGCCATAATGTCATAGTCAAATTTATCTGGAGCAGTGGAGCTGACAAAGGCAGCGGCCAAGAGCTTGGTCTCCTTGTTTGTGAAGCCTACCAAAAGGGCGTCGGACTCTCCGGCAGCGGCGTCCTTCTTAGGCGGCATTGTGAAGATGTAGTCGTTAGGTGTAGAAGATGAAGGAAGAAGCCGCGAAGCTGCAAATGCGGGCAGAAGAAATCGGTGACTCTGAGTAGAAGGAGAGAAAAAGAAAGCTGTTGTGAGGCAATGGAAGCGGGGTTGGTATGTTTGGAAAACGACGCAGTGAAGTCGGAATTCGTGCACACGGTCAACGGGAGATTGCACCTGGACTGCCATATCCGGATTCCAGCGCTCTGATTCGCCGAAGCGTCGTCCTCATTCTGCTCTCACCTGTTCGAGGTGAGAATGAACTGCGTCCTTCGCTTCGCATAGTGACGTCCCAATGCGGAAGTCTCATCCAAGAATTAGTTTAGGACGTGTGCTTACACGAAACAATAGTATCTTTGAGTAATAGCCGTGAACATTGAAACTTACGGTGAAGGTATTGACGAACGTCTATATTATCAACTTGAGAGAAAAGCCAAAGCGTCCACCTTTAGTGTACTTGTTCTTCAGTACGGTGCAATTCAAACAATGAGGTTTTCCGCATTGTGGCTCGAGATATAGGGTATATCTTTATGACTGGACTTTTAACATAGTTGTGACATCCTATGCTGGAGATTATGAACAAGAAAAACATGGCGAGAAAGCATTGAATCGCCAGAGAGTGTACAGAAAATTGATGTATAGAATCATTGACATGGCGTGTTAAGGAACCATATTCACGAATGTGCTTTCGCCGCGTGTGCTCTGATATCGTCCCGGGTGACATTGCTGCTGGTCATGGATATATGGAACAAATCGTACCGAAGCGGAGCAAGAAGGTTGCTCGTATTGAAATAGCAACGGGATATCCTTCCGAGCCGGGCGAAGTACAGGGTGACGGAAGGCAATATCGACAATCAAGTTACGGACCGACCTACTTATCACATTGTCGGGGTTCGCGATGCAGGCATGATACGATGTAGCGTCTGGGGCCCCACCTTCCGATGCAGCACACGAATAGGCAGCGTCGGCGCGAGCTGCAAGCGTCCAGACGACGTTGTCAAGGTGCCGAGTCGACGTGTTCACGTCTCGGTGCGGCGCAATTGGGGTTGAGCAAGTCGGCGAGGAAGAGGCATAGTCAGTTATGATAGGAGATAGAGTTGCTGCGGGGTGCCTGGCAGCAGCACTACCGTGGCACTCGGAGCGCAGGGCACTGCATGATGCAGTATACAGTGGGATGGTGGCTGGAGTAATGACAGGAGGAAGCAATATGCGCAGCCAGCCGTCTGGGCAGCTGGATTGCTGGGAACGCTAAGGAATATGGCCGACGGGCCCTGGGCAGCGGTCAGAGAGGCAGGACGGGAAGACGAGGTCTAGACGAAGCGGAGGAAGCGGTTGGAGCGGTGGCACTGCATCGTCGAGTCTCGATGTCGAGCAAGTGGAGGCGCGTCCGGTCAGTGCAGGCGGTGCATGTCTAGGGCCAAGCAGTGCTCAGAGCGGTAAACGGGCATGCCGCAGCCTGTATGGCAGTTCTGGCGTCTAATGGCCGCGCTGGGGGGAGGAACTGGCTGCAGTGCACGACGGTTTCGGGTCGAATGCGCGTCTAGGCAGGATCTGCGACCAGCGTTGAGCGGGCCGTGCCAGGTACAGGCGCAATTTTTGTGCTCAGTGTCTCGCAGTGCTCGCGTACTCGACGACGGGACCGTCGACACTAGCTTTCCAATTTCTATATTTCCTACTTGGCTGCTATTTCCGTCGCTCCCTGGGTTGCTTTCTTTTTCTTGTATAACACGCCTCCTCGCACCTGCCAAACGCCTCCTCCGCTCCTTCCCCCGTCGCCAGCTCTGCCCCTCACCATCCCCGCGAAGAGACGTCCGCCAAACGAGACGACACTGCCGATCTCCTGCACCTCCTTCACACGCGCTGAAGACACATCGGCCCTTTTCAACCACACAAGCCAAAATCCGGCTTTCGTCCCTCAACCGTTAACGATCGCCGTCATGTCTTCCCACCCGAGTCTCACCAGCACGTACCGTGCGCGCGCCTCCCTCCCCACGACTGGACCCCTGGCCTCGTACCTGCTGAGCCTGATATCTGTCAAGCAGACCAACCTCTGCCTCTCCGCCGATGTCGAGACGTCAGCCGAACTCCTACAACTGGCAGAAGATGTCGGTGACTCAATCTGCCTGCTCAAGACGCACTGCGACATTGTCACCGACTGGTCCGACAGGACAGCCCAGGCACTGAGGGAAATTGCAAAGCGCAAGTGGTTCCTTATCTTCGAAGACCGAAAGTTTGCGGATATTGGTGGTATGTCACGCTGGAGCCTGTAGTTCCTACCGGGCAATTGTCCCTAATGCACCCGTAGAAACCGTACAGAAGCAGTACACTTCTGGACACCACCGAATCGCACTCTGGGCCGAGATCACAAACGCCCACGTCATCCCCGGTCCAGCCATCGTGACCGCGCTCGAGAAAGCTGCCGACGCGACCATTGCCAAGTACAACACATCTGTAAACACCGAGATTTCTGCCACGCGACAATCCAACGGCGCCGATGATGACGATGAAGAAGAGGAGCCTGTGGCACGCGATTCGGCAATCGAGTCGCCAATTGAGATGGAGGGCGAAGAGAGACGGCTGAGCATCAAGGCTGCCGACCGGAAGCACAGCGTTGTGAGCGTGACAACCTCGATATCCATGCGGACGGAGAGCATATCACCTCGTCCAGAGCCCAACGCCAACAGCGAAGAAGTCTTCAACCTAGACGTAGCTACCGAGCTCGTTCGTCTTGGCCCACCACCTTTCCTCCGGTCCCTCCTGTTGCTTGCGGAGATGAGCTCCGAAGGCCATCTTATGACACCAGAATACCAAAAGAGGACTGTCGAGATCGCTCGAAGCCGTCACGAGTTCGTCATGGGCTTCATTGCTCAGCACAGCTTGAACACTGAACCAGAGGACAACTTCATCACCATGACACCGGGCTGCCAGCTTCCGCCGCCGGGTCAGGAAGGCAAGAAGCTGGGCGACGCTTTAGGTCAGCAATACAACACTCCGCGCAAATTGATCTTCGAGCAAGGCTGCGACGTTATCATCGTCGGACGAGGCATCGTGCGCGCTCAAGATCGCAAGTCGGAAGCAGAGAGATACCGAAAGGCCGCCTGGTCAGCCTACGAGGAGAGGATTAAGAAGGCATAGACGACTCGTCTATGAGGCCTACAATAGTCGATTTATACCCTTGCAATTTGCAATTCCAATATTCTGCCTGCGGCATTCGTGCACTCTGGTGCAAATCCAAATACAACATTATCAGATGAAGGCCATATATGGCGTTGGATATCTTTTCACATGACATGAAAACGCATACTATGGCGTTGCGATATGCTGGTCGACGAGTTATGATAATGCCAAATGACCGTAGACGGATGCAGGTTTACAATACGATTAGTACCACCATGAGATATTCATTGCCTTGGAAACCATACAAAACCAAGGATTTTTTGCAATTCCTCACCTAGATGAAAGTGGAGTAGAAAGCATGTCTGGACCAGGTCAAAGTCGCGTGCGGTCAGGGCTCGCGGAAATGTGTGGGGAAATAGTCGGAGCTCGGTCTTAACGCCAAAAAGTTCGCGACTCTTTCGTCGCATGCGACAGCTTCCATGTCACTCTACTACGAAGCCGCGGCGGTCCTCGCAAACACAGAGAATACCGGTGGATCTCTGAAGTCGCGGATATACAACAAAAAAGACTTGAAGAGCACACCTGGCCAATTGTTTGCCCTCATCGCGGAAACGTCAAAATGGTCCATCGTGCTCAAAGATGTGATTGAAAAGACAAGATTGCTTGCAGAGGAGCGGAAGGTAGCTTATCGTCAAACATGTTAAATTGCGCTCATTCACTAACCATGCCTTGTACAGCTTACCCCAATACTCGCTCTTCTTCTTACACACGACCTGTTGCTTGCGAAAAACGGCGTTGCTGCAGCCACCAGCCATGTCCTTAGACTCGCAATAACTCGACATAAAGCCCGCCTAAGCGCCGAACTCACCAAATCCCGCATACGATACGGATACGCGACCATAGAGGCTTTCAGAGAGGCTGTGAACGACGGCGAGCTTGATAAGGACGACAGCGATGCGCCCAAGAGTCGGCACCCACGGTGGGTACGCGTCAACACTGTAAAGACGACGTTACAGCAACAGCTTTCAACAACATTTGCCGGATTTGTGAAGACGAATGATCTGAGCGAAGTGCTGTCTGCGCCTAAGAAGTCGAAAATATACTACGAAGACCCGAACATACCAAACCTACTTGCCCTACCGTCCAAGATCGATCTGAGCAGGTCGATCGCGTATACCAAGGGTCAGATCATATTTCAGGATAAAGCTTCATGCTTTCCTGCCTATCTGTTAGATCCGCAGCCGGATGATGGCGATGTTATCGACGCGACAGCAGCACCAGGAAATAAGACAACGCATCTAGCGGCTATCGTATCTGACAGGAGACAACCCGGTAACGAACAAAAGGTCATCGCATTCGAACGCGACAAGGGCAGGTCCTTCACTTTGCAGAAGATGGTCAAGCTCGCGTCAGCGGACAGCATTGTTCAGGTCAAAGGCAGTAGTGATTTCATCGCTGCGAAGCCTGGGTCTGACGAGTACGCCAATGTGGGTGCTATATTGCTCGATCCAAGCTGTTCTGGTACCGGTATAGTTGGGCGAGACGACGCTATCAAAATGCACCTACCAGAAACGCCTAACAGCCGACCAGTGGCGCCAAAGCCCGAGAAGAAAGACAAGAAGCGAAAACGAGATGATGAAACAAGCAAGGCTGAGGCTTCAGCAACCCTTGACTTGGACATGGATGACTCAACTCCTGAAGAGACAGACACATCAATGCAGGGCAAGCTCTCTGAGCGGCTGGCAGCTCTATCATCTTTCCAGCTCCACATCCTCACCCATGCTATGCGATTTGCGAGCGCACATAAAATCACTTACTCGACCTGTTCAATTCATTTCGAAGAGAACGAGGGTGTTGTCTTCCAGGCATTAGCATCTTCTATTGCAAAAGAACGGGGGTGGTCAATTCTGAAGCGCGATGCTCAGGTCGAGGGAATGAAGAAGTGGTATAGACGAGGTGTTTGGGAGGACGAGAAGCTAGAAGTTGATGTACATGAATCCTCGAAGAGTGATGTGCTAGAAGCTTGTATTCGATGCGACAAGGGCACGGAAGAAGGTACGATGGGTTTCTTCGTTGCTGCCTTTGTTCGAGATGGCAGCGAGGACTCGACACGAATTACTGATGCTGTGATTGCCGAGGATGAGGAATGGAATGGGTTTAGTGGTGATGAAAAGGTTGAAGAGAAAGTAGAGCCTGTAGAGACAGGAACAGTGCAAGGGTCGGAAAAGAGGAAGAAGAAGAAGCGCAAACACTGAGGAATGAAATCCGATAGCGTAGCCTACCCAGGCAGTCGCTAAAAACTCAAGGAAAGAGCAGCTTGTGTTTTGACTCTCAGCTGGATAGTATACCAGGGCTTTGAACAATTACCCACAACTTCTTCTCATTGCGCTATTCAATAGAGCAGTCTTACCTATTTTTCCTTTTGTCAAACTCTCCACATACAGTCGATGCAACACAATCCTGTACACTGACTTCGCTGATTCATCATGACGCAAACCGTCCGTGACAGCCTGTCCAGCCCGCGGACTGTGTCTACTGCTACCATCCCAATCACGCCTCCAGCACAACCCGATCTCTCCCGTCCAAGATTGAAACACATAGCGAGATGGATCCGCGATGAGCTGGACTTGCGTGTCGCTCGGGATGGTCCCAACGTTCTTCATCCGGACGATGTGTTGACTCTCCACGAGACCCTCGTCGCTCTCCAACATGCACAAGACATGACGATTTCCGTCTTACGAGCGACCGGAATACACAAAGCTGTTCAAGACATAGCAGGAGTAGCGACGCGATGGCCCAGCAGATTATGCGACGACTGCGACAAGATAATCGACATATGGACCGCGAAATTTGGGCCGTTCAGTGAAATACATCCGTTTTTATACGGGAGAGGAGGACGCCTCGAAGGGATTGCGAGCATACATGAGTACTCCCAGGAGGTATGCAATGGAGGCACACACCATCTTCGATACTGAACTGATGGTTGTCGGCTGTAGGCATTGCTCAAGCGGTGGGCCGAAACATGTCCTGAGAAGATTCATCCCAGGCGCTCACACAGGCTGGGTGACCTGGGTTTCGTAGCTGGCCAGTACATCTACTGACGCTCCGTTCCGATAGTTGTTTATGCTGATCGTCGTTGCAGATGGTGGATCAACCCATTGTTCGCACACCATGCTGGCATCATCGGGCTCGAAGCTTGTAACGGTGGCACAACGTACGACAAGCACGGCGCCTATGCTCTACTGCTCAAGGATACAGGTGAGATCGAAGCCGCATCTGAACAGCGCTTCACCTATCGCGTACCACAAACCGACAAAGGCAAATTTCGTCTGACCTCTGCCACTCCCAAAAGCCGTGATCCTGTAAGAGTACTTCGCAGCCACAGTATCAACAGCGTTTGGGGCCCAAAGGCTGGTGTAAGATATGAAGGCTTGTATAGCGTCAAAGGATGGTCCATAAAACAAGCAAAAAGTAGTGATCTCGCCGGCGAGCAATGGAAGGAAGGCGATATCCTATTCGACGTCAACTTCGAACGTACAGACTCCGTGCCTATGGACATAGTCACCAAACGGCCTACCGCAACCGAAGTAGACGACTACGCCGAATACAAGCGCCTGCGCAAGGTGAACCGAGACGGAAAGCGTAAAGAACCAAGCGTGGTACCTATCAAAGATGATTTCTCGATACCCCTCAAAACTGCTCCTCCAGTGCTCCCAGCGCCTCTCCCGGTCGTCGAGGATACCTCTTTGAACTCTCGCCGCAAGGCTGTCTTCAAACATCTCCACTTCGACGAAGAAGCCCACGTCCATATGCTCGAGAAAGAGGTCATACTCTCCCCCAAATCCATCCCAAAGACCGACCCTCTTACTCTCGCAGCCACAACAGCAGGTAAAAGCAACACCCTCGCCGTCCCCGCATCGCTCATCCGCACAAACACTCATTATCATCAAGGACACGGAAAAACCGACAATCTACAGAGCGAACAGCGCGGAAAAGCTAGCCCAGTTGGTTCAAATACCAGTAGTGCACACACATCCATCAGCACATTCCCTGGAATCAACATCCACGAAGTGGCACCCTGGATCGATTATGACGTTGGACTAACAGTTCCTTCGCCAACAGAAGATGAAACCGTTATCCATCAACGACCAATCATCACGCAGTCTATTGCTACAGAATCGATCAAGACGATTGATACCAGATCGTCTGTCAAATTGGGTGGCACATCGCGCAGCAATTCTGGGACGATAAGACATATGGGTCTGCCAAGCGCTTCTGTCAACGAGAGTGATCGTGATGATTACTATCATGGAAAGAGAAAAGACGAAAGTTTCAAAGATGGCCTTAGTCCGCACAGTACTTTGAAGAAAGACGGAAACAAACGGAAAAGTATTTTGGTCAAAGGCAGACATTCTACGGCTAAGCTTTTTGACGGGGTTGTCGATGTGAAGAGAAAGAAGAAGAGGCGTGATATTGAATCGACAGGTCTAGATGGTGGTGGTGGCAGTGTGGTGTTCAGAGATCTTTTCAAAGACTTCGACTTCAGTACATAGATACATGCAACAACGTCCTATACCTAGCACAAATACCACAGTTGAAATTCTTCCAAACCCGTACGTCATAGTGGATCCAGCTATCGAGTTCGCTAAGCGATGCACCCAAAAAGGTTCCAGGTCAGCGGAATTTCACTAGCACGAAACTCGCAGTCACCAGTCCCATCCAGCTATGTTGCTGCGCATTATGTGCTGCATGGTTGTCTAGTGGATGGGGCTCGTGTTCACTAATTAATAGTCGTCCGTGTCCCGGTTTCTACCGAAAAGAGCCCGCACGTTGACCGGGCGCTTATACTTTGCGGGTTCTGTGGAGGCTGTGGAGGCTATGACATACCGTGGCATGAATTGTGGAGAAACCAGCATGCCGTTTTTCCCGCATCGTGACTTTTTACGTAGTTGTGCCTGGGTCAAGGATCGGGACGGCTGCGCCCGTGATCGGTATATGCAATATGCCGGAAAGAGCAATAGATTCACAAACAATGCATAGAGAGGTAACGTTGGCACAAAACTATTTTGGAATGTTCAACGTACGGGGGTATCGAATTTGCTGTTGCAGGAATGTAAAAACACAATGACTTTACCCACTTCATTCGCTGTAATCACCGAGTAGCGAAAAGAAGAAAGTGTGCTCATCCATCTCTTCCTCCTCTCAATGTCATCTTTGGTTCAATATGGCTTAACGAGACGCCATACTGGCTCTTCTCGCCTCGAGAACCGCGTCCTCATGAGTGGGAGGTCCCTCGTAGTTCTTCTTTCCCCAGACAAAGTACCAGATAGTTGAGACAACAACGACGGCGGCAAGAACGACAGAGGCGTAGTTCATCGATGCTGGTGTGACGTCGCGGAAAGTAGGCATACAGAAGAGAGGAGTGGCGAGAGCGGACCAGGCTGTCATATTTGTTAGAAATTGGTTACTACAAGAATCGGTCACGAAACTTACCAAGTGCAACAACGTTGCAGAAGGTACCAAGCATGCCAAGGTGGAACGCGCCGTCCTTGACTTGCTTGCGACCGGTCATGAGCGAAACGAAGATGGGGGCAGCGTAACTCAGGGTCAGGCAAATGACACCGACACCGGAGAAAGCGTTGAAAGCAGCGGCAGCACCGAAGTAGATGAGACCGAGAGCGATTTGAACAACCATACTCAGCATCATGGCGTTGAGCGGAACATCAAGGTTCGTGTTGACAGTCCTCCACAGCTTGTAGCCGGGAATAGCACCGTCACGAGAGAAGGCCCAGGTAGCCCGGGAGGCAGCAGTGGTGCACCCGATACCACAGAGGAAACCGAGGACCAGCAGGGGAATGAGCAGACCAATGGCACCACCGGGGGAGCCTACGGCATCCCTGATGATAACAGGGGTCGGCTGGCCGGAAAGTAGTCCTGCAAGCATGGCTTGGTCGGGAAGTACGAAGACGAGAGGAATGAGGAAGACCAGGCCAGCAATGGTGTTCAAGGCGACGGTAGCGACCATGGCCTTGGGGACCTGGGTGGCAGGCTCACGAACCTCTTCGCACATACTGTACACTGTTAGCGTTTGGACAATTATCATTTGACATTACCGCATGTAGACACGTCAAATGTCGCGATGGAGTGTGTTGCTTGGGAAGGTCGCATAGGAAATGTCGCTTGGGAAGGTCGCTTGGGAAATTTGCATTGGGCAAAGAAAATCTGCTTCAAGTTGCTTGGGCAGAGTAGGGGAGGCTCACGAGATGATCATTCCAGTCGATGAAGTCGCGTAGGCTGCGTGTAATAGTCCGACCATGAAAGACCATCCTGGGACCCATCCGGAGTTGGAGGGATCGAATTCAGTAAAGACGTATTCGGCGCTGTGGCGTCCATTCTTCGCAATGGCAAGGACGCATACGATAATGGCAATCACACCAGCAAAGGTCCAGAAAATGGCAAAGGTCTAGTTGTCTGTAAGTAACACATCCAGTAGTCGCTTGGGGGGTTTCTCACATCCAACCATGGTAGGTATTTGTTTCCAAAGGCAGACACAGCGTTGCAAATGAGTGTGATGCCAAGGAAGATGAGGAAGACCTGATAAGCTGATCCTTCCATGATACCAACACCAGGTTCGCTTTCGTAGACATTGACGCATGCCACAAGGAAGAGCGCGGTAGCAAAGTTGACTGAGAGAGTAATGGTAATGTTGCCAACTACGAAACACCAACCACAGATCCACGAGGCGATTTTCCGATAGGCGGGCGGCGTGATCATGAAGGTCTGGTAGTAGACACCACCAGAGGTCGGGTACACACTGGTGATCTCACCGAGAGATGCGGCGACAGCGAGAATGATAAGAGATACGGCGAGCCACCCCCAGATGATGTTGGTGGGACCTCCACCGACTACTGGGTAGTAGAGGGTTGTTGCCAAACCATAGGGAACCGAGGCCAAGACAAAGGACATGAAGGCAACCTGGAGAGTAGATCGTGACCGAACCAACTCGGCCTTGTAGCCCATGGCGGCTAGGAGGTTGTCGGCATGGGCGGGAACGACATCGTCTCCAGATCCAGAGTAGGTGTTGCCCAACTTGGTCTCCTTGTCAGACGCGCCGTTGCGAAGGACAGAGTGGTCGTGCTCAGCGGCATACGCATCTGACTGCGTGCCATACCTGTAGTCGGACATGAGGGGCGTGTCGCTATCGTCCGTGGGTTGGGGTCCGGGGAGAGAAAGTGACTGTGATAATTGTCGCAAAGCAAAACTCTGAGAGAGGTCACGACGGCGGATCAGCGCAGGCTTTGAAGGGCTGCAGAGGGACGTCAGTCGGCGCATGGTCCAGGCCCGCTAGCCACCTTGGAGGCAAGACGGCTCAGACTACCCACCCGAATTTCAGATGGCAACAGACGCCGAGCTTGGCAGGCCAATTGCTGATGCTAGGTGACCGGATAGGGCTGTTTTACAGCGCCGAGAAAATCACCGATCGGGTGGGAACTATGGTCTAATGCATCCGCGTTCCGTCGCTTAGGTGTTGAGGTTTTTTCCAGAAGTGGGCCAGAAGCTGAGCCGCTGTCTGCCGATGAAAACCCGGTGAGGGAAGGGCCCTGAGCTGGTCCCTGAAGCATGTCGCAAGACACTGAGCCTCACTCGGGTGTGCAAAGTTTGCAGGGCAATCGCTGGTGAACGCGTGGGGGGAGGGTGAAGTCGGGCGTGACTTTGACAATTGCAGATTTGCGCAGCCAATGGGAGTCGCCGAGGGCGTTTGGCGTGCGTCGCAGGCGTCCACCTCGGCTCAGGAGCCGTATTCGTGGATACGGTCCGGGGCAATGGTCGCGTGTGCATTAACGCGCTGGGCAGGTTTGCGGAGTGTATAGATAGGGGAGAGATGGAGACGGAGATATCAACATGGAAGGGTGGAATCGTGTTTGCTGCTACCAAGAGCTGTTCCTTTGCTCCTTCCCTCTGTCTGTGCCTTCCTTCCGGTGGGAAAACGCGCCCTAGGATGTCGAATGCGGTAATAGTGGTGCCAGGCTTGTCGTCTAGAGGCGTCTCTTATTGATATAAAATGGAAATGCGTCATGTTCGACAGCCGTGCATTGGAAGCTGCGCAACGTTGCCGCCATGCATCACGAGATTGTCGCTCTCGAGGAGCATCAGCAGCCCCTCCCACTTGACGGCTTCAGCTTCCCCGCCACCATTACGCACAACCTGACAGCCTACGCGACGACGTCGACGCGCGAAGAGCTCCACTCGCGCATCCGCAATGCCACGATAGTCATCACAACCACTATCAAGCTCGATGCCGAAACATTGCGCCCCAGTGTTACTCCAAACCTCCGCTACATTGCCATTTCTGCGACGGGAACAGACCCTGTGGACCTCGACGCCTGCCGGGCCCGCAATATTCGTGTTACAAACTGCCCTGGGGCCAATATCGACGCTGTTTCGGAACATGCCATAGGCCTGTACTTCGCCGCCAGACGACGAACCGTGTTCCTAGACCGCGTTACTCGTGCACAGCCTAGCGAATGGAAGACCAAGGGTAGTGTCAATCAGCACATGCGCCTGCCGGATGGCATGCCTCCGATGACCTGCAAAGATGAGGTTATGGGTGTTATCGGCTATGGGGGCATAGGTAGGTCTCCATGCCCTAATTGGGATGCGAGATCCTGAGCTGACGACGAGGAACGATAGGGAAGCGAGTGGCTGCGCTCGGGCAAGCATTGGGCATGCGCGTGCTTATCGCCAGTCGCAAGACACCGGCGACGCCTCCCCTTGACGGCGGACTACCACTGCCAGCCCCGGATGCTTCAGACGACCGCATACCCTTTGACCATGTGCTCCGTAACTCCACCGTCCTTGTCCTATCTCTGCCGCGAAACCCCGAGACGCTCAACCTCATCTCCACCGCAGAGCTCGAGAAGATGCATCCATACACCGTCTTGATCAATATCGCGAGAGGCGGCATAGTGCACGAGGCAGCCGTCGTGCAAGCCTTGAAGGAACGGCGCATAGCGGGTTATGCTACCGACGTGTATCAGGTGGAACCTGTTGGTGGACCTGAGGATTCTCCGCTGCTGGAGGAAGACATAAAAGATCTCAACGTCACCTTGAGTCCTCACTTGGCGTGGTTCTCGACAAGGTCAATCAAGAACCTTGGTGAAATTCTGAAAGAGACCATCGAGGGATATGTGAGCGGTAACGACATCAACGTCATTCTCTGACAGCATGACCCATAACGTACACAGTAGAGGCGCCGACACTATACTTTTGTCGCTGACCTCGGAGCAATTCCAACACATAGATATCTTGCGGCACCGACAGCCACCGACGACTCTAGCAACTTTCTGCATCACGCCACGGAATCGTGTTTGACTATGCTCCTGACGAAGTATGGACTTTATTAGAATTCAATCATTATGCTCTGTGGCCTTGCCTTTGGATCGCCCTACGAATACCACAAAAGTAACCTATGATTCCGAGTCTATGTGTACTTTGGTATTCTTTGGTGACTTGAACATGACAAGATAGACGAAGGACACATGCGGCGTCGTGGTTATATGTTCGAGCAGTCCCGAAATGTACAAAAGTCAACCGGATACAACGCGAAATCATCCGGTTTGGACTCTTCACTCTTCACTTTCATCTCACGACATGTATCTTCACCGCGCGTAGTTGTCTCAGGGTTCTTCCCCACGCGATCCATGGATGCCCGCTGTGGGACTTCGCTACCATTGATTGCACTGCGAAACGCCCATTCAGATTATGCAGTCGTCTTCAGACCCTCAACAAAAAGACGTTCAGAGCCTGGTACTAGCTTCTGCCGTCACGTTCAATTCGGCTGCAGGTGGATTTTGTCAGGCCTTGGCGCCGTAGCCGTGCCCTACGTACGAGAACAGTCTACTTCACGCCTTTTTTAACCCTCTGCCGGGCTGCCACAAGTGTGATTGACATCCTGGTATTTTAAACAATCTGCTCTATGCTAACGGCATGGTAGTTGATCGCGCAAAATGGCGTCGCCAGACGAACTTTCTCCTTCCAAGCCCTCCGGTATTTTTTACACATGCCAGAACGACCTTCAGAGTTCACATTTCCTGTTTCCTAAGGTTGGTGAAGAAAGCGCCAAAGCTTTTCATCTACACCTTCAGAATTGGGGCATGAAGCTCCCTACCCTCCACGAAGGGTATGAACAACTACTTAACCTACAAGCGCTGTTCTGGCGGAAAGTTACCGGTATCGACGAGATGGATAATCAATCCTCGAAGCCTCCAAATATCAACCAGACATACCGTTGGACAGACGACCAGGATTTGGCTGAGCATAGGGACTATGTTCTACAGGCGCTCGAAGGCAGGGGCTCTGGCAAAGTGTATCAAACCAAAGGTGATCTCGTCTTCATCGTTAAAGATGATTCTAAGAAAGGTTGCGACAACCTTTCCTGCCCAGAAGTAGGAGAAGACACACTTGAAAGAATCAAGAGGGGCCCTCTTTTCATCACGCTTGAACCACTCCTTGATTGGGGAACCGTCACGCCGGCTTCTAACATGTGCGTGGCTTCTGGTAAAATCATCGCTTTTCGCCGTAATGGACCGAGAATGGATGACCCTTTGTGGACTCAACAGGTCAAAAAGTTGGTGCCTAGGCAGACACGCACCTACTGTTTGGACTGCCTGGAAGAGCTTGTGAACCGACGGACAGAGGCGCAGTCTACCACCAACCGGTCCGCGGGTCAGTCACAACAAGGTAGATATCGCCATGTTCCTAATCGACCTATTCAGCGTCCAACTTCTAGGAGCGAACTTTACGATGTGAGGGAGGGCGGCGGGTCGGACGATGCTTCGAGCTGTGAAGGCCTGATTCCCTCGACTGCTGGCTCGCTACAGCTCGATGGCGTGACTGAACAAACTCCCTACACAGAGTCCCGTAACTATGCACCCGCCAAGATGAATGACCGCGAGAGCTCTTGGACAGTTGAGCACAAGACGGGCTTCGTTAAGTATACAATGAGCGGCAAAGAATTATCCCGTTCACAGCGCCTTCCAGGTACCTACTCTCCAACAGTCGCTCATAGCAGAATGGACAGTGTCCACTCCCATTCATCGACTGGCAGCTCTTCTTATTACCCTCTCCCTTGCCACAACTCTCAACGGTTGACTCCTGGATCATCAGGAAACTCCGCTTTCGTTTATCGAGACCCTACATCCGTACAGCAAGACGAATACGAAAAGCTGGGCAGCGCAATCCTCCTGGAGAACAGTGTACCTGATTTTGGGAGTGGTCATCGCGAATTTGGCCGTGACGTTGAAACCAACCTTGTCTGTCGTTTCTTCACCAATCACCGAGTAAGACGCGAAAATATGACCAAAACCGAGGACACCAATATCTGCAACGTCTTCACAGTAGTGAATCCACGCGGTCCTCTAACACTCAAACGCTCGGTCAAGACCAACAACATAAATTACGAAGAGTTGAATCTGAGTGATGATGCATCTGACGCTGCAAAGGAAGACGCCGACCCAGACACACCGGATGGAGAATATACACCTACCAAGAACAAGGGAAAAGCTAGGTCAAAGTTTGTATCGCCGAGTAAGAAGAGAAAAAGACCAAGCCCGCCGTCAAAGACCACAGCGAAAGCACAACAATTCCACGCACCCGTCTACCGCAAGCACGACCCAACCACCGACGACTCACCACCCTTTGGTGTCACTCAAGCAGCCTTCGAGACATACAACAAACACTTACCCGCAAAGGGCGACCTAATCTGCTCCTGCCACGAGCCTGCGCGTACGAACGACGTTCCGATCACGCAATGCGTGAACAAGGGTTGCAAAGTACGCTGGTACCACAAAGATTGCCTGAGCACACGTGGCAAGTTACAAGCTAGACATGGAACCTATCTCTGTGAGCAATGCCAAAATGAAAAGTACTATGCGGAACTATCTCGAACCAATGGGTGGTCTGGAAAAAGATTGGTGCAAAATGAGGCTGCGATGCCTTTTACTGGGCACGAGATGGCAGGAATACTTGGTAACACGGGTAACTTCCAGGCTGTCGCGAATCCGTATGGTCTTGCCATGTCAGCTATAAGTAACGCGCTCTCCCCTTTTGCTCAACCGTTCATCCCGGGCATTGCGGCTGCAACAGATGCTGCGGTTTCGAGTCGTCTGGCGGTGGGCTCCGAGCCTTCTCTTGGTTTGGAGACGTCGCGCCCCTACTTTGTTACGGAGGCTTATACTAGGGCGGGCGAACACCAGCATGTTGCCGATGAAGCGTGGGAGAATGCGCAGGTGTGTGGGCGCTACTCTGGTGGGTGAGGTGAGTGGGATGAGGAGATGTCTGAGGGCGATGAGGAAGACGAGAATGTCACTGAGTAGTGATAAGATTCTGCATGACCTTCATGGTATAACACGGAGCAAACGAGTTGGAACTATGTTATTCCAAGACCAATGCGTATTGCTTCATAAGTGCTTTGTACAAGTCAAATAGAGAAACTAATAGACTGTTCTGCTCTGTGTTGATGTTTATCTCGGCGTGGGTTTAGTCCACACTTCCGATCTTCGATAGCAGCACCGCGATCAATAAAGGCTGTATAATAGCTGAGAAACGCCGTCAGGATCACATTCGGAGAATGAGAATTGGAAGCTGTCCAGGGCCGCAAGCTTACAGAGGACATATATTCTGCCTGGCGAAGTGAAGAAGCTTGGTGCGCACGCACGAAAAGCGGGCGAACTATTCAGTTACGTCATCCGTACTGCAACAACCACCTATGCCATACCTCGGGCTGCAATCGGCTGTACCCGCTTTAGCTGCAGGGTCTCAGGGTATGCGGAGTGACATGTATATCCGTTGTTAGACGTATAGATTGAGCTAATATCCTCTGTTCAACTTGATCCATCTTTGTCGGGCATCTAATCATCCAATTATTGCAATCCAAACTCAAGAAAAGTGATACGAGTCGCTTGCTCAACTGAGAATTATGACTAGCTCACAGAAACGAGTTGGACTCATCGGTCTCTCGGCCAAAGGGTAAGTATGCATTTGAAACTGTATCGTACGATAGCTCAATTGACGTCAACGTTCAGATCATGGGCATCCAGCTCTCATCTTCCTCACCTCCAGCGCACTCCTCACTATACTATCACTGCTCTCCAAAATAGCTCTCTTAACTCAGCCAAAGCATCAGCCAAACAGTACTCTCTAGACTCAGTTTCCACCCACGACTCCCCCAACTCTATTGCTCAGGATGCCAATGTAGACATCGTAGCCGTTAGCGTCAATGTACCCCTACACTACGCGCTTATCCGTCCCGCTCTCGAGGCAGGGAAAGACGTATTCTCTGAATGGCCCTTGGCGCGGAATTTGAAAGAAGCAGAGGAATTGACTGCTTTGGCTCAGGCAAAGGGTGTGAGAACGATGGTGGGCTTGCAAGCCCGCCAAAACCCTTCGATTCTCAAAGCAAAGGAAATCGTTGGGTCAGGAAAACTAGGGAAAATCTTGGGGACGACGATGTTCGGCCATGTAAGAATATCGTCAATCATATCCTTCGGATTTGAATGACAGAAGAGGGATGCATTGGCGTGAGTAAACTTTCTGACGAACAACAGGGCATGATATTCGGCGGCACAATTTTTCCCTCCCATCTATACATGCTCCCAGTCGAAGCAGGCGCAAATGTCCTCACCATTCCCTTTGGTCACGCTGTCGACGCGCTCTGTTACGTATTTTCTAGCGAACTCCGCTCAATCTCCGCCGTGCTATCCAACCGCTACCCAGAACTTGAGGTGATCGATGAGAAGACCTACCAGCCCAAGGGTGAAAAGAAAAGTAAAACTTCCCACGACTTTATTTCCATGACTGCAGAACTTGTCAACGGAGGCGGCAACGTAGATGTCAATTATGCTCCGGGTTTGTCGCGCAGTGGACGAGATTTCTACTGGGAGATTATCGGATCCGAGGGTACACTTGTCTTAGAAGGACCGAAGATGGGTGGACATGTGCAGATGTTCCAGCCTACTGTCAAGATCGCATTGGGTCAGGAAGAACTCAGAAAAGTTGAAGTGGAGAAGGCTGAGGATACGTCGTTCAATGTGGGGAGGGCCTGGGATGCGTGGGCTGGGGAAGGTGTAGGCAGCGTCACGACCTGGGAGGATGCTGTTATCAGGCATAAGATGATTGAGGCGATTTACAGAAGTGCGGAAAAGAGTACCAAGGAAGATTATGTGTAGGCCATCATAAGTCGCTCTGATACAGAGAGTATAAGGCGGTTCAGAAATGTTGATAGCTCTCGAGAAGGACAAATGGATAGAGTTTAGCGTGGAAATCTTCGGCTGTGGCGTCTCATGGCAAAACATCAACATCATACCTTCCCGCCCATCACAGATCTGTCTGTTACAACCCATCACAATTGTAAGAACAGCCTCGAATATACATCGGTCTTGTTCTCTAGCACTACGCACCCGATTATAGAATCTCCCGCCCTGACAAGAAGATGATAATGCCCGCCAAGCCGACGCTAACTCGCATCCGCTTTTTCTTACGTTATAGTTAGCAACGCCGCCTAGCAACCTCGAGCTGTTAGTCAAGTCCCTTATGAACCGTGATGTCAGAGGCTCAGGTTTTGTTTGCACCTCATGGTGACCGCCGAGCGAAGATGGGGCGAGCTTCTGTCGGCTCCATCTCCACTCGACCACCCTAGCTACTACCTGCGACGAACTCCAGGCTTGGTGCTGGTCAGAAGCTTGTCTCCCAAGAAGCCTTGCTCTCAAAGGTTATTGTTCCCTGGCGTACTGTGACGGCAAAGTCGGTTTCACCGTATTCGACGTGTACCCTGCGGATAGCTGCGTTGTCCCGTGCTCTGGTCATACGGCTCGCACTCAAACTACGACAGAGAGACGTTGCAACCAGAGCGAAGAGTGTGAAGGCGTGTGTAAGAAACTGGGTGACTGATGCTTAGTCGCCATCTTTACATCCGACGATACAGCTTATAAGCCAGACCGGCAACGCTAGCTCCGTCTTCGCCTTGGCTTATCGTCCGTGGCCATGGCTTCACCAACATCAACTTCGAGGTCTTCGACAAGTCTAAGCTCGCAAGCTGTCGACGAGAAGCGCGATCGGCCATTGAGTCCAAACATCTCAGGAACACAACCTTCACAGCCAGATTCGAAGTCTAGTCCTACGTTCATATCTTGGGCCTCATCAACCGACTCTTCAAATCCTTTCAACTTCTCTTCCTCGAAAAAATGGCGCACGACGCTTCTAGCCTGTACCATGACATTCGTCGTACAAATCTCAGGAACAATGCTCACATCCGCCGCCGAGCAAATCAACACCAGCTTCAACATCAGCGACGAGGCATTCCCACACTCCTACTGGCCAGTGTTGAGTTGGAACCTGGGAGGCGCCGCAGCACCGTAAGTGCCTCTGTACGAACTGCATGTGGGATACGTACTAACTTTGTACGCTTACATTTAGACTCTTGGGACTGCCTTTGATGGAGAACTTTGGGGTACGATGGAGTTATCTGGTCATCTACGCAGTTCTGATCATCTTCATCATTCCACAAGCGTTAGCCAAAAACTTCGCGACAATCATTGTAACGAGGATCATTACGGGTTCTTGCTCGGGTGTGCTTGCAAATATAACGTCGGGCATTGTGAGTGATATATGGAAAGACGGAAGAGCGAAGAGTTTCGGTACCTCACTTTACATTTTCGCCCTACTTGCGGGCCTTAACATGGGGCCTGTTTTTGGGAGTTTGGTAGTGCAGTATACGACCTGGCGATGGTGAGTCATGCTTTGGCTACTGCCTTCTCTACTTTAACTAACCTAAATGTAGGGTCTTCCTAAGCCAGATCATCTTCTATAGCGCCCTTATACCAGTGCTGTTCTTCCTCCTCCCCGAGGTTCGACCCGATGTCATCCTCACTCAGCGTGCACGTCGTATTCGTGCAGAGACTGGAAAAGAGGTGTATGCACAGGCGGAGAAAGAGCATACAAATTTTGGTGAAATCCTTAGGGAGACGCTTGTCAGACCCACACGTATGCTCTGTACCGAAGGTGTAGTTCTGTCTTTTGGAATGTGGAGCGCTTTCTGCATCGGCACAGCGTTCATGTTCACACAGTCCATCGTGCAAGTCTTCTCGGAGTTGTACGGCTGGTCTTTCTTCGGCACGGGCCTTGTGCAATCCGCAGTCGTGATCGGGGAGCTTATCGGCCTTGTCGCATCCCTAGTTCAAGATCGAATCTACTTCGCATCCGCGAAACGCAACACGGATACACCAGGAAAACCGATTCCTGAAGCACGACTCTATCTCAGTATTCCAGCTTCGTTTATTGGTCTAAGTGGCGGACTGTTCTACTTCGCGTGGACGTCCTACGCTTCTATACCATGGATTGTACCTAGCATATCGCTCGCCTTTGTTGGTTTCGGTATGTTCTGCAGCACAGCTGGAGTGACGACGTATGTGGTTGATGCGTACGCAAAGTACGCTGCTAGTGCCATTGCAGGCATTGCATTCCTTGAGAACTTCATGGCAGCGTTCTTACCGCTTGCAACCCAGAGTATGTACCGTACGTTGGGCTTCCAATGGGCAAGTAGTTTGTTGGGCTTCGTCGCATTAGCACTGAGTTTCATTCCTTTGATATTGTTGAGATTTGGGAAAAGCATACGTGGAAAGAGCCCATTCATGAGTGAAGCGGGGTACGAAGATTGAGTGTTGAGATCACTTGATGACTGTTAAATATCAAGACAAAGAAGAGAAGACGTATCTTGCTTATGGACAGCCCTGGCGTGTTGTGAACAAGAACCCATGTTTAACGCATCATTCGGGCGTCGGCAGGTGTGCCGCTCTTCGTTTCATCGCCGGAGCCAGCGCGATTGCAGAGAACCTCAGGTCGCCACCTTTCTCAGACTCGATCCTCATCAGACGTCCAATGCCCTTCTCCAGCGCCGCAGGACTAAGCACATCCTCATCCTCGTTGAGCACACCTCGGTCGAGTGGACCCATACGACCACCTTCGAGTTCCCACAAGTGACCATCTTTTGCTTTGACGAACGCCACGAAATGCTGACCGAGATGATATTCCTCTATTGCTACAGGTGCTTCAGTGTCTCCAAGTTTTGCTGCGTCTGCGTGAGCCTTCTCGAATGCATCAGAGTCTTCGAGCACTTTCGCCCGCTCCCAGATGGGTTTTGGTAGCGCATCATCGCGGATCTTGGCGAGTGTCGAGGATGGCTGGATGTGCTGTGCAGCTTCGCTGTTGAGGAGACAGTGGACCAAGCCTATGCTTCCGCAAGCGTTGCCTATAGTTTGCTTGAACCATATGACGGGTTCTGTGTCGCCTTTGCCCTCATACTCGGATTTGTCTCTATCTTCTACCGTTCGCGCCTCATCCCAAGTAGGCGTCAGAGGTATAATAACGAGTAGTGCTATGGCTGGTCGCGGGATGAAAGCCAGCATGTCCGGATCAGTAAGTGAGTAGACATCGTAGAATGAGAGCGCATTCGTGTCCAGACCGAGGTTTTGAGCCAGGGAGTTCATGACTTCTGGGTTGTTCTCAAGAACAGTAAACATCTTCTTTGGCGTCATGTTGGTGGTAGTTGCGACAATTGTAAATCACAGATGATCGAGACGAGCTGGCTTATGTTTGATGGCAGGTTTGAAAATGTCAGTCTTAATGAACACGCTGGATACCAGGCAACGATGAGACACGTAACAACTAGCCTCATGGTTCATTGGTGTAGGCAGCCACTGCAGGTACGCTGCAGGTAAGACGAAGGGCGCGCAGGAAACACCCTTGCCGAAAGTGGAGAAGGCTCAGGCCCGCTCAGAGGGGAGGGGAATGAGACCCTGCGCTAACCCTGAGCTAAGTGCGGGGCATTCACTCCCGGCAGCAGCAGCATTCCATAGAGCTCCAGATGATACAACATCATCTCGTATGCTGATGTATTGAGACCCATCTTATGCATGTATGCCGTCTTGTTCTAGTCGAAGGGTGCTTCCCCGCACGCGTCTAACGCCGCGGACCTCCGAGCAATCTGAAAGCTTTGGTGGCTTCCGCCGGCTCTCCGCAGTAGTAAAGTCCAGCGCTTATACTTGCGCCTTTTTACCCACCACACGTATCTATATAGCTGCAGTAGAGTCTTCAATTTCAGACACTTGAATCCAAACTTTCCAAGTAAACAAGTAAAGAGGGCAGCCAACCCCAAGCCTACCATTTCACGCTGCCGAACTGCCCAGCCCATCATGGACGACGAAGCCCGTCAAGCAATGGCAAGCATGAAGATGCCGCGCCGCCCCATAAACTTTGTTTCTGCGAAATCGGGGGAAATACTCAAACTAGGACACATCACTTGCAGAATCATGGAAGACGGATCACGAACAGACAACCGCATAGGCTCAGCAGAGTTCACGCTACCTCCGAACACGGCTGGCCCACCAGCACACTGGCACGAGATGCACGACGAGACATTCCTCGTCACACAGGGAATAGTGCGGGTACGTCTTAAACCACCATTCCTGTCCTTTTCTACTACATTAGATGACTAACACTCGATACAGTTCCACGCCCCCGACGGCGCCCAACACGATGCCCACGTCGGAGATTATGTTACCGTACCTATCCGCGCACCTCATACTTTCTCAAATCCTACAAACGAAGAAGCCAAGTTCTTCAACACGTTCACGCCGGCGTTCTACATCGATTACTTCAAAATCCTGGCTGAGATAAGTAAGACAGATGACAAGATGAGCAAGGAGAAGAACATGGAGGTCATGAGCCGATTTGCGACAATACCTGCGAAGGAAATGCTGGAGGAAAAGAAATAAGAAAGGGAGGTTCTCTCACTAAATCGATAAGAGGATGATATTAGGAATGGAATCGAGCCCATCTCATACGCAAAAAAAAGGCTGCCACAAACAAAAAATAGCAATAACAGTAAAAGAGAAAAGCCTGCTTTCCCACCAGACTTCTCGAGAACCAGCTCCGCGATATGTTTCAACCCCAAGATCGGCTTGTCGATAGATCGTCTTCAAATAACAATTCCATCCCCCTCGTCATCTACTCTACAGATACTGCACTCTTGGTATAACTTTCCGCAAAACTCTCTAACAGTCATCTCGGCTCCCACGTCAGCACCCACAAGATGATTCTTCGCACAATACCACATCCATTGTCCCCCATACTTCTCATCCCTCTTCAGGTAGTTCTCTCCAGGACTCCAAGTGTCCAAACTAAACGTAATCTGTGTGAGCTGCGGGCCCCGTGGTACCGTGTCCGAGAACTCCGTGCCCAGTAGCTTGAGCGACTGGGAAGCGTGGTACCAGATCCAGAGTGGGTTCCAGAGGGGATCGCCGAGGGCTTTGGCATCGAGAGTGAAGGCTTGAACAGAGGACATGTGTTTGAGTTGTTCGCGCATGCGGCGGCCGAGGGTCCAGGATGAGGAAGTCATGGAGCGGGGGTCGGTGACGCCGAGCATGGAGGATGTGGTGACGAGTTTGAGAGAGCATTTCTGAACTTTGGACAGGGTCGTGGGCGAAATCTCCCATACTGGGGTGTAGTTTGTTGGCGAAAATGGAGATGATGATGGAGAGGCGGTAGCTGGCCTGTACGTCTGTGGGGTGACGCTGAGGTGGAAGGTCTTGCGCTTGCAGATCATGTCCATGTATTCTCCATAGACTTGCTTGTTTGCTAGAAAGATGGTTTTACTCTCTTGCCGCGTTCCTGGAGACGTGGATGCAGATGACCAGCGTGCTGGTCTCATCCAATCCAATGTTGAGCGCTGGAGTTCGTTGTGCGCTGGTGGCGGGTATGCAGGATCATCGAGGAAATGCTCATACACCATATCTCTAAGTTCTTGTGGTAACTCAAGGAATGGAAACGGCTTCTTGCTTTGGTGTTGCATCTTATGGTACTTGCTAAGAGCGACAAGGGACAGTAGGGGGAGTAAAAGTGCTAGTAGGGTCACCCAACCTTTGAGTTCCAAGCCAGTAAGAGCATATTCCGAAAAGCCTGCCTGCCATCGCGACAATGTGCTCGCCTTTGTCAACGTGGACGCCATGACGACGCTTGTAGTAACGTGTGGGGTACCGTTTGATCGGGTGTGCGATACGCGCTAGCGGAAACTGTCCAAGGAGAACAGCAGGCCAAGGGCGCTGTCCAACTTCCCTTGCACAACGGAAACACGTCGGCTTACGGGTGCTGCGCGATACTGAAACAGTGGCCCTTCCTTCGCATACGAGGATGGCTAATTGCGGGGTGTGTCGATTGGTCAGACGAAGAGTCCGAAGGGTGCCGCGTTGTTCGCTCGTTCGTACAGTGGGATCGTGCACGAATGCGTGATGCAAGGTCGCGTGATGAATCAATATGAACCGATGCGTGTTGGTGCAAGTGGAAGGTGATGGAGGAATGCGCGAGTGAGGAATATGTAGTTGAAGGTAAGGTAACCAATATTGATGCCTTGCGAATACGACTTGGGGAGGCAACCTGAAACGGATCGCCTTACGCCGCAGCTGCTAACAACCTCTCAACACAGCCACATCGACATCCTCATCTACGGGTGCCACATCATCAGACATCTATCATATCCGCACGCACGATGTATGTCCGTCTCAAATTATGAATTGCTGGTAGGAATGGAGATCACATACATGTCAGCACAACCCGAGCCGAGCTCTTGTATGAATGAGCTAATTCTCTTAGATTCGTCTGATGCCTAGTAAGATGTACTCCAAAGGCACATCATATTCGACAGGATGGAACGCTGCAGTTCGGAGTCTCAGTAACTAGCTCTAGATTGTCTTCCAATATTCATCTCGACGATGACCATATCCAGCGCAGGGCCGTATTTTGGTTCTATCTACCCTAGGCGAATTACAACTTCCACGTTCTAGCCAACAACCATAAGAGAAGACACAACTGATGCAGATCGTTGGGACGGAATGAGATGAAGAGATAGTCGAGTTGATTAGAGAGTGGAACTATGGCCAAAACGCGTCTACATGCAGGGCGAGGTGGCTAGCACCAGTACCAAGCACAAAATCCTAGCCACACCATGGAGTCTGGAACGAAGTATATACGCGCATCCCAGAAACATCAATCGATCTGATTTTGGCTTTGACATTTCGGAGTTTGGGGTCGCCCTCTTCCATGTTCAGTCTTTGCAGCCTATCCTTTTGGTCTTGTGACGTCTTTCTTGAGCTTCTCGAGGCAAGCTTTCTAGGAACTTGAGTAAGGATAGTTTCCATAGTTACACATCTGGCAGTGGGCATAGCAGACGTGGTGCGTTGGAGTACTACTATCGAAACTGGAGGGAAGTAGTGAGTTTTGATACATGGTGCAAGATCCCGTTTGTTTTTGGATCAGTGAGATGCAGCGCAAAGATGCAGAATACTTACTGGTGTTGGGCACGGAGTGCTCACTCTGAACCCTAGCCTGTTACAACTACGAGCAATGTGCGCAAGACCACTTTCGTTGCCGAAGCTGACTTTTCAAAACCAAGAAATCGCTCTGAATATGCTGCTGCCTACATATTGTGTTAACGAATGTGACTTGTTGACCATCGTATACTGTTGCGGCCACCACGAATTGAGACCATTTCATTACATCAGTCCCGGTAACCACCATCAAGAGAGCCACGTTGTACTAGGTCTACGAAGTAATATGTTCATTTCTTAGACATTACACACTATCGACGTACTAGGCATACCCCTGATCACCATTCGTCTTCGCTGCCACGGCATCACAACAAGCACTAGTATCCAAGCTGACCCCTAACTGCACCAGACGAGAACTGTGCAGTGTGTGAATCAGTGAAGAAACCCTTGGGGTTCGCTACAATCTGCTTTACGTGAAAGCCGTCGGCCTGATCCTTTCCAGTTGCCATGTTGATAACGCCAACTTTGAAGGGTCCCTTCAAGCAGCCAACGGAGGTGCGGCGCTCATCTGGACCGGAGGGGTTTGGGAAGGCCTGCGTGATCGTATATTAGTAGTTGTCTTAATCATTGTGGTGCATGCTGGGGAGTCGAGGATAAGGGACAGAAAGGAACTAGACTTACGAGTCTTGGTGGGCCAGCTTTGCCCTTGGCAGCCTCATGAATATGCGTCGCGGTAAGCGCAGGCGACGCATACTCTCCAGTCACACCGCTCAGAGTGATGTTGTAGCAGATGGTGTTCTCAGCGATGTTGATGCCGTATTTGAAAAGACCCTTGGCACCGGGCTGACCGGGAGCAGGGGCGCCAGTGGTCGCGATGACCTGGTCCGGAGTCGCCTTAACGACATACTCTGCGTCGAAGTAGAAGAGCTTCTCGTTCTTCTTCCAGCTGTTGTCGTGTGAGTTCCATTTCGCGTCCCAATCCTTCTTGCAGTCGCTCTTGTAATCGCTCTTGCTGCCTGAGGGAGCGGCGAAAGCAAGGGGGGTTGAGATGAGAGCGAGAAGTGCGGGGGTGGTGAAATGCATTGTGGATGGTGTTTGACTTTGAAGAGTTGTATGGTAGCTTTGCAGGTTTCGAATGGAGTGGAGGAGATGTGAGTTGCTGATGGAGAACACTTGAGGCCATGTCGTGCTGTACTTTATACGTTTACGGCTCTCCACTTCTCACTCAAAGCACAGCTTCATTTCCCCTTTGACATGGTCCGATGACATCGGTGGACGGCACAAAGTGCCCCTCACTCGGTGGTAAACTCTTGGAGATGCATGCTGGTGTCTTGGTGAAGTCCTGACGGTAGGTTTTGCCAAGTCAGCAGCATGTATTTGAGATAATCTCCGCCATGGCCGAGCTCGAAAAGGGTACGGAAAGCGTGACCAACAGTGTAGGTAGTGGTCTTGGTATTTTCGATTTGCTGACAACATGCCTAGACGAAAACAGTGAGGCCTGATGTGGAAGCAAGCCGCTATGCGATTCCGACCAACGAGAGTGGAGGCGCATCGAAATCTAGTGTGCACGTCCAATGATAGCAACGCTCAATCGTACCGTAGAATCCACCGTCCACTGTCTTGGTAACGGAGTTTTCCATACTTTTGTAAGGCGAGCTTGCATCGATCAAGCCTGTGATCGCCCCCAAGATATCGCCTAGCTATCTTGGTGCGGGTAGAGCAAGATCCGTAGTCCTACCCCAGCTCTCAATCAGGCTTAATCTTTCACCAAGACTTCCTTTTCGAGCTATGATCCACATATCCGCGTGGCTGTGCACGACACAATGGGACGCCGTGCCCAAGGCGCCATCACATACCGGTCTCGATGCGGGCCTAACTTAACTTATCAGACGCTATCGGTACCTCAAAACGTCGAAATAGATTGTGGGGTCTCGATTGATGTTCGCGTTGCTGCCCGCAGCGGAAAAGTTTGGTGAACTTTCTTGGGTATTCTTGGCTGCAACGATGTGGGAATCCTGGAGAAACGCCGCTCATCTCCTGATCTGCTCAGGGCCATACATCTGAGTCTGCTTACAATCGAAGTTCACGACGCTATTGAATGCGCTTCGTGACCCGTTAAACTTTTGATGTGATGTTGGGGATAGAGAAGGCCCGTTAGCTCCAAACAGGTGGAATGACATCACCAGTCGGGCACCTGCCAAGATCTCAGAACAGCGGCTTCTTCTCCGCCTTTTTCACTCTTTACCCTTCTCCGCGCGCTACCGAGTTGTCAACCCGGGGTTCGGAAGACTAGCGACAAGACTGCCCAGGCTGTTTATCATTTCAGTGCTTGCGCTGCTGAAAGTCAAAACACTTCGGCGAACAGATTCTGCGTATGTGTATCGGTTGTGCGGTACACTTCAGGCTTGGGAGCCTTTTTTGTTTGCGATGTTTTCTCGTTTTAGAGTGTCTTTTCGTCACGCATAATGTGGATTGCGGAAGCTCAGGCTTAGGGATGCTGGGCGGATAAGCCGAGTCATCCGGCCAAGCATCAAGCAATTCCTCAATCATCAAAAACCTTTGGAATATGATGCGATTCAGCTATGTGGATAGTTTTTTTTTGTCAATCCCTTACCCCTTCTACAACACCTCTAAATCCGCATGACTGACGAACCATGTCCCGTTGTTAGTATCGATTGTCAGATTGGTCTGCACAGTCTTTCCCCCTTTCAAGCTTCCACTCTCCACAACACCACCCGCAACTGGTCTCTGTAACCTATTCTCGCCACTCTTGACCGTGAAATTCGCAATCGGAATCTCCCAGCCATTCCTCGTCACGACGGTTGGCATACCGAAGAAGTTCGCTGTGAGTTCTTCATGGGAGAAATGCAACTCGAAGTAACCACGGTAGTAAAGATCCTGCCATTGAAGTTCAGCGTTGGCAGACTGGATGATAGAAGAGTAGTTGTTGGCGGTTGCGAGAGTAATGTTGGCGCCGTAAGGGCATGGAGACGTGACGGCTGAGCCAGCGAATTCGACACCAATGCTACCTGCGCCGGTCGCAGAGCTGTAGTTCTTTTCGTCGAGCCAGACGAGGTCGCTGACCCAGGATGCGTGGCTGTCGCCGGCAAGAAAGATGTTGTTGTTGATGTTGTTGCTGTACAAGTGGTTGAGAGTACGGTTCTTATTTGCTTGGTACCCATCCCATGCATCGTAGTTCAGGGGGTTTTCTTCTCCATACGCAGCGGATTGATTGACGCGCGAGAAGACAATCTGAGAGCCGACCATGCGCCATGTTGCGCCGCGTTCGGCAGACTCGGAAAGACTGCGGTAAAACCAGTTTTCTTGGCGAGAGCCCATTAGGGAACGGCCTGCATCGTTAGAGATGTCGTGCACGTAGTCTGTGTTCCAGTAAAGATCAGTGATGGAACGGTCGTATTGACGGGTGTCAAGCATCATGAGATCGACAAGTTTGCCAATGGAGACTAAACATCGGTGTACGAAGTCAGTGCATGTCTCACATCCAGTTCGTACAGGGACACTTACAAGAACGCCAGATGCGGAGATTGTCGTCCATGTCGACTTGGCGAATTGGCATCCACTCATAGTAGGCTCGAACCGCATTCATCTTGCGCTGGTCAACAGATACACCGCCGTCGCGGAGGAAGGAGTCTTCGGTATTGTTGAGTTCAGACATGCCGTCGCGGTAAGTGTTATCGGCAACCTCGTGATCGTCCCAAACAGGGATCCACGGAAACTGCTCGTGGCTGGCGAGCAGGTCCAGGTCAGTTCGGTATGTAGCGAGCCTCCTTCGATAGTCATAAAGAGTGAAGATCTCGTGGTCTGGCTGAGGGATACGGTCGATCGAGTTGCCCCACCCGTAATCTCCATTCTTGTACTCATAGATGTAGTCACCAAGATGGATAACGTAATCGACAGAATCCTAGTCCTGAACTCAGCTCAACGTATGTAACATCATTGCTATTTTGACTTACCTTGCGGGCAACATTTCCATAAGCGTTGAAGAAACCAAATGGATAGTTTGAGCAACTGTACACCGCAAGACTGACATCGGTGATATCGTCGTCGGCATTTGGTGTAGTCTTCGTGCGTCCAAGAGGACTCTTGTTCTCCGAACCACAGACATTGAACTGGTAGTAGTACGTGCTGTACGCCTTCAAGTTCTTGGCTTCGACCTTGACGGTAAAGTCTACGTCAGAGCTGGTGAAGACCTTCCCGGAGTCGACAACCGTGGAACCGTTCTTGTTATCGTAGACCTTGTACTCAACGCACACTGGCGCTTTGGAGATTTTGACGTACTTCTCATTGTCATGGTCGAATAGAGGTGCGTACCCTGTGACCGTAAGGTTGGATTGCGAGTTATCGCTTTGAGGAGCGACACGGGTCCAGAGGATGACGCTGTTGGGGTATGGGTCACCTGAAGCGACACCGTGGGTAAAGCTCAGGCCAGAGGCGGCATAGCTGCTTGCTGGATCGTTCCTTTTGACCACCTTGTGAATGGAAACACCAAGAGCTGGGTCTGAATGCGGGTGTAGGAAGTCAGTATATGTCCCACACGCACTTCATACAGTGGCATTACTAACGGTGTTCTGAAGGCGAACGGTAGTTGAGGTTCTTCGACCAGCTAGCGCTGGCAATTGATGCCAATGGCAGCAAAGAAAGATACTGAAGCTTCATATTGACAAACGGCTGCTGGGTAGAGCGCCGATCGAACTTGCAAGCCCAAAACTACCGGCTCTCTGGGCCTTTTTGTAGCTTCAAGAATGTTGAGCCATTTTCGAGCTATTCGACTCGAAGTAAGCTATGCCCATGTATTCTCATGTTTTTACTGCGTCATGCCTGCAGGAACTTCTGTTCCTGAGTAGCGGTATCCCAATCATAGCTCGTGGAGCCAGCATGCTGCCATGCTTATAGGGTAGACACGGGACGGTGGGATTCGTGGTAGCGGGGCGAACATCGCAATGTAGGAAAGTTGAGGACGCAACCCAGTAGTCATTCGTCATCAGCAGAATTGCAGCTTTTCTGATTTGCTGTAGCAGCTGGGCTACAGTAGAGATGCAGTACGGCGCCGGTGCACATGCGTGAGTGCTCTGTGCCTATTGGTCAATACGGGCCGCAGTGGATAAGCTTGCCCTGTAGTAAGAAAAGCTTCCCAATATTTCGCGGGTCGACTTGGATAGATTGAGAAGGTGCATTTGTAGATCGAAAACGGTAAATAACAGTATCTACCGAGGTATGATCAAGATAAGTCATGGTTGAGAGCGGAAGCGAAAGTGGCGTCGAAAGGTCGGAGTACGCAGCTCCGCATGTTATCTTACGCGACAGGCCGTCAAACCGCTCCGAAGCAACACTGCGAACAATTCCAGAATACTTCCACCTTGTGCAAACAAGCATTACATGAACAGCTTGTATACCCAAAACCCCACGTACACGATTATCGCAAGTAACGGTCGACACCATATAGGCACTTGATCTCCCGCCTGCCACAGAACCCATGTTTCAATACTTGTCCGCGGAGCACCGGGCGTGAACAGCATGGCATTTTTGGCTCCCTCTGTGCGTCGCTGGGCCGCATGTGCATGCTTGAACATTTCCGTCTCATACTTCTCGACGTACTGGCCAAGAGCATTCACCTGGTCGACTCCCTCATCGGACGGATTTGACGAGCTATATGCTACGATATGCTTGGTGAGAACCATAGCATCGTTGAAAGCCGTGTTAACACCAATACCTGCAAATGGAGTCATGACATGCGCTGCGTCGCCTAAAAGCGTGACGCCTGGCCTGTGCGGCCAGGTGAATCCTACGGGAAGTTGGTAGAGATTCCTCCACACGATTCCCGTTGTCGCTTTTTCGATGGCGTCCAGAAGCTCCGGTCGCCAATCGTGCAATGACTTCCTCAGTACTGTTTTTGCTGATTCGATGTCGCTCTGGGCATCGAAACCGCATGTTTGAGTGAAGTCTTCTGGATGCTGGCCGTAGTAGGACACGTAGATTGACTCATCGGAGAGCTGCTGTATAGCTAGAGTTTTGCCGTCCGAGTATGCGAACACGCTGCCTCTGTTGACAAGTTTGTACACTTCTGGTGCTGTGTGCTCGGCATTAGGTATGAGCATTGTCCAGCCACCTAGACCGGAGTAATGAGGCTTCTCCGACGTCAACAAATTGCGAGTCTTGCTGAATGCGCCGTCACAACCCACGATCAGGTCGAAACCATCCAACACATCTCCGTTCGCAACTATTAACCTTAGCCCCGTGCTGCACTCTTCAACACGCGACAGCTTGTATCCCCAACGGACGGTGTTAGGAGGTAGGCTCTCCATCAGCATTTTCCTCAGATCCGTACGATCAATCTCCGGTGCATCACCTGAACCTCCTTTTACATCTTCCGTCTTCCGGCCACCTCTTCTCAACCACGTTGTAAGATGTTTATCGGTGACCAGCAAACTCTCGCCATCGTAGCGGGCGTACTTCTGGAACTCGTCCCACAGGCCTGCCATCCTAATTGCGGCGAGGCCTGTATCGGTGCGCAAGTCCAAGGTACCACCTTGCGAACGGTGATTGATCGAGCTTTCGGCTTCGAAGATGATGGTCTTGCAGTCGCACTGGGTGAGCAGCAGCCGTGCGAGTATGCAGCCGCCGGGACCTGCGCCGATAATCGCTATCTTAGGTGCCATCTCCTTGCCGCCTCGTTATGTGGGTCAGTGTTGTTTCAGTCAGTAAGGCCGATGATCAGGGTCAAGATACATTGTTCATACCCACCTGCTGCTTGGCTTAAGAGCTTGGTCAAGGCTTGTTGAAGCTTCTCCGTCAGGCGTCCAATGATGCAGCTGAAATACGCCTAGGATCGCGCAATACGAACTGTGGTTGCCTAGTGTAACATGGAGCAGGAACGTCGGCCCTTCGGAGCGAGGCGGAAGAGTAAACCACGACTTCAATCGAGCGTTTCACAATCGCGATAGCAGGAGAAGCTGAAGTCCAAGTATGCATTCAAGTAAATATATGCAATATTGAAAGTATGTGCAGAATAAAGGAGGGAATGTATGTACAAAGAAGTAGTCCCTTCACAACTACTTGATTTTCAGTCAAGCTCAGAGATGACGACGCATTTAGCTCTGGCTCAGGCTGTACTCAGTAACAGTGAGCTTCGCCTTGTTACCAGAGAAAGGCTCAGTTCCAGCACCGACGCTAGTCAAGATCTGGCTGGTAGGCAGGCCATGCTTGCTCGTGATTTCTTTAACGAATGTCATCAAGTCGCCATTGAAGTTGTTGACCTGCTTCTCTGCAACGAAGCTGAAGACGTTCATCTGTCCGTTCTTTCCGTTGTACAATTTCCAGGTGTTGCCAGCAAGGTTAACGGTAGCAATAGGGCTTCCCGTAGCGGAAATGGGACCAGCACCACCAAGGGCACCAACCCAAATCATGATCTCGTACTCTGGGGAGCCGTCGACCTTTGAAGAGGTGAAGAGGTCGTAGGAGACGTTTGCGACAAGGTCATCGCCTGCGTAGGTCCACTTCCAGACGGAGGGGAGAGACTTGATGGAAGAGACCGCCTTCTGTGTGATCTTCGTGACGACGTTGGCGTAGGACTTGACGTGTCCAGGACTAGAAGCGGATTTTGTCAGTGTTGGAATTGATAGCAGAGTGAGAAAAGGACATACCCGCCAGTCCAGGACCACGATGTGTGCCACTTGAGAGATCTGCCGCTGAGGCCGTCAACGCCGGTGCATTGAGAACCAGAGGTGGCATCGGCTTGGCCCCAAAGGTTGTTGTAAACGGTGTAGTCACCAGTTACGGTGCTATCCCATTGACCGCAGTAGTCCGCACGCTTCTGGATGGTAGCGGTAGGTACAGCGAGGGCAAGCGATGCCGTGCTGGCGATAAGGAATGCGCTGAACTTCATATTGGAATATGGTAGAAGAAATAGGAAGTAAGGAATGTAGTGGTCGATATGGATGTTAGATTCAAAGTTGGATATTTAGGTAGGCTTCGATCAAGCTTAAGTACAACGCCAAACATACATACGAGCCAAGGAGATAAAAAGAGGAGAACGTGCCCACGGAGCATCTGTAATGGTAGTCTACCTCCGTTGTTTCGAAGGTATGTACATGTCAAGCGACTATTCCGAAAGGAGCCGTTACTCCTCTCCAGGGTGTCCCATGGTCAGACCGCATACTTGTCGATCACCCGAGCAAGGTGTGAGGGCTATTCGGAAGATTGGTGGATTTGACAGCAGACTAGCGATAATATAACCGGCGGAAGAACCCCAGAAACTGATCAGCTATGAGATCTTGGCATATGGCGTTGTTCGTGATGTGCATCGATTCTGCGTTGCGACGGTTATGTTCCGAGGCGATGGATCCCCTGCCCGGCAAGTCAGGGTTCTCCACAAGTCATGCCATGCGCCTGAAACATTTCGCCGATGCTTGATGAAGCCAATATAAACGTCGGTGGGACTAAGGAAATGAGGCCACAATAATTTTCCGGCGCTCATGCATGGGATCTCGACCTGACGTCAGCCGGGCAATCTCTAGTCGGTACGGACGAAAGACTCCTCTACTACGAGCGATCGAAGAAATTCCATGTCGCCATCAATGGCGGTATCGAAAAAGGAGATCATTGTGGGCTGCAAGTGTTAGAATCGAGCGAATAAATGTAACGTGAGCGACTTACAGTGCCCATGTCACCCTTCCGGTCGACTTTCCAGGTATTGCCTGATTGCTGGATTTCCTGTTGTACGTAAAAGGACTCTGGTTCTGATGCTAACCAGAAAGCGGTGAGCTTTCTGGTCACCTTCTTCATTGTCCGTTCCATGTTAGGCATGATCGGTGCGTCCAGCCATGACTGAATATTCTCCCATTTCTTGTCCGGTAAGTCCCATCTACCACCATCAGATGCCTGCATAAGCACATCTACACTGAGTTCTTCGACATGGGGGAAGTGCTGAAGCATCCGACTGATGGCAACCGAGGCAGCGTTAGGCTTCGCTGCCTCACCAGGGTTGACTCGAACATTTCCACGCTTGTCGGTGAAGACGGGTGGGCCACCGTTCCACCAGTCGTAACCGGGCCATAGGGTCAATCTCAGCTTCTTGTTCCTCTCCATGATTGGGAGTAGTGCCAAAAACCGAGGCGAAACCTCGTCGCGTGTCGGAATATAGTAACCATGAGCCCCACGTAGTTGTCTCTGAATCTCCAGCGTGATCCGCGGAGCGTCATCATCGCAGGCACGCTCTGCTTCCTCAGCGAATTCGGTCCCTAATCGTTCAGCTAGGATGTTGCTCAGGGGCCGATTCTCGGGGGTCGAGAGTGCTACAGATATTGTTGGATCGAGACGGCGTTCCAGGCACTCTTCTCGCAGCTGCCGACAAGTGGCCAAGATGTTTGCAGGCGGACGAGAAGGCAGATAGATACGCGTATCGAGGTAAGTGTCAATGGCGCGTTGACGTGATTTGTACAGATTCTGTATATCCTTGGCTGAAGTTGATGTGTAAACGTATTGGGGTAGAATAAGGTAGCCAAGGATCTCGTCGCGCAACTCGCGCGGAAGAGCCAGGAATGGCGAGTGGGTAGTGACAGACATGTTGATTTCAACGGACCGTGATGATGTGTTTGAGATTTTGTTACAACGTTGAGTGTTGGGGCTCTGAGGTACGTATATCTAGCGGTGGCGGATTGTTTATGTTGCAGCCTTGCGGAGCGGACTTCCGCGCTCCGCACATGGTCTGTGAGGCTGTCGAAGGACGCCTGATCTTTCGAGCATTCTCAGGCACGGTTGCTTTGCAGTGGCGTCATAGGGCTGTTCCGCGAATCAAAATCGCGGTGTGCGCTCCAGTCTATGCTCACAGAGATGCACAGTAAAAGTAAGATATGACCTTGATCGTCGCGGAAACTCGATGTCATGCTGGAAATACTACAGGCAGTAGGAATGCTGGAGATGCAAATGCTAGGACGATGTCGGTGTTAGGGGGGCGTTTCCACATGCGGCTGGGGCGCAGATGCGGAGATCTGGGGATGGTTCGCAGAGTGGGATGACATGGTGCAGGGTCTAAGCGGGGCGTGTTTGCTTTGCGGCTCCAGCGCAAACAACCTGGCGGGTTCGAGCTTGTGATTGAGGCATGCCAAACCTCACCGCCTACCACAGACATGCGTGCTGATCTCTGTGCCTTCTCTCTCTAATATCCATTCAAACATCCACGCCGATGCATGACAGCGTCACGTCACATTTTGATGGGTGTAACATTGTGTTGCCGCTGTTCCGCGTGCTCTCCAACGCCCATCTGAACTGATGCGATATCCTGTATCAACCAAGGCTCGACAAAACAGATCGCGACATCATGGCAAACAATGGCAGAGCGCGCAAGGTTCCCGAACAAAGGGATCCGTCGAGAAGACAGTTGCGCTCCACAAACGGAGTGCGTCCTCTGCCTGAAGCAAACGCGTCAAGTCAGGTACGTCAAACTTCACCTGCAGCCGCCGCTATCACACGTCCTCTTGCTCCTGCCTGAATGCTCACATGCAATAGCCTGCATCCATCTTTGCTAGTCCCACGCCCTCTCCACGTCCAGAAGCCGCGACTACCTCATCGAATCCTTTCCAGCCTACCACTCATTCCTTCTTTGCACCCGAAGAGGCGACATCACAGACTGCTACAGCCCAAACACAAGACGGCCAAGATTCAAATCCAGCCGACTCGTACGAACGAGATCTTGCTTTCGCGTTACAGTACGATTGGTTCGGTGAAGACGATTCGGACTCGTTGGGAGAGGAGGATTTTGACCATCCTGCAACTATTCCCCGTCTTCACTCGTCGCACAGTCGCCCTGAAGACCACGACTTCGAAAACGCGCGAACCGCCTCATCAGGCATGCACTTTGTCAGGAGAAGACCTCGAACAGATCTACCTGCGCCCTACCACGTGTATCGCGGCCTTACGGAACTCAATGCTCGGAAACGATCACTCGACATATACGAGGGTGTCGACGAGATGGATGTTACACACTCCTTGCAATGCAAGGGTGCCACTGCCGTCATGCTGTACAACAGTGTCAGCCCAAATCCCAACGCGAACGACATCTGGCCCGAATGCCGCAGCTCAGCAAAACTACCCGCCAAATATTTCTTACTAGACCAGAATAGACAACCTCAGAATAAACAACCTGCATCCGACTTGAAATCAATGCCTCGTTCATCCAAAAAGAATGGTAAGAAAGCAGCAAAGGCAGCAAAGGCTCAGCCAGATAAAGGGTCGCAGGACCTTCTTCCTGATGCCCCAGTTTATCGCCCCGAATGGAAACTGCCTGTGGAATTAGTAGAGTTCATCGCGGAACACCTTGACCGTGACGACATCAAAGCACTGCGGCTTGTAAGCCGCGAGCTGAACCAATATGTCTCGCAGGTCATCTTCCAGACAGTCGTCGTTCCCTTCAACACCGAGATATACGGTATGCTGGGACAAGAAACAAAGCCTGACCTCAAGGGCAAAAAGCGAGCAAGAATAGATAATCCTAGCTATTCGTGGAAGAATGCAAACGGAGACGAAGTGTATAATGGCCACGGCCTTGATGTTTTCCGCGGCTTTGGTGGACACATCAGGAAGTTTGGTATGAGTTTCGAAGTCAGTGAAGACTCACTCTCCATGCCGCCGGTCAAGTCACTCACAGAGAGAAAGACGAGCTTCTGGGGAAGTTACGATTGGCCTTACGAACGATATCGCCGCTTTGCTGCTGTCGCCGGCCTTGAGACTGCCGCTGACGAAACACCACGAATGAAGACAGCATTCTCCGAGCTCACCAAAGTCAAAGAACTAGCATTGTCCCTTGACAGTGGCCTAGGGTGGCTAAACGGCCCAGACAGATCCATTCGGGCACGTGTGTTGCATAGACCTCCCCAAGTGTTTGGCACAACCAAAGCTGTTCCAGATCGCAGAGCGCAAGCTCAGCAGGAACTCTGGAAACACATTGAAGCATGTCATCAGAACGATGCCAGCGAAGTCAAGCTGGCTATGTTGTACAGGATTGACGGACAACCCGCTCTTTCCAAGCTGAAAGAAGCCAACAAGCTAGCAGACGTGCAACCGCAAATGCCCTATCTGGATCCTCAGCTTTTACGCGCAGCAATTCCTTTTGATGCTGCTAACATCCCTGTTCCCCCTAGCTTTGATGACCCATATGTCCTTGACCAGTTTGTGTCAACACCGTCACCTTCAGGCACAGGCATTCTATTTTCGTCGACCAAATTGCCATCAGAAGGGGCGCAGCTTGTGAACCCTGTCATACCTGCCAACCTTACCACAGCACAGAGGGAATGGTTGTTAGAGACTGAATGGGCACAGCGGGCCTTCATGTCCTCGTATTTGCTCTCTGTCATCGACAATCCGATTACATTCCAGCCAGTACACACTTTCAACATTTCAGGACTCTCTGATCGTTATCTGCCAATGCTAAATCGTTCGGACTTCTGGGACGCACTGCCCAATCTTCGTAATGTCACTCTCATGCTAATACCAGGCTGGCGAACAGTAGAGAAGGACGAGGCTGGCTTCGTGGACACGCCAAAGACCAATCCAACCCAAAGCATCGGTGTGCTTTTCGACCTTCTTCATGATCATATTAGTTGTCGGTCGAATATTCGTCATTTGAAAGTCGGTTTCGTCACTGGAGGTGAGCATGCCGAAGGACTTCACGCAAGGAATAAGTTGTTGTTCCCTGCTCCCGTTGTGGATCTGCGAGTTCGTGCACAAGCTTCTTCTTTCCACCCTGCAGCGCTGGTTTCAACCGACGCCGCTTGCTTGGAAGAATGTTTGCTACGACTCCCTCATGTCGAGCAGCTAGTCTTGCACAACTGTTGGATTACACCGTCAGCTTTGTTGCAATTCGTTAAGTTACATGATCGCCATAAGCTGCAGAATTTGGTACTGGATTCCGTATCACTTACGGCTGTGTTGCGCCCACCGAATGTCAACCCAAATAATGTAGCTCATCAGGCAGCAGCACTTCAGAACATAATGCCACCACCTGGAGTGGGCGCATTGTTGGGTGCTGTTGGTGCTCATGGTCCGCAACTGATGCCAAACCAGCCGCAGTTCTTACATGCTTATTTCCAGATGCTCCAGATGCAATTTCAGCATCTACAAACCAACGCAGCTGGCGTCCAACACAACAACAACATTGCTGCTCTACAAAATCAATTGCAGCAGCAAATTGGACAAATCCAAAACAATCAAGGACATCAGCATCACCATCAAGGTCAGGTTCATGGTCAGGCTCAGGCCCCGACACAACCGCAGGTACAACAACAACAACAGCCTGGGACATTTGCTCAGCACTTTGCGAATGTTGCCCAATTGGCTACTCAGATCCATCAATTGCAGACTCAGATTGCTACAGGACAGGCTCAGCCTCCACCTGTTGCCGCGCTAGCGACCGGACACACTGCTGGGAATCCACAGTCGATACTCAAGGCACAGCCCCGTGAAGGCTCTTGGATGGACATTATTGATCAGATTTCACCCGGCACTAATCTCTCTGACTTTGAGTCAGATCATTCCAAAGCCGACAGTGATCGTATCACCTCACTGCGATCGGTCGAGTTCGTTTCTTGTGGCTATGCAAAGCTCACTCACGCGTCGTTTGATCAATCTGACATCGATCCTCGTAATATTGCAGCCATGTTGCGCGATCCAGCATTCAACAAGCGAGCAATCGCTCTGTCTCCCGCTATGCTAAGTAACAAGTGGGCTTACTTGGGAGAGATTGTGCAGGAGATTGAGCCTTCCGAGCTTGCTGCGCTCAATGCGGGTTGGAATTTGAGTACCGGCTGGGATGATACTGAAGCTGCGCAGGCTGTCGAGTTCGATGGTCTTCTCGCTGGTGGTACAGGGCGTTTCACAGGCACCATACGGCAATCGGATAGAGTTGTCGATGAAGCTTCTGCGAGTTAGTGGAATGCGCTTGGATACTCTGATCTTGTTGCATGTATGCTGACAAGTGCTCTAGATCTCTACGCGCTTTACTCACGGTTTCAAAGGATTGAACTGTGATGAAACGTTAGGATGAGTGCTTATGAGCTGTAATACTACGATGCTTGTATAGAGTATGGAGGTCAATATTGGTGGTCTAAGCCATTTTTCTAAAACGTGTACACTGATGGTTGAAGTTCTGTAGTTGTGGGTCACCTGTGTTATGGGAGACGGTCCTAGTCAGACCGAAGATTTCCTAAGGCGAGGAAATCCGACCATGTACAAGATATGAAAGATGTATGTAATAGATAATCGGGAGAATCCAATAATGCAATGCTTCCCACAGGAGTTTCAATCTGGTATGGTGACATCAGCCTACTAGAGGGTGCATGTCTTACGCCCTGGTTTCGTGTTGTGCTTCTACCAGCAGATAATGTAGCGAGTGTCTTGACGGTGTAGTACATATCTAGGGACATTGCAGAATATACTCTCTTTCTCTATTCAGGCCATATCTCTCTCTCTAAAAACAAGAAGTCATGTCTATTCGCATCCCCTATATCTTCAACTCTCAACCAATCATCTCCACTCATCACATACCCTCTACTCACAACCGGCCGGCTCGACCACTGCGGGGAAAGCCGGCTCACCAAGCCGACTCGTACAAGCTGCCTTCCAGTTCTTTGGTGTATACTTATCCACGATAGCTTTGAATGCGTCCAGCGTGCAGAAGGTAGTATCGCCCTCTAAGTGCTTACCAGGAGCTTTGCAGCCAGGAATCTGCATGATCTTGTCATTGTAGCGGAGGCGGACATAGTAGTCGTTTAGCTGATCGCGTTGGGCGGGTGTGAGATCGGTGATGGGTTTACGTGCTATGCCTTCTGGTGCGAGACTAGAGTCGGATGAGAGTTTTGTGCTGCCGAAGAGGGAGGACCACCAGCTTTGACTCTTGGTGGCAGAGTTCTGCTCCGTAGGAGTAGGTGCTTGCTCAATGCCGGCAGATTTTCGCTTTCTAAACATTTCAACGGCGATGTGAGATGTAAATGGGGGCCACTTCTCGCCGTCAAAAGCGCCGAGAGATGTTAGAACACCGGCTAGTGTCGTGTCGTGGCATCCGGACATCTAAATGTGGGTGTACGAGATTAGGACATGTCTCACATGTAGTTGGTACAAGGACACTTACAGCAAAGCGGATGTTGGTTTCGCCGCCTCGTCCCTTGCCTAACTTGCCGTCTACGCCTCCAACTTCTACAATGCCAGAGTTCCCATTGCGTTCGACGCTGCCGACCATTCGCGAGGTGATATCACCCATCAAGCCACCAATGCCGAGCATTCGATACTCGGAGGACTCATTGTAGCCTTGGTACCACTCTTCAACCGCAATCTTGTCAATGATTGAGCGAGCCTTGGGGTCATAGAACTCTTTTGGTAGTTTGGTTTCGGGTCCATGTGCATCTGTGGCATTGAGGGTGTCCATTATACCTGAGAGTCGAGGGTGAGAGTCCACGGCTACCTTTTGCTGCTCAGGCATCCACTTAGAGAGGACCTTGGTGAGGTAACGCATGTCGTCTGTGTCGTTCCAACGCTCAGCAGCGCGTTGCGCGAATGCTCGACTTAGTTGAGCAAAGCGCCTACAGCTAGCATCATTGGGAAAGAGTGTCTCATCAGCTGGGGTTCTTTGAATGATGGTTGGTGGAGGGAAGTCAGCAGTTCGTGCTGATGGTGGATAGAAGCCCCAGAAGGCTTGTTGAACAGACTCCAGGGCACGTGGAATAGGCGTCGCGCGCAGGTAGATCATATCGCTATCTGAAATGAGCTGAGGCATGAACTTTAGTTGGTTGACGTAGAGATGGCGGAGGCGCTCTCCTAGGGCTAGAGTTGTCTCACGGCCCTTATCAGTTAGTTCACCAGGCTGGCATATGGCATCAAACTCGCCCTGAGGGCCAGATGCGATAACAGGGCCATCATCCATGCCAAAGGTTTCGAGGCGGCGTCGGTATTTGAGCTGATCCCATTTCGAAAAGTCCTTGGTATTCAGGATTATACTAGTGAGTTGTCGGGCGGAATTGCAGTATGGCCAGTAGGGTGGCAATCCAGTCTAATGTTGGTGTCAACAACTGCATTGTCAATCTGTGATGCAGACGCCTACATTCTGAAAGCGAGGTGATACAGGACTTCTTTCGCCTAGATGTATACGTTAGTATCCAGGCTTGTGGATGTGTCGGTAAGATGTGGAGGAACCTCACCATGGCGAAGTAGCTAGTGTTCCAGTCAGCGGTAGCACAAGGTGATGCCACATTATTGGTGCTTACGATTTGTACGAGCTGTAGTTCAAGCTCTTTTGGATAAAGCTTATCGAGCTCTTCCTGCGAATAGAACTGCCGCGGTATCAGGGTAGTCATCGCGCGCTCTATCAATGGATCTGGACGTAAGAATTGAGAGAATAGGGTATGCTTAGATTCTCTTCTGCATTAGAGATGATGCACAACGAGGTAGAATCGGAACAGAGACGTTTCTGGAGAAGCCCTCAGTCACGTGCAGCGTGCGGACGTCATGGCGTCTCATTGGCCGGGGGTATTCCGCGTAGCATCGCGACACTTGCTCGCGATCTGTAGCAGCATCCATCCCCGCGTAGGTCAGGCCACGGAGAGCGTTCTACTGAGTGTACCGGACCTCTCCCTCTTCTGGACTGACAAAATTGCGCTGATGAGAGCTTGATCTGTCTTTGCAGGTGTACAGAGGCTTGCGACAAAAAGTTTCTACTGTACGAGCTAATCGTCGTCCCCAGCGTTCATACCTCCAACACTCGCAGGCTTGTTACGGCACTATGCTAGGCGCATACGTATGTCGGCAGTGTCGAACACGTCTATCTCGACGCATCGCCCCCACCCGAAGCCCTCAATGGCAACCTAGAGCCACGATCGTTTCGCTGGCCGGCCACAAACCAAACGACAACGCCGAACCATTGCGACAAGAAGCATCGGCTCCAGCGAAAGAAGAGGAAGAGTCTGCACAAGAGGCGACTCGCAATGGGCCTGATATAAGCCTTCCGAATCCACGAGTCCGCCAGCCACTCTCCCGATACTCCAAACTCATACACGGCGATACAGAGAATACCCCGACATACACTGGTAGCCAAGAGGAACGTGCATCTAGTGAGGCAAGACAGAAGAGGTCGTCACAAGTGGAGCGGGCTCATGCCGATCCTCTGCTCGATGCGCTTTACAAAAAGAATGTCGATGGAGCCTGGCGGTTATTTGAGAGCATTTACACTGCAAAAGACTGCAAGGCTCTGGCCGAGCCGACAGATCGTGATTTGCAGTTGCTGAATGAGGGCAAGATATTTGTGCGCCTCCTCAGAGGCGGCACGCGTGCCTTTTGTGAGGGCAGAACCAACTCGGTCACCCCAACCAAGGTCCTCTTTAAATACCAACAACTTGGCATTGCTCGCCCTGATTATTGGGTGAGGCCAACAATAGCTCACTTGACGCTTGAAATCATACAGGCTGTGAATTCACCGTCTGGGGCGAAACGAGACCTTCATGCACTGCTCCAAGAGCTGTTGTCCGTATGGCGGCTTTTCTTCCAATGCGTGGGACCAAAGCATGGTTCAATGGAATCGATTAGCACCGAATGGAACATACCAAGCACCGAGGCAATCCCGGAAATGCTTGACCAAAAGCAGTTTAATATGCGCTTACAAGGGTACATACCCAACTATGTCGCAAGTCCTGCCTTGGCCTTTTGCGCTGTCTACTTCTACAACATCTCGGACGCGTTAGATCCGGCGACACACAAGCAAGCCGCACCTTTTCTGGCTTTCCTTACACGACTACTCGCCGGCTCGTTTGTAGACTCGATCTTCATATTTACACATAGCCCGGATTTCAAAAGATTGCCGGAAGATGTACAGAACCAGGTCATTCGAGAGATTAATGCTGTTCCCGGGAAAGCCATGGTGGCTATCGGAAAAAGTGGTGAGACTCTTGGAGCAGATAACACCGGTGATGCGTACTCGAACTTAGAAGCATTCTTCATGAAGACGATAGCGCGTGCAGTCGAGACCAAAACTTCGGCGGCTGCACTGGACGGTATTTGGAAAGAAGTTGAGGAACAATATACCACGGAGAACAAGATTGCTGCCATACCTCCGTCCATATACAACGCCTTTCTTTCTGGGTATATGACTGTTTTCCACCCACAACGCTCCGTTGAGATCTGGAACCACATGATTGCCCATAATGTCAAGCCAAACATGCATTCCTGGGTGGCGCTTCTGGAAGGCTGCGCAAAAGCAAAAGACCTCAACGGCTTGAATGCAATGTGGCAGCGCATGTTGAACACTGGTCTTGAGCCTAGTAACTATGCCTGGACGACGCGTATCAATGGCTTGGTGTCTCTGAAGCAGATCAACAAGGCCTTTGTCGCAATGGATGATATGGCCAAGCGCTGGGTTGCAGCAGAGAATGCCATCAACAACGCCCAGGCGCCTGCCAAAGGACAAAAAGGTTCGAAAAAGCCATCGTTGAGCAAGGCAGTCAACACATGCACAAAACCCTCTATCGAAGTTGTCAACGGTGCCCTATCTGCCATCGTACAGTTACGTCCTAGAGACATGAGCCACGAGAAAAAAGTAGAATTCGTTCAGAAACTCCTTACATGGTCGAAGAACTTCCAAATCAAGCCTGACGCCATAACCTACAATTCTCTTATAAAGCTCTACTTAAACGCAGGCGACAGATCCACCGCCTTTAGAATCCTCTCGCAGATGGAAAAGGATGGGCTAGAGGGCGACGCAGCAACACACGCAATGCTTATCAGCGCCGCATTTGACAACCAAACCTTTGACAACCTATCCGAAGCTCAACAAACCTCGCGCATTCTAAAGATGCTTGACGATCTAGAAGCTAGTGGTATCAAAATGAACGACTACATCTACTCTACAGCCATAGATCGTCTGCTGAAGAAATACGCCAATCATGCCGCTGTGCGCGCGGTCCTGGAACACATGGCCAACAGAAAATTGATTCCGAGCGTACATGCTTACACGTCTATCGTAACACACTACTTCCAATCCGAGCCACCTAACATATCTGGCGTTGATGACGTCGTCCTCCGTCTCTTCAGCGCACCCCGTATGCCCAGCGATAGCGTGCTCTTTGACCGGCTCCTCGAGGGGTACGCGAGCTTCGGTGAAGTGGGCAAGATGATGAGTGTACTCGCGCGTATGAGCAAGCGGAAACACTTACCTGGTTGGGGTGCTTTGATAGCTGTTGTCAAGGCGCTAGCAAGAGACGGAGATTTTGATAGGGCGAAGACTATTGTGAGGGATGTTGCTAGGGGGGAGGGTGTGGCAAGGGGCGGTATCCTAGGGGATGGGAAGGGGGAGGCTATGTTCACAAGAGTGGTTCGCGAATTGGGATTTGGCGAGGAGATGATGGGAGATCGCATAGGTGGTGAAGGGAGGGATGGTGTCGCGGGGCTGGAGGGAAGTATGTTGAAGCGGCAGCTTGAGGCTTCGCAGTACGAGATGGGATCCGAGAGTGCGCAATATAAACAGCAGCAGCAGCAACCATCACCAGCCATAAAAGATAGTCGCGACAGTACGACTGAAGGAACGGGGCGAGAACCCGGTAGCGTGGATGAGGAGGATATCCATGGCTTCTTGACCAACGAGTCTGAAGTTGGACATAGGTAGTGGTGAAAAGCTTAGATGCTATGTGCATATCCATGTATTATGAAATACCATCGGTGTTTTGTCTTCCAAGAGTTTTGTTTCTTCTATTTTTCTCTAAGGGTTCTACCACCCAGTGTCAGGTCGCCACCTGAAGAACTTGGACCACTGCTGCTTACCACGATGTTGATTTGCAAGACCGACTTTTGGTGATTCCCAACGTAATAGGTCGGTCTATAGATGAGGAGCTCCTTACTTGGACTAGGTAGGCAGTGCAACCCACAGAGTTTGGCATTCTTTGATAAGATCGCTAGTCTTTTTCACAACTCAGGACACCGATTGAGTTTAGAAATGAGGCTTAACAAAGTCATCCGCGGACGGTAAACGAGTAGCACCTTACGCGAAACCTACTATCTGTTGCCATTGTAGTGTTCACCCAGAGTTCCACTTTGGCATTGTCTTCTCTGAAACAGACATATTGCATTAAGCTCACCAAGACTGAAGATCCGGGGGGCTACATGAGGCTTGCTGTTACTTTGACAGGTAGTGCACCGACCTTTGGTTCTGGGTCCGAGCATGACGAGACGCGTGTCGCGTCAGAATGGCCTGGTCCGTCTCGAAGACTTGAGTTGTTGCCCTCTGCATAGGCCGACTGGTCTTCGGCGTGGAACACCGTGAAACAGACTCTGTTCTGTAGCTCTATGGGTAAGAGTTCAGCCAGATATTGGGTCAGGGTCTGAGAAGGTCTGGCAGCCGGGTCTAGACTAGACCCCTTTCATGGTTTGGGACGGGCCGATAAGCGATTGCAATTTTCTTTGGTTCTTCATGCGTGCTCGAGCCTCTGTCGAGGTCGAGGCTGAAGCTATTGCGGATAGGAGATGGTTTGCCTAATGCTTCGTGCGTGTGCGCGGACCAAGCGGACGGGCGGCATGCGACTCGCTGGGAATGAGAAACAGACTTAGGCGTAGCAAATTAGAATGCTGCGGCTTGCCAACTAGGACAACAGAAGATTAGAAGCACATTGGCTACAAGAAAGGTTCCCTTTGTTGACGCGGCCTCTTGAAATGGCACTTGAAAGACGCAGATGAGGCGCCAAAGATAGCACACTGGGAGATGTCGGCAAACCTCATTTCTCATCGCTGCAGGCTGGATGCTTCAGAAGATCAAAAGGCTATAATGGATTGTATAAGGCCGGCCAAGTGGTTTTCTGCCTTGCATAATCTCTGCCAATGCTGTGTCTGACAAAGACTTGTAGGCATGGCCTTGCGATCAAGACCGGTGTAAGCCCGCGTGTAGTATTACCCTCAACGCCTCAGATGGCACTGCTTGCAGTTGTCTCTTGCAACTGTCTAGGCTGGATAATATTTGCCCATGTGCAGGTGCATGTTGGTGACGCGTCTTTTGTACAGCCTTGCTCGAGCGTAAAATTTCTGCTGCTGAAGAGAGATGCACAGTCTAACTTGGGTTGAAGTTTGCCGATTATCGGTATCGCGTGGACTGACTCTGTACTTGCGATGCGGATCTGATAGGCAGGGTCTGTCTTCATCTTACCATGGGTGGCTAGTTAGACAGGAAGCATGAGCGGATTTTGGCGATTGTGATTGGACGATAGAACCCCCGCGCACGTCGAGAAGTGGCAGCTGTGACGTTGTTGACTCAAGACGAGTGTTTCAAGAATTGAAGATATCGTGGCCAGTGGATTCGGGGAAGCAGGTAGTGTTGAGTTGCTCCATGGGACTGGGACGGAGATTGCCGGAACCCAAGTCCGACTCCGCTTGAGGGAGGGGAGAGTGTAGATCAAAATTTGCGGCCGGATAGAATCTGGCGCTGACAGGCTTGACAGGTGTGGGAGAAAGCTGGCGCACGACAGAGATGGATGTGTCGACGGGACTGGCGCCGGCAGGTTGTCCGAGAGAGATGCTGACGTAGAATGCTAGCAGCAGTTGTACACAATAGGGTAGCCACACTGGCGGAGGGTGATACGGAGGGTGAGCCACAACTGCGCCAGGCAAGTGCATACGAGGCCTCTGGTAAGAAGCTGAAGATTAGAGATGCATCGAGACTCTGCATCGTTTGCACCTGCTTTGCTAGTCGGTATGCAGCCGGAATGGGCGCCCAAGCCACCAAGCCGGTTGTGGCTCGAGGGCTAAACGGCCTGGCAGTTATTCGCGCAGGACAAATGTGAATGGACGGAAAGGAGCCGGGGTTGGCAAGATTGGCTAGAGAAAGTCAAGTATGACAGCACAGCCTCAGTGGTGGTGCAGCATGGCAGGGCATGATTGGCGTGTCGAGGCATCGGAGCGGGCGAGTATGCGCCGACCTTGCATCGAGTGCGTAATGCCTAGCTGCAAGAGATAGTGCGGAGGATACTCAGCTGGCTGCCACGCCCTTGGATGCCAGCGAGGGACGTAGAGTAGTGATTGTACCGTGAATAAAAAATAGTAGCGCTACGTCAGTTGCTGGGTCTCGTGGCAGATGTGGAGAGGGGTAAAGACAGAGCCAGGTGTTGGCATCGTGTCCACTGTTGCGGTATGGTAAGGCCGAAGACATGGCCCGGCGGCGCTCAGGAGAGGAACAGCCGAAGCGTGCTGGGCGGTGATCGGCATTGGGCGACCAACTGGGTTTGGCCTGCTTCCTTCTATTTCGAGAAGGGGGACTCCGCCTCAGTGTGAAACGCCTCGTCCATGCCTCCCATACCATCTCTCTGCTCTCTCCCTCACTAGACACTTCAATCCAACATCCGCCATCTTCAACCATCGACGCCTTTTCTAACTCACCCAAAACACTCGCTCCATTTCCCTTTGACAAACGCGCTCAATCCACGAGGCGCGGATCCAACGGCACAGCCACACTTCCGGCAGAACCGGCCCAGAGAGGAGCTGACGACGACTTTCCAGCAGCCTAACCGCTCTGGTCAACCCACCCAGTGCCCGCAACACAACACCCCCAAGACATCCACTCGCCTGCCCAAGGAACGCTCAAACGCGATCAGCGACTCCCCAGCAGGTCCAAACAATCAACAACCGACATGGCTACCGCAGTCCAGCCTGCCATGACCATGGCCCCCTTCAACCAGCATCCTAATCAATGCGTCGACCCCAATGAGTTCTTCGACTTTGGCCAGATGCCCTCGCCCACGCAGCCTGCCACGCTCAAGAGGGAGTCCAGTGCGACATCGACCATGGCCAGTCCCACCAGCACAAACATCGACGACGACCTCCAGACACCCGCAAAGCCTAGCCACGAGTACGAGCGCTTCAAGCAGCAGACTGGCCTTCCCACCGGTTCCATCTCCGGCCTGAACGCCGGTTACAACACCGGCTTCCCCATGTTCTCGTCCACCGGCTTGGACGAGATGGCCATGATGGGCGGCGACTCCATGATGGACGGCGCCTGGAACACGGGCCTGCCCATGGACGTCGGGATCAACATGGGCGTCGACTACCGCCAGAACAGCTTCGCCTTCAACGATGCTTCCGACGACTACGTCGACCCAAGCGCCATTACACAAGAGGAGGTCGCCAACGTCCGGGTATGGCCCGGTATGCATCAACAGCAAGCTGCTATGGCCAAGGCGCAGGCGCAGGCCCAGCAGCAGCGAGCACAGCAGTTGGCCCACCAGAAGCAACAGCAGGCCATGCAGCAACAACAGCAACAGCAACAGCAACAGAACCGCATGCCCTCCACCAGCTCCGCCAGCCGCAAGACATCGAGCCCGCTCAGCGACGCCCACACCGAAGAGATGATCACCCGCGTCGTCGCTCAGATCCGCGCCGACAGCCAGAACGCGTCTGCTTCCATGCAGAATGACAACCAAGGCCTCCTCCCCCACATCATTCGCGCAAAGAAAGATGAAGAGGACATGGACGAGGATGAGAGGCTACTTGCTTCCGAGGAGGGCAAGAAGTTGAGCTCCAAGGAGCGCCGCCAGCTCCGTAACAAGGTCTCCGCTCGCGCTTTCCGCTCAAGAAGGAAGGGTAAGCTACCACGATCATCACCACATATGGAATGCCAACTAACTTGACTAGAATACATTGGCCAACTCGAAGGCGAGGTTGCCATGAAGGTGAACGAGGCCAATGAACTCCGCGCCCAGAACCGCCTCCTCATGGAGGAGAACGCCCGTTCCCGCGCTTTCATCGAGCGCCTGCTCCGCCACCAAGCTTTTACTCCCTTCCTCGAGGAGCTCTCCCGCGACGAGTCGCTCCAGGCCAAGGCGCCCATGACCTCAATGCCGTCAACTTCAACACCTGTCGCTACTGCTCCTGCCCCGGCTCAGTTCCAGCAGCAACAACAACCGTTCAACGGCATGTCGCAAGCTGAGAACACCCACGTCGGTATGACCATGGTCCCTGAGCCCCAACTCGACTTCGCCATGCTCAACCTGAACAACAACGGTAACAACGGCAACAACTGGGGTGTCAACAACGGCTTCAGCTTCCAACAACCAGTCGCTTTCGCCGTCACTGAGCTACCCGAGGGCCCTAGCAACCCCCTTGATATCGAGGCCATGTCTGGCAAGGGATACAGTGCTATCCTGAATGCCGAGGACGACTCACCTATTGAGGAGGCCAAGGCTGACTACCCCGTCATTGAGCACCCCGTTCAGTCCGAGCCCGCCACTGCTATCGAAGAGACCGAAGAAGAGGAAGATGCTGAATACGACCTGTACTACTCTTCATCTACTCCCTCCGCCACTGCACCGCTTGAGGACCAAGAAGCGCTCTTCACCAACCCTGAGAAGGCCTTCGCACACTACTCGCTAGTCATCTTGGATGATGCCAACGAGGCACTTCTAGCAGAGCGTCTGGAGAGGAAGATCGCCGCCATGAGCCCAGTCATGCAAAGAATAGCCGATATTACATCGATGCTCGACTCATAGCTAAATCTAAAGGCTTAACATGTCGTTCTTTTCTGATTCTCTTTGCGCGCCTATACTGCAGCAACTTTATTTGATAGACTGGTCCTACATGATTGTAACGATTCCCTTTGTTTGATCATACGCAGCCACAAACAGCGAGTAGGCTTCTCTCTTTCCATTTCCTTTGTTATCTCGGTACTGTGCAATGGTATCAAGCGTACTTCACTTCCGTTCTGGACGGCGTTTAACGGCAATGGGTTTTCTTGTAGATATATTTGACCCCGAGGTCGACGGGGGTGAAGGGAGAGAAAGTGGGACCGACATCATGTAGAGTGCACGTGGGATTGAATACACTGTTGAAGTCAACTTTCTGTTCCGTGTCATCGATTGTAGTGCCTGCTCCATGTCCACTCATTAGCCACCAACCCACAAGAAGGATTCAAGCGTGTCTCGCCCTCCGCTCCTCCGTCGATATATTCCTCCACCTATCCACCAGGTGTCACACCCCCACGTCTCCTGCCCTACACACTTTACCCATATTAACCACCCGTTCTACCGTATCTGCAACATTCCCTGTCCGTCTTCCCTGTATACGGATTGTCGGCGACGTTAATTTATTTTTTCCTTTCATACACGTCACTTTCCACAATCCTTTATGCCTCCCATTCACGCATTGCACCAACGCGACCCTCTTTAAAGCGGTATCCATGCGTCGGGTACTATGATTGACTCCCGGAACAATAGCACATATAGTGTTATAGGCCTGTATCCTGGTGGTATAATATCCAAAGTATGAGTGAAGGGCAGGGATGTGGAAGTAGGCGGGAGATGGCAGATGGAAGATTGGTAGCGAAGGAAGATCTAGTGGGGGTTCGTTGATGCTTGGAGATGGTGGGGAAGTGGGTGAAACTGAAGTGGTGGTGGAGAGTGAAGGTATTGTAAGAGTGCAGATGGTACTTGTCTTCTCTAATAATAATAAGAAACTGCTAAGCTCTTTCCCATTGAGAGTTTACACTATCCAACCATAGAACGCCTCTCAGATCCCTAATATGCAAACAAGAATTAAAGAACTCCCTCTCCGCTCTGTACTTTTCTGATCATTCTACTTCCTCTCCATGTCCGCCAGACTCATTCCTCCGCTAAGGGCATTCCTCGCGCGCGCATGTTGGTCTTGCCAGCGTGTTCGTGCCCCGTCGACGGCTGCGCCTTCTTTTGTTGCGACAATTGTCGTGTAGGTTATGCCGAAGGCTTGGGAAAAATGTTAGTCGTCTGTTATTGCGTATAAGAGTGAAAGCAGAGTGAGAAGAAAAAGGAAGGTGGGCATCAAAGGGAGTTGCATATGAATCAAAGACAGGGAGACTTACCAAGAAAAGCGGCGAAGGAGGGAAGGTAGGACTTTGCTACTGCTGGCATTTTGATCGTCGGTGGTGTTGTTGCGGGTTGGATTAGATTGGTCCTGACAGTGAGACGGCTTGCTGACTCCAGTGACGACCGTTGATTGATGAGCTTTTTGTTGCAAGATGTATTGCTGTATATGCGATTCGATGCGATGCGAGAATGCGATGGTAGTCGGTGTGACTGTCTAGCTGAAGATTGCTATGGCTGAATGATGATGATGATGATGATGAAGAACAACCAAGTCAAGCAAAACCACCAGCATTATATCCACCTGCTTCAGGTCCTCAAACGCAACGATGATACGGTTCGGTGCCTACCGAAGCTGCGTGATCCCACGACCCCGGAATTGGCTTATGACAACATGCCAAAAGCATCAGCCTGGATTCTGGGATCGCGAGACACAGCAGCAGCTTGACAATACGATTGGTCAGATTTACCGAATATACGTCTACATCATCTGATGCACTCCTGCGGAGAATGGCAAAGGGAATATTGGTGGCGAGACATAGGAGCGAGAACGCGGTGTTCGGACTATGCCGGGATGGTGTGTGGGGTGACCCGTTGGCGAGGGTCGTACGATAGTAGAGCGACCACCCAGTCGGGTCGGTGCGCAGGGGGTGGAAGGGAATCTGCTTCGAGTGGTTGCTAGTGAGCTTGTCAAAGTAGTTTTTTTTTTTCACGATAATGTGAATAGCGGTACTGTGATGGCTCGTAGGTAGCCTTGATAGTGGAAGAAACCCTGGTGGTGAGAGGGTGTTAGTGATCCCTGGAAGCGACCAACTTGGTAAACTCGGATTTCTGAGCGTCATCATTGTACATTCTCAAAATCCGAACTACTCTAAGTCGCGGCGGTGCACGGCTGTACGTATCGACCGACTTTCTTGGATGATGCTCACAACGCTTCATCGCCCTATTTCCAGCTTCTAGTCGTGTTCCTCCGGATGATGCAAACGTGGAAAGTACGGAGGCTATATAGATGTCAGGCTAACTGTCACGGCGGGGAAGAATTATCGAGAGCTGTTCCATGCAGTTTGATGGTATACCTAGGTGCCTTTGTCTCACTTCATTCTGCTCCTTCGTGTAGCGTCGCCATGCAGACTGCGTTGCGTCTGTGGATCCATGGATTGATCCAATCACTTCGCTTGCGCACATATGAATAAAGGCCAAGGGTTCGCAGCGATGAGAAGATTCGAACTTCCTTGAGTGAACAGATCTTTGACACGTTCCACATAAACCTCGTATGTATCACTCATCCCTGATGCACCTCAAGTCAACACTGCTACACTGAAAGTTGGCACCCATGTCCGTGGTACTTCGGGCGGTACAAAGAAACCATCATGGCTAGAGTACTCTCTAGATGGATTTGACAGCAGAGAGTGAGATCCACCAGTAAAGATGGGTAGTAATTTAAGGTAAGGTTAGATTTATTAAAGAAATAATGGATAAACTACTCGGACGTCCGGTTGTCCTGCAGAAAACTGCAAATGTGCACATATGATCCCAAACAATACAACTCCTCCACCAATACGCAGGCGCGTCCCTTGTTTCTTCCCGCCATTCCCGGAGACAACGACGCTCAAACCTGTTACATGTACCCGCGAGTCTGAGACTCAAGCGAGTACAAGTGCAAGGCGTGCATCTAGCTATCTCTTCCACCTGTTTCTTCATTTCCACCGCCTATGCGTGAAGCCGGAGTCCTAGGGCTGAGCAATATTGAACCAACCAAACAGCGCTTGCGAGCCGACCCAGTTGGGCCGACGCAGGTACTGTCTGATCTGCTACGAGTCCGTGCCCAGGTATTATCCCACGCCTCCGGCTGGCTACCAGAGTCATCATTGATTTGGTCGTTAATTCGTGTCGTTCGTCGTCGTCAATACACGCGTAGTCCGTTGAAATGGATACCATGCGCAAAAGTGGAAATAGGCAAACAACCAACGCGTCAGTCATCACGGGTCTTCATAGTCGTAGAAGCCGTCGAAAAGATCCGTAACCACTTTCAGCATCGGCTCCATCAAAGTCCTTTCATCCTCCGGTAGTCCACCAAAGATGCGGAGTCGTTGAGTTTCCAACTCTTGTTCCTGTTCCTCCTGAAGGCGAAGCCGGGTTTGCCATGCGGTGTAAGTTTGCTGCCAGTGGTTCGCAGTGGCGTTCGCAATATGGTGGCCTCGAGGATGGAAGCAAGAGCTTGTTGCAGAGAGAGTTGAAGAGGTAGTGCTGACGGATTCACTTCGAGTGTGATTGATAATTTGCGGTGGTGAATTGTCGTTATTGTTGTTGCGGTTCCGAGGACGGCTTCTTGTTCGTTTTCTGTTGTGACGCTTGCCCATGTCGTCTATTCCAAGTATTCGTTGATATATAAATAAGTAATGATATGTTTGAGGGGAGATGGTGAGAGGTGGGGCGAAAAGCCGCAAAGGCGGCTGATAGTCTCAGGAGAGTCAAGCTTACGAGCAAGATACTTACCCAGTCTTATATACATAGGACGACATTGCATCACGTATGCAGGTACAAGCTAAGTCAAGGATGTCAGTAGGCTGCATAGTGACTCAGAGCCGCGCGATGGTGTGACGGGGAGAAGGAAGATGCTAGATCATAGCCTAGATGACAGCAAATCCGGACCCACTGTCGCGACCGTGCACGTGCATGATTGGTCAGAAGGCATCGCGGTCCAAGCCGAACTTCGGGACCTGCAGGAGTCATCCTCGTGCTGGGCATGCACAACTCATGAATCCGCAGAGTCTTCACCTCTCTTTGCCCAACACTCATCGTAATTTCCTTGTTTCACGATCTTTTGCTTCTTCGACTCACAACTCTGACGACATTCACACGGACAAAGGGCGCGCGTGATGAGCACAGCCGTGGCGAAGCGCTATCCTGCCCTTTCTTCACGACCACGGGACTCTTCAATGTTGGGGCTATGCCATGGTCACTGCGAATATCGGTGACGGGTGACTGCGAACAAGCGCATGCCGGATTTGTACCTTCTAGACGGCGGCCATGTGCCTGGCCATGCGACGACCTAGGATCGCGGAAGGCGGATGAAAAACCTCGACTGCGCTCTGACCGCCATGGGGTCGAGGGCGACGGGATGCGCTGCGTGGGGATGCCACATCACGTTGCCGACCGCCATGTCAAGTAGACGGTGAACGTGAACCTGGACGTTATACTAAGAGTGCTAACATGGAAGGAGGTTTTTGATGAGAGACATCCGCACAGGCTTCATGACCCATGTCATCTGCCTCACTAACCATTAGTCTAGCCAGCCAACTAACGGCCATGTTCGCAACCCCTTGGAAGAAGAGCCTCGCAGAACTGTCGCCTAGTCGCTGCCTACACTCGCGAACGAAGGATCATGCTAACGCGAGCCAAGTTGCTCGAGTCAGACGCGTGCGCCCGCGCAAGGCTACAGACACTTCGTCGCGCAATCACGTGTTCAGCATGGCTGAACCCTAGGCCTCCATAACAACCTCACTAATCTTATATCGACGTCAACGAGTTCTCTTGCCTGAGGCACTCGTCACATTATGAGAGTCGGAGCTTCCACATTGTGTTTCGCCGACATCTCATTTTCGGCTCTCCAATGCATATCCCGACCCCAAGTCAGACTAGGTCGACCATGTCCACCACTCGAAACACTCGAAAAAGCTGCGGAAACACGTAAGCTCGATCGTTTTGTGGTCTAAACAACGTCATTTGTGTCGTTTTCAGACACGCTTCGTCGATTTGGGGCTTTTCGGCTTGTGTTCTGGGTGATATTGTAAGATCAGCGGTCCACGGGTCGCAGGTAAGAATAGATTAAGTAGTCAACGTTTCTTCTATCATGCTGCAAAACCACCACGTGGAGTCAATGTCGCTTTCGGGACGCTCTACACTCTCATCATGACTTCCACCACACGAGCGATGCTGCTCAGCCTAGGTATGGAACTAAACTGTGGATTTGAAGATTTGATTGACTGAATGCTAGTAGCGACCGCAGCTTCTGCGCAATACGGACCTGGTGGCCGATATGGCCCTGATGGAGTTGGAGGAGGTAGTGGCAACGACGATAACGACTTTGGCTCATCATTTGGCGGCGGCCGCGGCGGCTTCTCTTTGGAATCACGACACAAGATCATCATAGCCCATGGTGTTCTGGCAGCCCTAGCATTCGTCTTGTTCTTCCCAGTTGGATCGATCCTCATTCGACTAGGATCATTCCGCGGCGTTTGGCTTGTCCACGGCTTGTTTCAACTCTTTGCGTATGTCGTATACATCGCAGCATTCGGTATCGGCGTTTGGATGATCAACAACATACCAGTCAACATGCTCGACAATTACCACCCGATCATTGGTATCATTGTCTTCGTTCTGCTCTTTTTCCAACCTATCCTTGGTTTCGTACATCACCTCAAGTTCAAGAAACATAATCGCCGAACTATCTGGTCGTACGGCCATCTCTGGCTGGGACGTATCCTGATCACGATGGGCATGATTAATGGTGGCCTCGGTCTGCTTCTTGCATCGGACGCACCCGCATTCACCGGATTTGCTCCAAGCCGGGGTCAGACTATCGCGTATGGAGTCATCGCTGGTATCATGTGGCTGTTTTGGGTTTCTGCTTCGATCTATGGGGAAAGGAAGAGGAAGATCTCGCGAAAGGCAGCATTGAACAAGGAAGTCGATGAAGGATCGCCACGCCCTTATGATGATGGAAAGGAATATTATGCGTATGTCGGTCGCTGTTCTACTTCTTTGTGTTCTGTTGCTAACCGTATGACAGGCAACGAACTTATGCTTGAACGTATCAATGTTGTCTCAGAGGAAAGCAGTTCACATTGAACATAGTACAATGTTTGAAACGGTTATTTTAAAAATATAGCGCGCTTCCCACACAGTCTTTATTACCTGGCGTGCCTGATAACGCCTTGTCTTTATGCTTGTCTCCTTCGTAACAAAACCCTATCCAGAACTTTTTCTACTTATCTTCGCAATCTCGTGGGTCAGACAAGTCTTTGTCTTCTTACTTGCTGCATTTGGCCGTGCCTAATGCAACCACTTCGTTCGGAATGAGCAACCTAATCGGTCGTCAGGAAACGTATTAGCAAGCATGATAATCTTCGCCATTCCAGTTTTTTACCATACTCGGCGAATTCAATAACCAACCGGTAGAGTAAAGAACCACCATGCCCACATACGGGTTGCAAGTCCATCCCGAAAGTCCTCCAAGTGATGTTTTTCTGTCATAACAACCCATATACAGCTCGCAATACACACCACTGTATCAAAGAAAAAAGATAAATATCCTTTTTCAGAGTGCTCCTTCCTGCTATAAAAGAATATACTAAGAGCTATACAGATATAGATAGAAAACCTGCAAGTCTACAACACTATTAATCTTAATAAGTTTTGTTTTAAGAAGATAATGTAGGCTCAATATAGTTTTTGCGATCAAACTCTATACTGGATACTGTGGGTATATGCAGTAGTAACACACTTGATCTGTCAGTAGTGGCTTTTATGTATATGGCGAAAATACTCCTGCTCTTACATTAAGAAGAAGGTACACGCGTACAAAATCGGGCGCAATACTGCCACTTGTGAAGCACAGCATAGCATGAGCCTTTTGGTTGTCTTATTCGTTTATTTGTTTATTTGTTTTAGCAGCATCAAAGCTGAGGGTATCTATCTCCGGCTGTTGAAAGGCCAGATCCTTCTTTTGTCTTACGCCAGAAACACTATCACGATGCCTCGACGATACCTATACCTAGCTGAGCACATCGACGACAGCTGCTAGGCATGGTAAGCACGAACCTTCTCGCGGAGGCATGCCCTCGTAGATTGTTGAAATACACGAGCATCAGCGCTCACTCGATGTGAGGACGCTTAGCTGCTGTAAGTTTGCTTGGGCTGCGGGTATGAAGGGCCGAGCTCCTGGATGCTGAGCTTAGCGAGCCATTGACCCATGTCGATGGCCTTCTCGAGCGGCTTGCCCTGGACGATACCAGCAACGAAACCTCCAGCGAAAGCATCACCGGCACCGTTGGTGTCGTTGATCTGCTCCTCCTTGATGGCGTGTACGGCAACCTCCTTGACATCGGCGTCTCCGCCCTCCTTTGTGGTTACGGCGACGGTAGGGTCAGTGCCCTGAGTGATGATAACAGTCCTGGATCGCTTGGTGTTCTTCTTGGGTGTGCTGGCAATCTTCTTTGCAATCTCCTTCACGTCCTTGGTCTCCCAGCCATGCGCCTCGGCGAAGGCGGCGGCTTCAGTCTCGTTGCCGATGACAATGTCTACGTATGGAAGGACCTCGTCAAGAGGGTCCTTGAAGAACTGTGAGATAAAGGGCGCAGAAAGGTTGAGGATGAATTGCTAGAACCCAGTCAGTACATTGATCTTCCCTCAACACGTCAGGACTTGTCGTACCTTGTCCTTGGCAGCAGCCTCCTCAGCCAATGCCTTGATAGCCGGCACACTGACGGTCAAGTGGAAGCCACCGACGTAGAAGACCTTGGCATTCTCGACCTGTTTCCAGATGTGGTCCTGCTTCAAATGGTCGATCTTGTAGTTGTTCGCAGCAGCGAGGTCGGTGCACATGGAGCGGTTGTGGCCAGTGATGACAACACCGCAGCGACCAGTAGGAGTCTTTTCGTCGTAGAGGTACTCAGTCTTGACACCCGCATCGGCAGAGATCTTCTCGAGAGTCTCGCCGTACTTGTCCTTGCCAATGCATCCAATGTAGACGACCGAGTTGGGCTCGAGGATGTAAGCTGCACCACGGGCGGTGTTTTGTGCTGCACCACCAGCGATGAGGACAGCGTTGTAGTTTTGGAGCAGGTCCTCGTACAGGCCCATGTGCTTCTCTGGGTCGGCGAGGATAGCATCGTTGGCCTTCAGGCCATACTTGTCGAGGAGAGCCTGGTCACTGCTAGCTGTTAGCAAAGGTCGCTGTGCTGCTCTGCAGTTGTTGCGAAGCATTGTGGCCTTGATCAAAGGAGAAGCAGACTTACCCAACACCCTGGATGTCCAGAAGCGGGTTCTCAAGGCACAATAGTTCGTAGTTTCCAGGCATTTTGGTTGTAGTGGATGAAAAGAGGTTCTGTTGGTGTCGTAGTGGAGAGAAAGTGCTGAATGTGGGGCAGGGTTTCGGACAGCGAGGGGCAGCAAGCTCCACGCTAAAAATTACGCCGATAGGCATGCGCCGACTCAAACAAGGAAGGTGTAGCCGAGTGGAGAATCTCGCCGAGCATGCGAGAGAGGACAACATCTTGGAAGATCAGATATGTAATGCAGGAGAAGGAGGAATCCTTCGAGTGTTGTCTATGTTTTAGACAAGATCTTGCTCTCGAACGAGGCTCACGACATGTCAGGCCACCACTACCTCAGTCGAAATATAATTAGCCTGTCGAGAACAGCAGCACAAGAATGTCAAGAATCAAGAGTGTTCGCATAACTCCATGTCATAATGACAAAGTAAAACAAAACTTCCTAAGCTAGAGGTTGAGCATTGAAACTTGACTCATCTTCCATCCAACGACTCAGAGTCTTGGTGTTTGAGAAAGATAAGCCATGCGTCAAGCCCAACAATAGCCTGACGAGCAGGCAGTCAGGACAAACCCAAGCAACAGTGCAATTAATTCCAGTCTGTAAAGCAAAAAAATTCCCCTTCTAAGTAAGTTCCCCTTGATCTTCGACCGATGTCAAGAACAAGTTCTGACTCGCAAGCGAAAGCATTGTAGGAGCACACATCCAGCATTCGGAAGAACACGTGCACTCATTCAGTCGGAGAACATTCTCGGAAGCCTTCCAACGAGCTCCTCAGCTCGGGCATGACAGTCTCGTAGTACACAGAACGGGTAGTCTGGCGAACGGCATGTCTGATGACAATAACCACTGATGAGAAGACAGCATTGAGCAGCCTGCTACGGCTGCGTTGGGGTCAGATCAACCGCCTTGGCCGTTTGGAGGGGTGCGCCCCCAAGAGCTCTCAGCACCATCACGGTACGAGCTGAACAGGAGCGGACTCGCCATACTTGCACTATTTGCGTATGCGTATTGGTGGTGGTTGTTGAAATCACTGCCGTATGCCGACCCCCAGTTTGAGAGGCTGCCGACCTGAGTTCCCCAAGCAGCACCACTACCAATGCCGCTAGGAGCTCGAGTAGCGATAGGAGTGCCAGTCTCGACGCTCAGAAGCGAATTTGCCGAGTCACCTCGTACATGGCCAGACAACCTGGGTTTCATGCTATTCATGGGAGATCTTCGGAGATCATTACCCAGACCGTTGGTGTTCAGCATGGAGGGAGATGCTGGACCGGGCGTACGATTCCAAATAGAATTCGAGTTCCACTGACCATCAGGAACAGAGGGCAAGTTCGGTGGCTGGCGGATAGATGAAGTAGAACCGGACCTTCCCATGGGCGTGGAGAGCATCGTGGGTATGGGAGCGGGAGACAAGGGCTTGTAGTTCCTAACTGAGTTGACCAAGTCATTGATCGACAATGCCGCAGGCACGAATGTGTTATCGTTGACAACGGCCGTGTCGTCGAATGTCTGTTCTGGTGGTGTAGGCGGAATGTTTTCGTCTTCTTCAACTAAAGGGTCCAGTCCAGTCTCGTCACCTACCAGATCGTCCACCATGTTGCGCATCGCGTTATCCTTAGCAAGCGTAGTGGATGCAGACTCCGAAGCTGCCGCAACAGAGTGTGACTTCTGATCATCTGGAATAGGCACACGCGTATGCTCAAATAAAGGCAGATCGGTTGTCTGAACCGGCAGAACGGGAGATCCGTCAGGTCGGTTCGTGGGACTCGCCAAAAGCTCCGATGGTAGACCTGCTTCTCGGTAGATGAATCGTGAGCCTGCCAAGTCCAAGTCCAGCGGAGCATCATCATTCTGCGTGAGGAGCAAACCGTCGATGAGCAGATCCTTGACTCGCATGAGCATCTCGACGTTCGGGTGGTTGCGCTCTAACTCAGTCCATTTCTGCTTCATGATATCCCCGTCATACCAGAGCTTCATAGTGTCTGGGTGGATCAGCGGCTCGAAGCCAATCGTGTCCGTGTCCTCCTCAAGCATGTAGTTCTCTTGTGGAAGCTGATCGACAGGGAAGCTCGAGGCCAAAAGCGAAAGTGTCGCAGCATAGGCTTTCCAGAGCTCCTGGACATCTACTGTATTCAACGTATCCGCGATATTGGCGTTGAGTACCTTCCAGTAGCGCGTAAACCAGGTGCTATATAGGCGAAGACCTGGGAGGATGCGGCGCGCTACAGCTGTGATCTTGTCGGACAAGTGGGCGGCGCGATCGCCGTTCTGATGCTTCACGTCATTGCCTTCAGACAGGCGATCCAGTTCAGGTTGTAGAACCTGCAAAAGGATAAAGAATGTCTTGACATTCAGACGAAGGTAATAGAAATATGTGCGCATGATGTTCGGGGGTGGATTCTCGCCTATAGGAATTAGCATAGTCAGTTTGTGAAGATTGAGGAGCTTACTCTGCAACTGCACCGTCGCAAAATATTCCGCGGACATGTTTATGAGGATGATCTTGGTCAGAATGGAGTCCAATGGGCGCTCTTTAAGCTCGATAGCCAAATGGCTGAGCACTTCGCCCTCTAGCTCATCGTGAGCAGCGAACTCCTCGCCCTTGTAGAGCTTGCTATGCAGTCTGATGAACCAAGCAATTAAAGCCCGTCCGGTATTACCGTCGGCTGATTTGTGATTGTTGATGAGCTGCCCATTATCCCATGCGGTAATGACTCGCTTAAACTCAGTTGCCAGATTTGCCTTCGCCGACGGGTACGGTTCCTTGCTTGCTAGCGAGCGATAGAGGTGATATACACAGCGGAAGTGGTCGCCGTCCTCGCGCGCGATTACTGCGAGTTGGTTTGGCGCATGCCCAGAATCTGGATATATCTCTGCGGCGAGATCGTAGTAGCCTTTGGCCGGGCCCCAGTTGCGCTCCTTGTTCTTCTCAACGAGTTCGGTTTCGCGGTAGCGGGAGAGATCGCCGAGTTGGATGAGCGTTTGGTGGCAAGAGATGAGGACCGGTGTCTTGAGTTTCGCGGGTATGCGCTGACGCGATGATGACTTGGAGGCTGCTCTACTGTCAGTGGCATCGCGTGGAGCGAGCCGGACGTGCTTACTATCATCCTTCCATTTCTGGGCGATTCTGCGCAGTTCTGGAATGCCATCGAATTGAGTGTCAAGGTTCAGTATGTACTGGCGGTAGAAGCGCTGGCTGGCTTTGATGAACTGGAGATACGTCTTCTGGAACTTTCGGATCTCGACAACATGGTCCTTGGAGCGCTTGAGCTGGCCAGATGTTAGCGTTGTCTCTTGCCCTTTTTGTCCCGACGACGCACGAGTTTATGTTCCTGCCTGAATTTGGTGTTGACCTTCAGATGCGCATTCCACAGCGTCGTCTGGAGTTCGCGGGCGGATGCGTACTCGAAGTTGGAGAAGATGAGGGCCTCGCAGGCGGCGCGGTACCTGTCCAGCGTTAGTCGTTGCCCGCTGGAAGCGGCAATAGTGCCCTACTCTTGCAGTACCGCAGCTAACTCGGCGCACGAAGAACCGCCATCGGCGCGCTTATAAAGCTCCCTTTCAATCGCCTTGGCCCGCCTACACTCTATTAGCACTCGGCGGGCATGGTCGTGATGACGCCAGGACACACCTGTCAAGTTGTTCAGTGTTCGCGGCCATGCCTTCGGTGTGCAGGAGCCGGCGACGTTCCTATGTGACCCCACGGTCGGCGGGCAGGTCAGACGAAGGCACGGAGCAGGCGGCGGACGTTGTGGCTGGCGTGCTCCATTTATGGTGAAGTTGTATGCCCTGCGTGTAGGACAATCAGCGATCGGAAGGGTCTCGGAGGCAAACAGCGCCCAAGACGCGGATGTATGGCGTCAGAGTGGGAGGCGATGGCCGTCGTGTGAGGTGAGAGAAAGTAAGGTTGGTTGATGAGTCGCGAACTAGCGGGCAGCAGTCTCGGAGCTAAGGTACCACGGCTCAACCTATCTGAGTACCAAATCTCCTTCCTCCACCACACGGCCAACATCAAGGTGAAACAGCCCTGCGAGACAGCACTCTCGCCGGTAAAAGGTACTGCCCCTCTCATCTACGCCTTGTCACACTCATAATCAACCCCAATCAACATATAATGGGGATCAAGCGCTCACACCGCGATTCCTCGTCATCAGACAGCACACCCTACTCGCGTGAGACGTCTGTCGACATCAAGATTGTCCACTTAGATACCGAATCTGCCATCTCTGACGAACCAACCATTATGAAGTGCTCACTGCCTCCACACGAGCCACTGGCTTTCGCTTCTATTGAGGATCACGATGTGCACTATCAGCAGGTCCACATGAACCGATGCAGCGAATGCCACAAGAACTTTCCAGATCAGCATTATCTCCATCTGCACATTGCAGAGTACCATGATCCCATCAATGCTGCAAAACGAGATCAAGGCGAGAAAACGGTAGGTCATTTCCGCACATAGCTCGTCACGTGTTCGCTCCTTTCCCTTATCGAGGGGCACCTTCCTCTTGATGCCTTCACCTGTCCATTGGAGCAAGATTGATGAGGTATGCGGGGTTAGAGTACTGTCGTTTGAATGTTGTAGCTAATAACCTACAGTATGCCTGTCTTCTACCGGAGTGCGATCGCATGTGCAGCACGCCACAAAAGCGCCGCCTGCACTGTATAGACAAACACCAATTCCCCCGCGAGTTCGACTTCATTGTTGTAAAGGATGGTATAGACCGCAGAAGTAGCATGTTAATACCCTCTCATCGACGCAGGAGCTCTACCATGAGCTCAGCGAGCAACGCTACTGGACGGCGGAGAGGTGAGTCGAATGCAAGCATAGTAGGCGATACCATGGATACGGACCAGGACGAGGGAGATACTCGTCGGTATCCCACCAAGCTTCACGGGCGTGGAGGGTTTGGTGGTCGCGGGCTCGGACGCGAAGAGGCAGCAATAGTCACTGCCACGAAGCCGGCTACTGCTGTCCAGTCAGCCGACCCCATGGACAGTCTAACTTCCAGCATGTCTTCACTCAAATTCATCCCTCACAGTGTTCGGGTAGCGCGTGGACGGGGCAGGGGAGTAGGCGCTTGAAATGCCTGGTCTCCAAGCAAAGAAAATGAGTTAGACAACTACCGATGGCTTTGCGTTGACACTCTCGTGATGCTCGTTTCTGTTATCGTTGAGGTGTGTTGCCCTGCATTGTTCCTTCTTTATCTGTCAGTCGTCACATGATTAGGGTCGCAACATGTCACAATAATATTCGACTTGGCGCCGTCCCAGTCAACACCACTCACCTCTTGTGACAACCCGGTATCGTTATTGACTACGATAGCAAGGTGTGTATAGCGGTCAGTATATGTTCAAGTTGTTAGCTGATGAGAAACCTGGCCCTGGCTCCTTCCCGGGGATTGCGCTCGCCAACGAGGCGATGATACGTATTGTCTGGCTGCACTACGCGCTTCGAATTATCCTGTATCCTTTTGATCGTCTGGAGCTACTCCGGCTGGTGGGAGTGGAATGCGGATCTGTTTGTTGCCATGTGTGCTCGATACGCATGCTCCTCACTCCGCCACAACAATCGCCCGACGGCCCCCTGCGCGCAGTCGCTATAAGCGTACGAACACCATACAGACTCATAGCTGCTATGAAACCATCAACTATTGCTCGCTGCGCGGTCGTAACCGAATATTTGCGCCGAAGGAAACAGCCTTGCTGTGATGCGACCAATCGCGGTCGCCCCAACCACCACGTCAAGCTTTTGAGTGTCATTTTTGAGGACGTGCCGCATGACGGATCACGAAAGGAGCAAATTTTGATGGAGAGTTCACAGCCACTCAAGTCACTGACAGTGAGAGAGCACTGTTGCACAGAGACAGGTGTGATGAGGATTGTCGCTTTGGACAGGACCAGTGAAGCAACAAGTAGGTTATAATCACGTACAGATTTGGCAAAAGTCTTGGGACGAAAGCTAACATAGAGCCACGATAGTGCATCCACGCAAATCTAGCGTTTGGGTGCCAACCACGAAGCGCCAACGTACCAGCAGCGCTGTTTTGCTGGCTTTACAACCCAAGGTAGATAGAAACGCCCCAACCGCACCAACAGTCGCGGACGCAGATGATCAGGTTATCTATCTCAGAGAACCTATTTCGAATGAATGCAGTACTGCAACACAAGCGTCGCAAGACATGGCCAAACAAGAACACCCGATCTTGACCACTTTCCGCTTCCCTCCCTCTGGAGATGACTATATATCCAAAATCAATGTTTGGTCAACGCACTCTGAGGTATCGAGTGATACAGCATCGCCAACCTCGGATGCGACCCTCTTTGAAGATGCGCCCCTATGTCCAGTCAGCCCGTCAGGCTGCGGTGAAGACACCCCGGATTGCACAGATCACAACGACACCCTAGGGAAGGGATTATCAGCCAAGTGCGCCAATCAAGTCAAACCGTACGAACCGACTCCAATGGCGAGGAGGTATGTTCGACACTGCCGGCACATCTTGTCTAGTTCGGTCGTTGACGCTGCCGAAACACTTTCAACTTCCTTGCGATCGAGAGCAAAGACGAACGATGGCCTGATTTTGTTCAGAGCAAAGCCCTCTAAAGAGCCTGCAGCCAATGTTCACAGGGGCAGACACCGTCACAGAATTTCTCTGAATCTCCCAGTGAACTCGCATGCTGGCCAGCGCAGCGGAACTCAGCAATCTCGACAGCCTGATACTGAGGATTTGACCCAGCCGTTGGTTGGCGACGAGACCGCCTATCCTGCTACCAAATCGGATACATGGCCTGCAGAAGAACGGGATCTGGAGTACAAGCACCGACATACCTTTATAGGAACCGCCTCGCTGGACGACTTCATAGAAGTTCTAGAAATCTCCAAAACACACACCACTACCAAAGGCGCAGTCGCTCGAGCATTCGTACAGCTAGCTTTAGCAGAGCAGCTTTACGCTCGACAATGCTCTACTAGGAACAATGGATGGGAGCTTATCACACGAACATCACTGACCGTCATGGACGTTACTAGCGTCGATTATGTCGTACAGTTGCGAGTTAAGCTGGGTTGCATCACTCTGAGGCAGTTTCTAGATTTGATACTTTTCGATGAAGTTGATGAGGTAGCGGCGGTGCATGTCGTTGAAGCCTTCTCAATTGCCAGCCACATGGACACGACGGCGGCTATAGGAACAACTAGCAAGGCGAAAGCTTTCAGGAGTTGGTTGGTCGAGCAAATGAAAGTCGACGCAGGTCATTGAAGGCTAGCGAGATGTTGGAGGGTAAAGTACTCAATCGGTTTTCGGGTATATGCCTGCTGTTTTGTATCGACCAGACAAAGTATGGTTGAAGGTGAGCGCACTATTCCCTACTATACCTAACTACCCTTCTAACCTCAATAACCTAATCTCACTAATGTATGTTCCTACATGCACCCCAGTCTTCTTTGTCATCTAAGGCAGTGTAGTCAAAACGGTGACGTACATGTGATGACCAAGATTTCCCTACCCTAGGCCAACACCGAGAATGGGGTTGGCTCAGACGCAGCGCTAGCATCACTCTCAAAAGACCACAACAGTACGCTTCGTCCGCCTATCCCGTAAAGCCAAGGCAAAAATCGGAGATCGCTTTCCTGAGCCAAATGTGCAGTGTGTGACTATGAGGACTTCGAAGATAATCAGGCAGTTGAGATTTCTACGTCAACAGCAAAATGCAGCACGTTGATTCCAGGGACGGTTCTATTACACGTGGTTGTTGTTACGCACAAAAAAGGCAAAACTTCTGTCTTTGTGATTTGATTTTGGCTATTTTTGGGATTTTGTTGACGATAGTTCGTTAGCACGTACACACAGGAACACACAATAAGTAGGGTTTGGCGATGCGGGAAAAGTAATAGAACTGTGAAACATCAACGTGCTGACTCCCCAAAGCATACCTAGGTATGTTAGACAATATCAGATTTGGCAATCCCAGGAACCCTCCCCCGCGCTCACAATGCCGCCTATCCAGGTGGGCACTCTAGATCGTGCACGTGCATTGCTCTGACCATCAACTGCTAACGTCGCAAACTTGCTGCATCCGAAAGAATCACTTCTCATCTTCTCTGCTGGCGCGACTGTCTCGGATACCCGGCTGCACCACAACCCTAGCACGCGTCGCACCCGACCATCCGGCCCGCGCGATCCCAATGACGTGTAGCGAAGCGCATTTGATCTTCCCCGCATTATCCACGATGCAGGAACAAATGCGATTTCCTTGATCGCAGTGCAGTCGCCCGGACGTGGCGGAACGACGTGTCGGCGTTATGAGTAGCTAAGCTCCTCGGCGCCCAAGACATTTCCAAGCAACGCCAATGTCATCTCCAAACTTGGCGACTTGCATTACGCACACCACCCCCTTTGTACAATGTCAAACGGAAACCGCACGCAATTATGATAGGAGATGGTATCCAGGGCCCGAATAGATCGCCAAGCCTGTCTTGGTTTCGTAGTCATTTAAACGATCCAACCCTAGCCTCGTACCAACGCGGAAGGATGACTTCCAAGCATTGCACTGTCGCCCAGCTACTGCTGCGGCTCAGCGCCGTTACTTGGCTGAAGGCGGAAGGGGTTTCATAACATCACGACTCGCAGCCCCAGAATGCTGTTGTCCTGGACTTCTCACTCTCCTTCACTATCATCCTACCAACCTCAGGCTCCACTACATCGCTCGCTGTGTAGTGCCTCAGGCACCTTCGTTTTCATACGCATGCCGAGTTCCGATCACCTTACTTTCTAGTGATACCCCGGAGATCCCGCAATGAGACCTTCGAACCTTGTTTTTGCGGCGGTTGGCCTGCTGTCGCCGATTGCCACATCCGCGCTGGAGCTCAATGTTGACGATCCAGGTGGGCACACTGCGACTGTTTTCAAACTCCACTAACGTATCCAGCCTCTATTAGAGAAGCTACCAAAGTTGTGGCGGCTGGTCTAAGAGAATGGTACACTGGTGACCGGCCGGGCGATGTACCCGGAAACTTGCCAGATCCCTACTACTGGTGGCTATGCGGAGCCATGTTTAATTCCTTCATCGACTACTGGTACTATACCGGCGATGACACATATAATGCTATTACACGGCAAGCAATGGTGCATCAGATTGGAAACCCTAAAGCCTTCATGCCGGACAACCAAACCAGTACACTGGGAAATGACGATCAAGCTTTCTGGGGGATGACTGCCATGTCCGCAGCGGAGACTAAACTTCCCGACGTCGAGGGAGAGATGTCGTGGTTGTCACTCGCCATCGCAGTATTCAACACGCAGGCACCACGTTGGAATACCCAGACCTGTGGTGGTGGACTCAATTGGCAAATTTTCCGATTCAACAATGGATTCGACTACAAAAACACTATCTCAAATGGAGCGTTTTTCAACATTGCAGCAAGATTAGCAAAGTACACAGGCAACGCGACATATGTCGAGTGGGCGGAGCGAGCATGGGACTGGCAATATTCTGTCGGTCTCATTAGCCCGGATTACCACTTCTTCGGTAAGAACGCCAGCCTAAGAACCTCAGGTGGTGCATATACTGACTTGACATCTCCTTGTTGCAGACGGAACCAGCGAGAGGCAGAACTGCACAGAGAAGAACCATATCCAATGGACATACAACGCTGGAATCCACATGTCTGGTGTTGCAGCGTTGTGGAACATGTCAGAAACGAACGGTGATGCGGTAAGGCCCATTCGACATCTGCAAGTAAATAAGCATATCTAACGTGACATAGGAAGCAGCGGGCAGGTGGCGAGAGCGCCTGGGTGGCATCATTAATGGAACAGACATCTTCTTCAACGCCGAAGGCGCCCCAGGTGTCATGATCGAAATGGCTTGCGAGCGCAACGGACTATGCGACCACGACCAACGCTCATTCAAGGCCTACCTCAGCCGATGGATGGGCTACACGATGCTGAGCGCTCCCTGGACCCGCGACAGGATCATGCCAAAACTCCGCACCTCCGCCGCAGCCGCCGCTCAACAATGCAGTGCCGGAAAAGGTGGATGCGGCCTCAGGTGGTGGCGAGGCGGTGTGAATGATGGAGAAGTGGGCGTTGGAGAGCAAATGTCTGCATTGGAAGTCATGCAGAACTTACTTGTTGATCAAGTCTCTGGGCCCGTAGGACTGGATACTGGTGGAATCAGTGAGAATGACCCTACCGCGGGAAGTGACGGGGGAAATGTGCAGATTGAGCATGACGCCATCACGACGGGGGATAAAGCTGGCGCGGCAATTCTTACTATAGTAGTATTTGCTGTGTTTTTGGGTGGAGGTGGTTGGCTTATCATGAGCGAGTAGGTTCGTTTCCAATCCAAAACAAGTTTTTAGTTCATCTTATTGCCTGAATTTGCGAGACAGATGCAAGAATCATACGGAGAATTCTATCATCGAGTTATAGCAGTACAGCTGTACATTATACGATGTACGTTACCAATACGAGGCTCACGCATTCAAGGCAGGTATCTCCAACTAGTGTTGCAACGCGAAAGTGCGTTGCAATCCCTCTGATTCGCAGCACTACACGCGTGTAGGTTCTGATATGCATGCATTTGTAATGCTCCTATTGACATCTGTATACGCTGCGGCCTATGAGAGGGCGTGCCATGACATAAGTGTGCAGATCATACCCCACAAGAGGTCAAATGGTGATTGCCTATCCTAGACTTAGCGCAGTGTACTGTACGTAACCCAACAGGCATTTGTAAGCTCACCGATTGCAGCTTCAACTTCACGACAAGATATAAGTCTACTGTTATAGCTGTCGCCTACAGAAAATCATCGGATACCTCCCTGAAGCCTACAATCCCGATTCTTGCCATCGCCGAAGAGATAACAGAAATGACGTCAACCAAATCCTTCAGCTCCACGCCAGCAGGTGCGCAACAGCAACCCACACCCTTCGACTTGCACGTCGAAGAACAGAAGCTGCAGGAATTCAAGACTCTGCTCAAACTGAGTCCAGTCGCAAAAGACACGTACGAGAACAAGCAAGATGAGGGAAGCCATGGCAAGTTTGGAGTCAGCCGGCAGTGGATCGTTGATACAAAGAAGGAATGGGCTGAGAAGTTCGATTGGTATGTATACTCTCGCAACAATCTGAAAGATTTTGTTTTAATGGGATGATATAGGCGCAAGGAAGAGGACCGGATCAACTCATTCCCCAACTTCAAGACTACGATCAAGGACGATGACAGCGGCAGCTACCACGTCCATTTTGTGGCATTGTTCTCGAACAAATCAGATGCTATCCCTATAGCGTTCTTTCATGGCTGGCCAGGTTCATTTCTGGAGTTTCTGCCTCTTATGGATCTCTTGCGCAAGAAGTACACGCCAGATACTCTCCCTTACCATATCATTGCGCCGTCTCTTCCTGGCTTTGGCTTGTCATCCGACCCTCCTTTACAAAAAGATTGGAAAGTTGCGGACACTTCCCGCATCATGCACAAGCTTCTTATTTCCCTTGGATTTGGGCCATCAGGATACCTCGTCCAGGGCGGTGATATTGGCAGTCTCATTTCGCGAGAGATAGCAGCCACGTACATCGAATGCAAAGGCATGCATCTCAACTTCATGCACAGCAGGAATATTCAATCTTATTCTTCGCCGGAAGACAATATTAGTGAAGCGGAGAAGAAAGGTATCCAGAGGATGACCGAGTTTATGGAAGTCGGCCGGGCCTATGCAATCGAACATGGCACCAAACCCTCCACCATCGGTCTTGTACTTTCCAGTTCGCCCATTGCACAATTAGCCTGGATTGGCGAGAAGTTCCTTGCGTGGTCTGATCCTTCCACTACACCTTCACTCAACACCATTTTGTCTGATATCACCCTCTACTGGCTTACTGGTTGCTACCCTACGTCAATATACACATACAGAGAGGCTAAGGAAACAAAATATGTGGACAAGCCGACGGGGTACAGCTGGTTCCCTTTTGAACTGGCGCCTATCCCCAAAGCTTGGGCAGAGAAGACGGCTAAGATTGCCTTTTTCAGGGCGCACGAGAGTGGTGGGCACTTCGCGGCGTTGGAGAGGCCTGAGACGCTTTGGGCGGATGTCGAGGAGTGGGTCAAGGCTGCTTGGAGATGAAGTGGCTAAGGCGGTGAGGTCAACAGTTTTTATCGGAACGTTAGAATGATGATATGCATATAGTTCAACATCTTCAGCCCGAAAATCATGTCAAGAAGTGAGTGAATGGACGATAAGCCTATACTTGTTGTCGATTGTGTTGCTCAGTTATGGTCGCCGTTATAGAAGCTCGACTAAGTTTCCGACGCAGTAGAAGTCGCACCTAGTTGTTAGCCTTTACGTTCACATTTCGTCCGTCAGGAGTCCAGACTTTGACCATGATGTTGATCAGGCAGGCAAGTTTGGGACCGATGAAGGATTTATCGATACAGCCGCATAGGGTTAGCGTACGTGGCTGTGTCTGGCTGCGTCACTCCGTATGACGCATCTTGTACCAATAACACATCCCTACCTGCAACAATGATGCACGTCTAACCCCGTCGTCGTAAGGTGAAACGTGCCATTGCGGAGCAAGGCCAGTATGCTACGGTAATAACTCGCAACACCTGTACTTTTACCACTGCCCATCGCTGCCCGTCAAACGTCCTTTCTCACATTCTTTCTTTTACTCTGCCGGATCTCCTCGCGTCACTCGCTTTGCCGGAGACCGGCTAGCACGGCTTCAACAACAATAATCATCGCAATGGCCCCTTTCCAACTCGGAGAGTTGGGCACAATATGTAATTATGCCAAAGTTAAATACGAAGAAAGAGTCGAGACGAAGAGGCGCCGCAGCAACCATAGACGCTCAAACAGCGACCCCACAATGATAAGCTACACTAGTACTCTTAAACGCAAACCCCAGACCTACGGCAAATTACACAAACCACCGAAAATAGAATCCCTACATGAACGACATGAACGACAAGAACGGCCTCGCAACAGATTGCAGAAACGCAGACCGGCAAGCGTTGTGGGTGCAATTACGCCACCGCTTAATTTCTTCGCATTGGAATACGTCCCTTATCCGTATAACACACAACCAAGCCAGTTCCTTGGGGTGTATTCCAGTATCGATACTGTGACTGCCGCTGCGTTCCGACATGGCGCATATTCATTCTCAAGAGAAGGGCTGCTGGATGGAAGCGAGTACCTGAGTCCAACGGGCCGCATTAAGATTGTTTCGCACACCATGCAGCGCACAGGTGTCACGGCCGTTGTACCGGAGGATAAGAGCCACAAGTTTGACAACGGGGTTATGAGGCTAGATATCCCGCATCCTAATAGTCAGTCTACGGTCCGCTTTGATAGTCAGCAGGATCTTAGCAACGAGGTCAGCAAGGAGGTGGTTTTTCTGGCGCTTCATGAGGGCCCGCAAAGCGCTTTTTGCATTGGCATATTCCCCAGTAAGACTTTGGCGTGGGGTGCTTGTCTTAAGGACAAAGCGTGGCTTGAGTGGTCGGATCCGTTGACTGAGGAAGAGAGGAGTGTTGAAGAGAATGACATGCCGCGAGTCTCGGCAAGACTTGTAGGGAGTGGACGGCATGCGTGGTTCGTGAGGGCTTTTGAGGTTGATGGGAGTTGAGGCGTGTAATGGAAGACAAAGCACTACTCGGACGAGCAACATCCGCCACGATCATCTAACTTTTCGTCACTGGCGAACAAGTGTATTGAAATCGTTCGTCGAAGATCGGACGTGAAACTTCCAAATCACCAGTATGGATGGAAGTATGCGACAGCCACATGCCAAACATCGCATACCCGAAGCCAAGAATACTGAAGAAGACGGGTTCCCTTGGAATCCAGGGGACATAAGTACCACTCGAATAAAACAACGCATGTTCTGAGTACGTCCTCAATCATTATTGTGCGTGGATAGGCACATCGTTGTGGGAACACTGAACAAAGAGATCTGCAAAATACAATTTATGAGAAGCAGGGTCATTGTGTTTGATACCAAAACTCAGCAAGCATGTAGCAATTACTAGCTGTCTTAATGGGAGTGTGGGGCCGACTCTATGCTTTGAAACCACCCCCATGACATGAGATCATGTTTTACATGTTCTCAGAACAAATCCTCTGTGGCGCAATTGGATAGCGCGTCTGACTGTTACACCAGTGGCTATCAGGAGGTTGGAAGTTCGAGCCTTCCCGGAGGAGTATGCTTTTTGTTTTGTATACTACATCTTTTTTGCCGACCTTTTCGACTGATAAGTAGAGGGAAGCTGCTTTTCATGTATTCAGAAGTACTGTCTTGCCACAACTACGTTCTCGAAACAATTAAAGAAAATCGAAGATTTTTAGGATATAATCATATCGACGACTTCTTTCGTCTTCGCCCGCATGTTCTCTATATGAATCTGCATTATGCTGTCCTTCTTGGCTTGATCTTCCTGTTCTTCGGCTTCTGACACATAGGTTAGCATACTCTATTTCGATACTCTACACCATCACTAGAAAGAAGCAGCGAGACCTCGACCACAAATAGAAGCCAACAACTTCGACTTTATGTCGGCACACGACCTACTCCACCTTGTTTTCATTCTTCGTGTACACAGCACATACAGCATCCTTCTCCACCTTTTCGTCGCACAAGGCGGGTGTGGCGGTGATTGTAAAAGTGTGAGGAGCATGGAGTTGATGAAGAACAGCTATCAATTGATTGTTCGACACCTCAAATCGAGTAGAAAATACATGGAAAGAAAGGCATAAACTCCGTAGAATCGATGAAGGGTAGATTTCGTCGGAAGAAGGGTTCATATGCATGCTCAGCTTCCACTTATCTTCTAGACATAGAGAGCGACAGCGCATACAGAGCTCATTTACCTTTTCCTTAGACGAAGGGAAAAAGTACTAGGAAACATAACTGCGTGCTGCTTTTCTTTCAAAACCAGGCAGAGGCGTTCACTCTTGTTGATATCTTCTAGGAAAATAAAGTAAAAAAGGTGTCTTCATATGATCGTATACTACAACCTACCCACAAATTATCAAAATGGCATCATTTAGGACAAGAAGAGAAGACCAAAATGTTGTTAACGGTGGTATGTCTTGGTCTAAAGAAGGACGAAGTCACATAGCCGATATTAGAAGCTTTCGAGACGAGAAAGCAGAATAAGAATGTCTTCTGTCAATTTCGCACTTGATAAGCTTATAGTTGATGTCACATTGATGTTGATCTAGCAACGCTGATCTTAGATAAACAGCACAATGGGAAGTTACATATGGTAAATGGTATATTTGGTTTTAGACGAGACGAAGACGCGATGTTGTTGAAGCGTATGGTACTTCTTCCTTGAGTTGAAAGTAGAGAGTGAATACACATGGTAAGATAAGGATTTCTTCTGATGAGTATTCGAGTGGAAAAGTGTTGTCTTTTACTCCTGTTGAGGTGTTCATGTACGACTTCGCGCTGATAGCATCTCAATGTTAATGACGCATAATGAACAATATAGCGAAAACACTAGCTACAGTACGTTCCTGTTTATATTCTTGTTCCTATCTACTTGGCTACCACAGCAAGCATGATTTACTTTGTTGGTATATTGAGGATGATAGGATTCAGAAGTAGTTATAGGCGTGATCCTGAAGAGAAGCCGGGCTGGGTTTCCTACGACTATACTACGACACTACATGTCCCTGGTTGTTAAAGCAGGCTTTGAAAAACAACAAATGATCTAATTGTATTATTATTATGTTCCGGAAGAGATAACAGAAACCTATTGAACGACCCTATGCATAATTCAGAGAGATGAACAGTTGTAATTGTGTTGATAAAAGCAAAGTAGGAGGATGCTGGTGAATATGTGCATCCGAGAATTTGAGATGCAAAGTTTACACACTGGACAAGCGTACGATGTGAGGGGTCCAAGTTTCCGGGAGCACATCCATCGATTGCTAGAGCATTCCGAAGAGTTGCTCAAGCCACATAGAAACCAGTACTAGAAGTAACTTACACTCCTGACAAAGCACTACGCTGTTTGTTGCCATACAAAATGTGGATTACATCCTTCTCAACGCCTTTGAGCTCTGCGGTTGACGCGCTGTGCGAACACGAAGCATGTAACTGCCGGAAGCATCTCGTTGCCAACAAAAAAAGCCCTCTTTACAAATGTCGCAATGCGGCGACGCGGGTACAACAAGTAATTTCCCGACGCACGCCTACTTTGCCCTGCAGCACTGGGGACTACAACAGCTAGGCTATGTGCCTGGTGGCTGCTACGCCCACATGTTATAGCTGATAGCTTACGAACATGGATCGCCAGAGATGTATGCTACTTTGTAGCTGGCCGTGGATGTCATATTCGCACTATTTTCTGTGCAACATGTAGGGAGCATAAGCATGGCATTGTTGTTCCTCAACAATCCACTATGAGCACGTCGTAGTCGCTTGCCAGATGTTGGGAAGGTCGGACGGGCAAGCCAAAGCAGAACAGTATCGTTGAATCGAAGCAATGGTCGTTTCGTAGTAATCATGCGCAGCAGAACAAGAATGCTGAATGGCTACCAGTGTGCTGGGTAAATGTGAGGTGGCATTTTCTGAATGGGTGGGTTGTGTTGACACGCCACAATAGTGCAAGGTCCCACAATCCCTTGTGTAGCCAGATGTTCGAGAAGCCGTGAAGGCTTGCATTTCTCAAGTTTCGTAGTGCTGTCACGTTGAGATTACGAGTCGGTCTGGTACAAGTTTGATTCGACAAAAAAGGATGTGCAGCCTGAATAATTGTGCCCTTGCATTACGTGTGGTATGCAGCCTCATACGCTCGGCAGGACGCGTTCCGTCCTTGTCGCGCATGTGGAAAAAGTGCCGTTTCATTGTTACGGGCAGTTGTGCAGGCTTGTGCAAAAAGCCGTGTCGCGATATGTCAGAGATGGCTGCAGAATCGAAGGCGTCCAATGTAGCCACCCTCGCTGCTACTTCGGCGTTCATGTACGATGGAGGAGCTGATGTGCTCCCAGAACCAGGGAGACGAGCCGGTCGTCTCCCGCCTTTAGGGTCCTCGGCTGCGCAATCATTGGTGGTGATCTGGTTGCTGGATCGAGGCGTTCCGGTGGCTAAAGAATGCGAGAGTGATGACTTCAGCTTATCGCGAAAACAGGTGCGTACCTCGGAAACAGCGCATGCATGATGCTAGGGTATATCGACATCGTTGGGACAGAGTATCAAAGTAGGCGGAGCAGTGCTGAGGCAGCGCTACACACGATGGTAGCCACTGCGTGCTCTACATTGCTTGATTTCAATGCGAACGGACCTGTTTGAAGATGATTTATAAAACTGTAAGCGCCATTGCCCAAGTAGGGCCTAGCGGCAAGTATTGGAGATATGGCAACTATATTCTGATATTGTATGATCGTCGTCAATGTTCGATAGCCGGGCGCCATGATGCGCAGCAAGGTCTTAAGGTCCTTGTGATAAGATATGATCAGCTAGACTCGCTTGTTAGCGATGATTGTGGCGCCTGTCGATCCGGTTTTCTGTTCCCGTAGCTCCAGGTCAGATCTTGCTTTTGACAGCCGCGAAAGCCTGGAGCCATGCATGAGACACGAACATAGCGTCGCCAAGTCGCCGCACATGATCGCCATCACTCTCTCGGTCCAAGGCGTCGAATGGTAATCAGCCGCGGCGGATTCTCGCATCTGTCAATGTACGAGGCTGCGATGGCGTCTGCGGGTGGAGTCGAGATCGGTATCGTGAGGCGAGAAGGAACGAATATCCCTGTTGACAAGCATGACAAGGGAGGCACCACTGAACCTTGGAAGAGTGACTCAACAACGCCTAATCCTTCAGAACATCACTTCAGTTTACCTCGGGGTACAAGGATGTTTGCAACGAAGCATGTAATTCTAGTACAAATTCAATCCTATACTACAGTTGCTGCCCAACCACGTCGATGCAGCAGACCCAGGAACCCGACCACGCATGACAGCTGGCGTTCGCGCCCTACCTTCTCAGGCTCACAGAACTATATCGTTGCCGCCCAATACCGAGAAGAGATACTTGGTTTGATCGAGGTTTCTAGTTCCTGCGTTACGTTTTCACCGGAAGCTGCGAGGGCGCAAGGGTGATCCGGTGTATCCACATGCATTCGTCTCGGCTCTATCGATTGTGTTCCACCTCATTAACCCGTGCATCATCATATACCCCATGAAATACCCCAAGCGCCCGCGCCGGATCATCTTTTCCTGCACCAAAACCCAACAGCGAAAGCAAGCATGTCCAAATGCTCGTAGATGCATATATCCATGTCGTGAACATGAACCATGCATGCCATTGCGTTCATTCCATAAGATCTCCCCACTTTTTTCCAAATGCGGATATGAGAGAAAAACCGAGCAAAGCCAAAAGGCTACAAAAGAAACGTAATGACGTGAAAGGAAGCAGAAATGCTGAACAGCTAGGAGAGAACCGTGGATGCAAGTGTTTGACATAAGGAAAACCGATGCAGATTGACTTCCACAGCAAGCGGCTGATACCTTGACCCTCTCCATGACTGCCAAAAGAAACCAATGTAAGAATACGCCCCATGAACGATATATGTACAAAAAGAAGCAATTCTTGTCGTGATGACTGCGCTCCAGTGAGCGCACGGTGCGGACGCAAGCGTGTGCGGGGACGACGTGTAGCAAGCCTCTCGAGATGAGTGTCAATGCGCCGCCTCGATGGCGCTCGGGAGCGGCACTGCGATACGCCATCAAGCAGATCACCGTAACTTGAGATTGCTAAGATCACCGCCGGCGCGCGGTAGACGTAGGTCGTTGTACTGAGGGACCAGCGCCGACTTCTTCGAGGAGGTCCATGCAGGAAGTCAACACTGCGCAACGTTAGCAAGGTGCTTGGGGAGCAGACGCGATGTGGTACTGACTCGCTACGATTTCCTCTTCCCATACACCCATTTGGTAGTCAACAAGACCGTGCTTCTCCATGGCGTCGCAATTCTTGACGAGTTGGGTGCCCATCTTCTCAAGAAACTCATAGTCGATCAGCGATTTTGGCGGTTGTGGTCGCTGGCCCGTCGTGGTCATTTCCTGCGTCATGGTCTTCTGCTTTTGCAGTGTAGTGAGCCAGCAGGTGTTGAATTCTTCCCACAACTGCAAACGCTGCTGGTAGTAGGTTTCGTCGTCGCGTACTAGGCCTGCTGCGGTCAACTCAGCTGCTCGCTCGATACTGTGGGCACTGGAGAACTTACCCAGCGTCTCAGCCCAATGCAGTAGCCAGTCGGACATTCTAAAGAGCAGTGTTCCGGCTTCGCTGAGGCGACCGTCACGTACATGCTCAAATGTCTTCTTGAGCTCGTTCTGGTAGTTTCTGTAAAAGTCGTCGTACTCATTGCCACTGTTTGGCTGGGGCTCGCTGTAGTTGCCCTGGGAGTAGGCCCCTTGAGAGGGCGCCTGATGGGGGTCCGTCATGCCAGCGGCAGAGTAGGCAGGCGCAAGTGCTTCTCGGCCGACCTGGGCTTGCGGTGCTGAATAACCTAACGAAGGATACTGAGAAGGAACGTTTTGCGCCGCGATGGCAGAGGCAGGTGCGCTCGTGGGCCCACTCTCATAGTACTGCGGTTGTGCCACGCCAAAGCCGGTGCTCAGGACCTGTATAGCCGAGTCCCTATTCTGCTGGTACTGTTCCACAGGCTCATACTGCGACGAGGCTTGCGCCGAAGCCTGGGCGCCGGGCACGCTGTACATTATGTTCTGGCCGTAGGGCGAGTACTGCTGGGGTGCACGCTGAGCCTGTTGTTGCTGTTCGGCAGCATAGTCCTGGGTGGCATAGGCTACGGGGGATGCTTGAATCGATGAGCCAAACTGTGCACCTTCACCGTAAGCGTAACCGTAACTCTGAGAGCTGGCGCGACTTCCGGAAGAGGGGACGGAGGTAGGTGGGGCAGGAGCTGTCAAGGGCGGCTGCCTGAAGCGATCGGGTGCGCTTACCACTGGATACGACGCCTGTGGTGGAAGGAGCGTGCCTTGCTGGCTCGCGTAACCTGAGGGAGTATGCCGTGGCCGGCGGTCATTGTCCATCCCAACCAGCCCGCCTTTGTACTGCAGACTGAAGGGCGGTTCGAGAGCCCGGTACCCCAAGGGCGAGACTGGCGGCGTCGCGTAATTGGCCAGCTTGCAGGCTTGCGGGATGTAGGTGATGGAGGGCCGGCGCAAGAGGTGGAGAAGCGAGGGCGCAAGTGTCGTCGAGGTATGCGCGGACTGATGGAGAGGTGCGTAAGAGATGCGTCTTTTGGCGGGATGCGTGGAAGGACCAGAAAGAGTTGATGGTTGATGTGGGCCAATGGTGGTAGATGTATGACGTCCGAAATTGGAAGAAGAGATGCTCCAAGGTCCAGATGGTTTGGATATAAACACAGCCCTGACGCGTCGGCGAGCGGCCAATGGAGCCCAATGATGCAGGAAAAGAAGCTCGCGCAAGAGCCTCGGCCGGCCACCAGGATATCCTCGCTTTAGCTGCAGGAAGATGACTGCAATGCAATGCTCTGAGGTCCGGGATTGGTCCTCCCGATGCGGTAATGTTGGAGAAAATGTGTGCGTAGTGTGGATCAGCTAAACACGTAGCCACTAGATGACAGCGAAATTGTCCGGTAACTGCAGGCGTGGAGAACCCTGTGAGCGACGGGCTGGTGGTGAGGCGACGCTTATGCGTGAGATGTTTGAAGGGTAGTCCTTGCAAACAGATCAGTGTTCCAACGAGTCGGACGGAGTAGAGGCCGGGCTAGGAGATGGTCTCAAACAATCTAACGTCTGCGTTGCGGTAGCTCAACGGCCTAAACGTACGCTGGCGTTCTTCACGATACAGTGTCTTGGAGCGCACTGGGCGAGCAGGAGTACATGCAGAGACGAATGAAGCGTTCGGTCCGAGACCAGACAGAAAGTGCGACGGATGGTAAATTTGTAATCGCATGCACTTGCCCACGGGTAGAGAAGACAGAAAGGCTCTATTATAAGAGTCGAGAGGAGAGGAGCAATGGCGCCCGTGTGAGCTCGACGTCAGTTCACTTCTGCCGAAGATGCTCACCAGGGTGCATGTGGGGGTGGTGTGGTCGGCGATGCGATGGCAGCCAGGCTGAATGAGGGCAGGAGGAGAGGTGGGCGGGAAGTGATGCAGAAACGCTACATTGGGAGAGCATCGGGCAGTGTGGGAAGCAAAAAGGAAGTAGTTCACAAGCCACGCCGGCGAACAGACTGTAAATGCTTGGACCGGGGTGTTGAAGCTAGAGGAGAAAACAATGGTGGGTACCTGAGAAGTGGGTGTGGCTGCAGGTCGGGCGAGCGAGGGCTGACGAGTAAGACGACTCCATGAGCTCTGAATGACAGCGACCATGCGAAGTCTCCGATTTCCGATATGGCCAGGGCGGGGCTAGCGATACCCTGTCCGCCATGGTAACGGATCGCCCATGGTGGATCTGCAGGCGTCTGGGCAGCCACACTGCAGGGCATCATCGCGTTTGCTCTGCGTGACCACCACTGGATGCAGCCGGGACGACGACACTGTCAGCGGCACGATGACAAAAGCCAGCAACTTCATCGTGGCCTCTCTTCCGTCTCTCCTCGGCGCAACCAGATGGCGTTTCCCGCCTCGCGGCTCCACAGCGGCCAAATGTCGCAGGTCGCTGGCCCAGGAACTCCTCCTCTCACCCAGCTGGTCTTGGCAGCAGGACAGTGACCACGCGACGCATGGCATTTGTCCGCCAGTACGCGTGAAGAGCTTGATGACAAAAGGGCCCGGCGCACCGTGGGAAGACTAACCTCGACGAGTGCGTTTCCGACCTGTTTCACGCAGCAGGGCGTTGTTCGGTTCATGAAGCGCGCCTGCGTCGTCTCCTGCTGCCAAATCACCAAACCGATGTCGAACCTGGATAGCCTCATGGTCGGCAGTGTCTCGTGTAGGTAGGTGCTGACAGGTGTGAGAGAAAGTTTAGGGGCTATCTCGGGCTCCAAACTCGATCTGTCCTTTCATCTCTGCAACGATGCAAGTTCCCGTCCACGGGCAGGGGTCTCTCGCCTGTGGTCGATCTTGCCTTAGGCCACTTCACCCATCAGCCTCACTCGTCGATCCTGATCCTGCGAATAGGGACCTTCCCTTTCAGAATCATTGACTGGCGCAACCCATCCATACTCAAGCTGCGACCTCGCGATATCTCTCCACGCTGCGACTCCTCGAATCTTACGTCTGCGGTGCAGTGGGGCTAGCGCCATCTCGGTCGCTCCTGCCGGCAAACCTCACTGGTTCTTGCCGTGAACCTTCCGTCATCTCCTCAACACGGCACACTGCAAAACACTGACCACCGCCCGTTTATTCCAGGCTAAGAGGGCGCCTTACACTGTCACTGACACTTGCATTGCACGCTCTGGCGCGCCACACGCCTCGCGCGCTCCTGTGCCCGGACCGTCTCATCATGAATGTCCGTCCACGTGCACTCGGAAGATTGTAGCCTTCTGGAAGCTCAGCGAAGGTGCACAGCATGGCTTTGCAGGACACAGCCATCGCGTCACGAAACCATTGTCGTTCAACTTGCCCACTTTCGTGCGATCACAGCCCAGACGAGTGCGTCATTCGGCACGGATGGCGATCATCAAGTGGCCCTGGCTGCCGCATCAACCTCCACCACCGCGCTTCGTGAAATGATCAAGGACCATGGCGAACATGCTTCGAGAAGGTTTCACTTTGTTCGACAAACACTTGACTCGTTCGCAGCTGCAACCACCAGGGAAAGTCTCGGGCAAGTGCCGTGGTGCACCGTTTGCGCGTCACGCGGGACACGCGACAAGGAGGTCAAACAAGGAGCTCCCATCCTCAACGGAGATCCAAACGGCAGCCTTCTTTCTAGCGTAAATCTCCTCATATATGCCTTCAGCTACGTAACGTTTTTCTGCGACATGATCCGGAGCGACCGAGACGCAAATGCGAGCGGATATAGCACAGACGTTCAGGTTAAAAGATCATTGGCCGCCCTATGACCACGTCTAAAATAGAACATCTTGAAACGAGTCAGGGAGGATCTTCACACCTCTTCGCTCGCTATCTTCCGGCCATTCCATCACTTTGGTTCCATGTGCCACCGGCAATAATCACTGGAGTGACTTTCTGTCGCTGTTACAGGACTTGCAATGCAAATCTTGACCGTCTCGAGGCACTTGTCGAAAAGCAGTCATAAACGCGAGTCCGAGTCCGAGCGCAAACACAAGCAAATCAACAATACCTCAAAGATCGCATCAATACTAAGTGCTGGTGGTGGCGCAGCCATTCATGCAATGAATATTCTCTTCATCTTAGTTAGACAGCTGTCAGAAGCTGCCAGGAACGGACCGAGAAAGCAATAACAACCAGCAGCGCGGGCAAGGTTGTGCCAGGATGCTTGCTTGAGATGATACTGAACCGGGACAGAAGCACGGTGAACAGGGCAGACCAGCACAAGGTTCAAGGCCTCACGCGTCCTGGAGTCAAGGACACAATTGATTGAGAGGCATTGCCCTGTACGGGTAACGCCGCCAGAGATGAGGATCGTATACGCACATGGCTGTCTAGGTTTGCGACGTTGACATTCAGGGCAAGATCTGGGCATCTTTCCACGTGTTGTGCCTGTAGCACCCTGTTCCATGCACACCGGTACGGAGCATTAAAAGCGCTTTTAATGCGGACAGTGTAAGGCCGACACCACCTGCGCAGACATGGACGACGAGATCGAAGAAAATCCTAAAGGTCGCTTCTTGAAATGTCTCATCGTACATTCACCTATGCTAAATCTGCATATGACCAGCGATACAAGCACAAAACATACAGAAGTAGCCTCTTATCGCTTGACCCAGGTGGGCATCTTACGTGCCTTGACGTGGCCTGGCTTCTTCCTCTCCACCTTCCTTGGATCGCGTGTTATGGTTCCAGCTAAGAAGCAGTCAGCAATTGGGTCCGGCATGCGCAGGCGAGACATGTTTGGGATCATCCAGGGTTATTTGGCAGCGTTTTGAGGCGTGGGTAGACAAGGGCATGTGTCAGACACAAGGGCTGCATTGACAATGCTTACGGAACGACAGAAAAAGCAGAGCTGGGTTTAACAAACCCACAGACAAAGAAATATCGACTTACCTCGTCGTAGCGCAGGCTTCAGCGCCGGCTCATGGACCAGCAATGATTTCGCTACGGCCAGGGTCATTGCTTCCGCCTGACCAGTCAGGCCACCACCCTGCACCAAAGCAAAGACGTTGTACTTGTCAAGACGCTGGGTAGCTTTGAGTGCCCACACAGCGCTCTCGCGGTGGTGTAGCCTTCCAAAGAACTCCGAGAGGGACTTGCCGTTGACCAGTACCTCACCTTCACCTTCTACCAGCCATGCCACAGCAGAAGATGTCTTTCTCCGCCCGACACCCTTGGCACGTCCAAGCTCATCAATCACGCCAGGCTTCGGGACAATGTCACCAGGCTGGTTAGGCTTCTTGTACCGTAGCATTGCCTGCACAACCTCATCGGGCATGAGGGAGGGGTGAATGCAGTTCAGTCTCCGCAATATCTGCAACATCCTGTGATAACGCGCCGTCTTTACTGGTTCGTTGGTCATGATGCGGTACTGCTCGATTGTCTTCCACGCCACTTTGGGTGCTTCGGCGGGCGGTATGACGGGTAGTGTAGCGACCTTTCGAAGGAGAGCAGAGAGGGAGAGGAAGTCGTCGGTGAACGTAGGCTTTGCGCTGAAGTAGGAGGGCGATGCTGGGACAACACGTAGTGCCCCGAGGTTAATCTTTTTGTCGCTTTTTCCTGCGCTACTGGCGGTGCTCTCAAAGTCGATCTCGGGTGCCGCTGTGAATGGCTCACGTAGCTCTTCTTCTGAGACCTCTGCACGCCGTGCGGTCGTTGTCGAGATGCATCGCCGCGTTGTGGGCTGAAAGCTCCGCTGAGCATATCGAATCGTCCGTTCGCATTGAGGTCGTGGTCGGCTTCCCAGGGCATCGACCGCCCTCCATAGACTCCGTGAGATCTCCCTGCTTGCCATTGCTCCTCTGATGGATGGGGAATGCGCCGTGGTAGCGCTCTCAAAGGACTGCCACCTGCCGTAAACTGACGACGAGCGCTGCACGAGCCACATGCAAATGCTTAGCGCCTAGGCTGAAATTATGGTGGACTGTGCACAGCAGATTTCCTACTGCCCCGCAGCCCAACCAGCCTTTTTTCTTCATCAACACCTGCTTCCACACACTGA